AGAGCCAGAAGGGCACCGTCAGGAACAGAGCATGTCGGATAGGGCGCTGCTGCTGCTCTTAGGTTTGACGGGCAGGAAAAGAACGAGTGGGTGATGTGAGAGCACACACATTGGCGGCAGAAGAAGCAGAAGCAGAAGCACCACTATCCGTACGAATACCTACCACACAGCAGAGCAGAACAGGGAAAAGGTACTTCCTTGCCTTTCCACTTCCACTTGGGAAAGATGGCGTCTCCCATCCCCATCCATCCATCCATCCATCCATCCATCCACCATTCATTCGTCTTACACGCCCCCCCCTTCCTTTTCCTTCAACACCTCCCCCCCCCCAGTGAGTCTCTCTCTCTCTCTCCCCAGTTAATTCTCCTCCGTCCCCTGGCTCCTGATATCTTCCCACCCCCCCTCAACCCAAAAGTCCACCAGCCCTGAAGACCCGCGGTCCAGTCCCCCCCCAGTCGACATCCACGTCCACGTCTTCATCCACCAACCCACAGTCGCAGTCTCTGTGCCCTCGCTCGCCCTCTCTGTCGTCCACCCGCTGCCAGCATTTGGTTCACTCCCACCAAAAAAGCGACTGGATTTAAACCCAAGACCCAAGTACCCAAGAACGACGCCTCCACGCCCACCACGTCCACGTCCACGCCCACGCCCACGCGCTGCGACCTTGCCTTAGTACTGCCGCTGTCGCTGCCGCTGCCGCTGCCGCTGCTCGTACTTCCTACTACTCCCTCCTGGCTCCTCCTGTCCCTCACCACGCTCGACCTATTCTCCCCTTCCTCCCTTCCTCACCCCGTCCAAAATCATTAAACCCCCAGACCATCCTCCCGTTCCCAAACTCTTCTGATATCTCTTCTTACAAGACTCTTCTTTTCTTCCCATCTCTCTTTTTTATTCTCTCCACTTCCCTCCCCCTTCTTCCCCTTCTCCTCGTCGGAGCCGCACATACCTCCCACCCCCCGTCAGAGGTTTCTACTTCCCATCTCATCAGGACTGACCACCCCCCGAGGCACATCATCCTCTTTGCCGACACATCAGACACGACAAGTCGCACGCTTGCTTGCTTGTCCATCATCGCGAATCGACATCCTTCTCTTGCAGTCGCCAAGTCAAAGTAGCCAATCACTCTCACCTCCAGCAGTTCCTGCGCGGTTCTTCGTCGACCTTTTCAACCATTCTTGTTTTGCCATTGGCGCATACGCACCCGCACCCCTCACCACGGCTCTTAATTCTTTCGACCCAAGTGTTTCCATCACGAGACCCGAAGCCGATTCCCATCCAAACTGCCAATCGACACTTTTTCGTCGCAGGAACCTTGACGGTGTTAGCCTGTGTCGAACGCCCACCATTCGCTTGAAGTCGAGTTTGGGTCGTGCTGGTCAACAGTGTGCCAAAAGTTATTTCCTCCGGGCTGGACTCGATTTACGTCTCTAAACACCAAAACATCAAAATCCCACGGCAGTGCCTGACACTATTGCGAACCTCGCTCAAAAATCCACAACATTTCTTTGACTGTCATCTTTGACGCGATACTCCCGAGTCGATCACAACCCGCGCGATCCTTCTCTCGATCCGGTCAGACGCGACCGACATTCGTCGTCACAAAACCCACATCCTAAATCCACCGCCAGGATGTACTCACAACATGCCGCCGCGGGTATGGCCCCCCAAAAACCAGAGACCTTCATGTTGAGCACCGAGGCCCAACAAGCCCTCCCCCACGATGCTCAGGTCGCTCTCCAGCAGGTTGACAACCGTAAGTAGAGGATGACACGCGAGACCCCCGGCTGTGCCACTGACAAATCACGCAGTCAAGTACTTCCTCATTTCCGCTCCCGTCGACTGGCAGCCCGACCAGTACATCCGCAGATTCCTTCTCCCCACGGGCGAATACGTCTCCTGCGTGCTATGGAACAACCTCTTCCACATCTCCGGCACTGACATCGTCAGGTGTCTGTCCTTCAGATTCCAGGCCTTCGGCCGCCCAGTGAAAAACTCCAAGAAGTTCGAGGAGGGCATCTTTTCTGACCTGAGAAATCTGAAGTCCGGAACCGATGCGTCCCTCGAGGAGCCCAAGAGCCCCTTCCTCGACTTCCTCTACAAGAACAACTGCATCCGTACCCAAAAGAAGCAGAAGGTCTTCTACTGGTACAGCGTGCCGCACGACAGACTTTTCCTCGACGCCCTGGAGCGCGACCTGAAGCGAGAGAAGATGGGCCAGGAAGCCACCACTGTCGCCGTCAGCGAGCCCGCCCTGTCGTTCCAGTACGACTCGTCTCAGTCGCTGTACGAGCAGCTCACCAAGGCCCAGCAGGCCAACTCGTCTTCCTTCAACGCTCAGCAGGTGACTTTCTCCCAGTCCCAGTCCACTTCTCCCGTCATGAGAGCCATGGACTCAATGCCTCCCCCGCAGATGATCCCCCAGTCGGTGGCCCCTTTAGCGGATGGCATGGAGGCGATGGTGCCCTACGGAGCCATGGGAATGCACCAGCAGATGCCTCCTCAGCAGATGGTCAAGAGGGAACCTGATTTCGCCCGCGTCCAGTACAACCAGAACGGCGTCCCCATCACCCAGGGCCACCAGAGGCACGCCTCGATGCCCGCCTATGGTCTCGAGTACTCCCCCGCCCCCTCGTTCGTCTCGTCCCAGTACGAAGACTACAGCAACCGGGGCATCTCCTTCGAGCCCATCACGCCTCCCCAGCAGGCTCTCGGCATGGCCGCCGAGCCCGCCTACATCGCCAACGAAGAGACCGGCCTCTACACCGCCATCCCCGACCACATGGGCGGCAACGGTCTCAACGGCATGATGCAGCTCCCCCCTTCCAACCTCGCCGGCCCTCAATTCTCGAGAGCCTACGGCACCAACAACGTCTACTCTGTGATCGAAGGATCCCCCACGTACAAGCAGAGGAGACGTCGCTCATCCATCCCGCCGTCAATGTCGGCAATTGCCGCTGCGACCGCCCAAGCTCAGGCGCAGGCTGCGGCTCAGCAGCAGCAGCAGCAGCAACAACAGCAGCACAGACCCTCGGATCTCCGGCGGTCGGTTTCTGCATCTGTCGGTCCTGTCGCTGAGGGCGACGAGTCTGCAGACAACTCCCCACCCGGTCTTGCCTACAGCAGCTCCGCCATGTCCATGGTAAGCCAGCAGCACAAGGAGATGCTGGACATGTCCCGGCACGGCACTCCGCTGTCCACTGTCGAGGGCAGCCCAGCTCTCAACCCCATGTCCCTCCAGCAGCAAGACTACTCCCACCTCACAAATGACGACCTGTCCGGTGAGGGTTCTATGAACGGCGCGCCGCGGCCCGGCATGCAGGGCCCGAACGGCGTCGTTCGCAGAGCCCGCTCCGCGACCGTCATGGAACTTGGACCCTATCCCCAAAAGTCCCACTCCTGCCCCATCCCCACGTGTGGCCGCCTCTTCAAGCGTCTCGAGCACCTCAAGCGGTAAGAACCAGATCTAACTTTCATTTGTCCACAACCAAACCAAAACGACCTGCCTGAAATCTAACCAAAACCTCCAGACACGTGAGAACACATACACAAGAAAGACCCTACATCTGCCCTTATTGTAGCAAGGCATTCTCCAGATCAGACAACCTAGCACAGTATGCCCCAACTTTCCTTGATATCATCATTTCCTTTGTCATTTCCTTTGTCAGAAAACGATGTAAATGTGTGGAGCGAAACCCCAAGCGATCAAACCAACGTCCAACCGCCACGACACAACACAACACCACATCATCGCAGCCACCAGCATGGGGGACAGAATATCTTCATGGCCGAACTTGGACTGACAGGAATGTTTCAACAGACACAAGCGTACTCATGACCGCGGTGAGAACGGCGAGGCCGCTCTCAACTTCTCCGGCGAGGAGGAGGAAGAGTACTCGGGCGAGGACCAGCTCGGTTCCCTCGAGGAGGCCTCTCCCAGCTCCGAGAACGCCTACGTCACGGCTTCCATGAACGGCGCTGTACATAGCTCGTCAACACCGACGTCGGCCGGCATGGCCCCGCAGTCGACGTTCAACAGCCTGCAGACGCTCAGCATGCCGATGACCATCAGCCAACCGGCAGTCAACGCGAGCGCCATTATGTGAGACGGCACTGAGCTTTAGCTCTCATTACGACTGGAGTTACGTTTTCTTCGACACGGTGTTTCTTAGAGGGCGGCATGGCTATGATCTGGTATGGAAATGGTCTGGGACTTTTTTCTCTTTTTTTCTTCATTCATCCAGACATGGATTATCGGCGCGCGTTAGCGACTGGACGATTTTGCTCCTTTGGCTCCCGGCGAACTTTTTCTTCATCTTCATCTGTTTTTTCAATTGTGTTCAGCATCGCAGTCTGGCCGATGGTCCCAGACGAAACCAAAAAAGGAAACCCGCACACATAGACGCGCGCCGCGAGACTGGGAAGATCTCGAGGCGCGTTTTCGTTGTACCCCCATGGAAAAAGTGGGATTTCATGCATGAGCTTAGGGTCGAGATGCGAAGAAGAGAAACGACTCGCACATGTATATATATAGTTTGTTTCTTTTCTTGTGTGCTGGAGGGGAGCATGGTTGAGAAGAAGCAAACTTGCCTGTATGGCCAGATGATACCAGGGTTGGGAGGAGAGAACTGTCGGTGACTGTACGAGTATCGTACGGTCTTGTCATGAACAGATGCAGAGTCTGAATCTGATATATGTTGATCACATGCCTTGTCCCTTGATGTGTTTGTCCCGTGACGTGACTCGCTATTAAACGCACTTGAACCGGTTGACTGGTTTTTGTCTAGACAAACTGACAACATGTCGTAATTGCGTAGAGACAGTTGCGAAGTGATCATGGCATGCACTGACGTACTGGCTCCTACAAGGTCCTCGGGGTGAAAAATGCTGCAAACACTCCATTCTTAAGATTTGCACACGTTGTACGTGAAGCATTCTCACTATGGTATCCGAAGGCCATAACCGTGACCCGACAACTGTTAAACGCCAGTCCGCATCCCAGCTCACCTACGTCCTCCCCTCCCACCACCACGCCCCCCTCTACCGCCTCCTCGCCCACCGCTCCCGCCCCCGCTCCCCTCAATACTCCGAATATCCCTCTCGCTCAACCTCAACTCGGCCCCCTTCATCCTCCCGACAGCAGGCCCGTCGACGCTCCTCTCCCCCCTACCGCCCGCGCCCGACTTCTTCGTCTTCTTCGGCGCCTCGCGCTCCAGCACGACGCCGTTCTCCCTCGCCTGCCTGCGGCGCTTGCCCTCGCGGCCCGCCGCGGCCGCGTTCATCCCCTTGCGGATCGCCATCGGCATGCTCTCCTGCTTGAAGAGGGACTTGACGCCGGGCGCGAGGGCCTGGGTGCGCAGGTCGGTCTGGCGGGCGCGGAGGCGGCCGTCGGAGAAGGTTTTCGAGGCGGTCCCCGAGGGGTTGGAGAAGGGGGAGGCGAGGGAGTGGCGGGCGAGGAGGTGGGACTCGGAGAGAAGGCGTTGGAGGGCGAGGTCGTTTGCCAGGTTGGACTTGTCGTTTTCGTCGTCTTCGGGGGTGGATGTTGAGGGGAGGGCGGTTGGGGTAGAGGATGTTTGGGAGGGTGGTTTTGAGGACTGTGTTTGATGAGTTAGTATTTGGTTGGGAAGGTTGGGGTGGAAGGGGGAGGTGCGTACCATGAAGGCCTTGAGCTCGCGTTTGCTCATGCTCGCGACTTTGGGGGCGGAGGAGCTGTGGTCTACGACTTGGACCACGTTTTCTTCCTCCTCCTCCTCCTCTTCTTCTTCGGAGGCATCGTCGGACACGGATGCGTCTTTGTGCGATCAGTTAGTTACCTCCCATCCAGAACTCGACAAGGACGTTCAAACATACCCTCGTCTCCCGACAACCCATCCCATTCATCCTCGTCCTCATCCTCACCCTCTTCCTCCCCGTCCGCGCCGACGTCCTCGTCCAGATCTTCCTCGTCCTCGTCTTCTTCCTCCACGACCTCAGCCTTTGCCTTCGCCTTCTTCGCCTTGTTCTTCTTCCCCTTCGGCGCGCCCGACTCGGACGTGGTCTCGGGGAGCGGCTTGAACGCGGCCTCGAAGTGCCGTCTGAAGATCTCCCGCGCGTCTGTGATCGCCTCGTCCTTCTCCTCGTCCTCCTCTTCTTGTTCGGGTTCCTTGGCGGCGGCGGCGGCGGGTTTCTTGGTCATCGCAGACTTTCCGACGACACCCTTCTTCATCTTCTTCGTCGTCGTCGCCGCGGCGGCGGTTGAGGGTCTCTTGCCGAGGGACGCTGCGCCCGAGGGCGCCTTGCGTTTTCCAAGCACCGAGGCCATTATTTTCCCCTGTGAAATTACTCCCTCGACTGGGAAATTCACTGTCGCGAGGGAAGGGAAAGAAAGGGAGGTCGTGGATGTAACTCGAGGGGCGATTGCACTTCTGTCGCGGTAGAGCAGAGAGAACTGGAGTGCAAATGGAACCTCTAGAAATTTTAGCGGGTCCAGAGTTTCCTCTCTTCAGCCTCGCGGGCCGGCTCATTCTAACTGGTCACATTTCGCCCGGGGTGCGGGGCGAAGAACTAGTCCCCCTAAAAAAGAGACCTTCAGCCTTGGTGGGATACGCGCCCAAAATCATTCCCTTCGGGTCTAACATCGCCCGAAGCGCTGCAAATCATCAATCACACCCGCAAACTTCACTCGTGCATTTCACACACATGGGATGAAAAAAAAAATGAAGAGACCGCAGAAAATCCCAACATCTTCAGCCCAGCTTAACGCAAAAACTGATGATGAGCGCGAAACATCAAAACATGAACAGACTTTTACCCCCCTCCGATGTGACACACGCGCGAACCACGTTCTATTTACTTGCCTTTAGCTTCTCTTGCTTTCGTCGACGCCAAGAATAGCTCACGTCCAATGATGACTTTTGGATTGTATACTGGATGAAACGAAGATTGACGGACGGGGTGACAACGGTTGAAAAAAAAAAGAGGTGACTACAGATGGGAGGATTGTTTTTCTCCTCGGCGGATGATGCGACGGGCATTGAGAGTGACTGGGTAAACCCACACCCTCGTCACGCGTGCGCAGCGCAGAAGCGCCGAGCTAAAGAGCCACGCGCGCCCAATCGTCAACGAGGTTTCACCCGTGAGAAGAAGAAGAAGAAGAAACGGAACGAAGAATAAAAAAAGAACACCAAACTTGTACAGCTTTGTCAAACACTGCTTGCTATCCATCCCAAAACGACACCCGTTTTCGCCACATCTTTTCCGCTCGCACACCCCCTCCCCTGGGTAAAATTAACAATTGGGCAGCAAGCGGCAGCATCAGGGGGACGGATCCCTTTTCAAGACCGCGCGGCTTCGAGTTCCAGCTCCAACTGCCTGATCCTCTCGCTCTGGTCCTGAGATCCTCCCGCGTTCACCTTGCGCTTCAGACCCTCCACCTCGGCAGACAACTGGCTGATCTTGTCGTTCTGCTTGCCGATGAGCTTGGTCTGCTGTTCCAGCATCTGTCTGATCTGGTCCAATGAAGACTCGATATGGCTCGAGGAGCCGGGGGAGGGTGCGGACTGCTTGATGGGCGAGGGCTGCGATGTGCTGGCGGGGGACTTGATAGCGGGCGAGGCGGCCTTGATGGGCGAGGGGATCTTGGTCGGCTCGACGCGCGCAGGGGCAGCAACAGGTGCGGGCGCGCGCTGGGCTGGTCTTTGCACTTCCTCGAAGCTAGAGTTGTCGTCTTCGTCTTCCGGTTCGGCCGCCTCGTCATCCTTGAACTTTGACGCCATGTTGGCCATGGAAGCCTGCTGGTCCCTCATCGACGGAGGCGGCGAGCGCGACACCGGTGCGGGCTCCGGTGCTGGTGCGGGTGCGGGCGCGGGCTTGGGAGCGGAAGCAATCGCAGGTGGCTTGTAGTCGACTGCGACCTCCTTCGGGGCGGTGCCTTCGTACACGCTCTCCAGGTCGATCTTGTTGGGAATGCCGTCCTTGCCCTCGAGCCACTCCTTGGCGCTGACGGCAGGCTTGAGGCCGGTTGCAGGGGGGAAGATATCGGATTGGAAGGTTTCGGCTCTACGGGGGACGGTAAAGGAGATGGGCTCAATGTAAGTGTCGTTGACCGTCTTGTAAGCGCGCATAACCTCGTTCTCGTGGACCTGCTGTTGTTAGACACTGAACAAGAGGTACATGGTCAGATGAACTCACGTTAATACCGCGTCTGGGAACAAAGGCAATGCCTCTTTGGGGCTCAGCAGACTTGTATTCGCTGAGGAACTCAAACTTGTCGTTCTCGTACTCAAAGTAACGAATGTTTCCGTCACTGTAAGCCCGTTAGCATAGCACCATAGCAAAGTGGCTGCAAACAAACTTACCCCTTTCCAGCCAAGTACAAGCAGTTGGATCCCTCGTCTGCAGGCGGTCAGCACTTCGTCAATTGACATCCCAGAGAAAATACTGACCCCAGAAAGGCATGCAAACACCCGAAATCGAGTCAAGCATAGTGAAGCCGCCGATGGGTTCGTTGCGTCCGGGCTCCCACAGGGCAATCTGGCGCTCGCTCATCCTCGAGAAACCGGCCGTGGCGAAGCGGTTGTGCTCGCCCATCCATACGGCTCTGCTGTTCTTGGCGCCGGGGTGGCCGGGCGCCTCGTGAATGGGCTTCTCGGCGCGCACATCCCAGACGCGGATCTTCTTGTCGCGCGAGGTCGTCACCATCAAGGTTCCGCTGGCGTTCCATGACAGACTCTGCACGATGTCGTTGTGCTTCAGGGTGTGGGTGTTCGCGCCGGTGCCAATGTCCCAGATCTTGACCGTGAAGTCGCCGGACGCGGACGCGAGGATGTTCTCGGCGGCGGGGTTGAAGAGGACTTGGCCGACCTTTCTGCACGTCCAGCAGTCAGCAAGAGCGTATGTGTAGCGCGAAGGGATCGCGGCGTAACGAACCTCGAGTGGCCGGTGAGCTTGCTCACAGGGGAGACGTCGGCGGGCTCCTCGGCATCCGTGTAGAGGGTGAAGTTCTGAGGAACCTCCCAAATAAAGACCTTTCCGTCCTCAGAGCCAGAGGCGATGATGCGGTCGTTGAACGGGTTCCTGGCACGTGAGGCGTCAGTATGTCGCGTGCGCTCGAAGTGTGTATGGGGTCAGGGGCGGTCGCGGGATCGGCGTACCAGTCGGTGTCCAAGACGGTGGCGGTATGGCCTCGAAACAACGGGATCTGGTCGGGGAGCTTTCCCTTTTCGTTGAGAGGGATGACGGCGAAGGCGCCGCCGCCTCCAGAGTCCCAATTGACTGAGAGATACTCGGGGTTGGCCTAAGAGGAAGAATTGTCTTGTCAGCTTCGTCCGCCCGTCTCCTGAATCCGGGCCCATCGACGTGTCTCGGGCCAGCAGGAAAAAAAAAAAGGGTAGTCCCCCTTACCTTCACCAAGTTGGTATCCCAGGCATTTCGGCTAATATGAAGGTTGTCGTAGCAGAACTCCTTGCGAGTCGGCTTGCCAAAGACGTGTCCTGTCGAGTCGGGCGTCAGCAGTCAGCTTCTCCCAGCGCAAATGCGGCTGGTTGCGACAAAGACGAAGAGAAAGAGAGACCCACGATATTTCGACGCTCGTACAAAGCGGCCGGCCATAGGGAATATTGTGTTTAGTTAAGAGAACCTGGGTGTCGGGAGGGAGGAGGAGGAGAGAGAGCAATGGATGCTGACGATATTCAATGCTGTGTTCAAAAGGCGACGCAAACCTGCGACTTGAATTTGGTGATCCAAAGGGGATATAATAATAGCTAGGAGCTGTTGTTGGCGGGCCCCCCCAAATGACGAAGAAAGATGAGAGTGGTGCTGCTGTTCCCATCGGTACCTACTTTCAGGTACCTAAACTCTGCCTTTCGCGCTGTCTGGCAGCCAGGAAGCCAGCATCAATCAACTGCTCTTATGGGTACGTACCCACATCTCTAACTGAAGACGTACAGCTGGACATTACAGATGGAGACCTTTGGTTGAAACTCCCCCGGCCAGCTGCGCCCCCGTGGCTCCCACCCACTCATAGCGAAATAATGGAGCAGGGGTCCAGGCAAGTTTATGCACATCACAGCTGCACGTGATAATTTTCCTCACCTGTTCTTCACCGAGGTGAGTGTCGTACCATCGACCTTCGGGCTGTTTACTTCGACTCCGTTGTCTCCACACCAGGTAAACATCACCGAAGCAAGGAACCGGACACTTCAAGGATAAAAACCTCCCATTTTAGTACAATATCATACGTACACCCAAAGGGAAAACCCGACTCCAGAATAATGCTTCCAGAGACCGCGTACGAATCTAAAACAACAACTCTCACAATCTCCGAAACTTCCCCCTTGCTTGCTTGCTTGCTTGCCATCCAAACCATGCCCAAACGCCATCCTACCTGCCAAATTATTAAATATTGGGCGAGGGCACACGATGCAGACACAAGCCGCTTTTTTGCAAGAACCGGACGAGACACATGATCATCCGATCACGAACACCTGGTCCAAGAGAATCATAGATCATGTCGTGTCTCCCGTTTCCTCGTCCTCCCCGTTCGTGCCGGTCGTGCCAAATAGAAAAACATAAAGAAAAGAAGGGGGTATCGTTTAGTTGAAAGTGCTCTTGGTCCGCGAGTGCACTCGCCGGCCCTCCGCCCGGCGTCGCAGCGCCTCCTCTTTCTTGAGGACGAGCTCGCACCACTTGCCCTTGGTGCGAGATCCACCGTCGTCGTCCCCGGTGCTTTCGCCGCGGCCAACGACGTCGGTGAGGGCTTGCATCCAGCCCTCCTTGTCCTCGGCGGTGTCGGCGTAGAAGTCGATGACCTCACCGTTGTTGAAGCGGATGCGGAAGCCCTCTTCGACAAACATGTAACCCTCCTCCTCCTCGGCGAACGCAGACCTCCGGCGGCGGCCGTTCTTGCCAGTGGTCTCCTTTTCGGTCAGGGCCCGACGGTCATCGATCAGGCGCTTGGCGTTGGCCAGGTTGATGGTGGCACGAGGTTGACGAGTGGCCTCGTGGTAGGCGGTCAGCTTGGTGCCAACAAGCTTGAAGTAGCGACGACGCCAGTACTGCGCAAATGTTAGTGTGCGTTCGATGCGAAGGCTCGAGGTGTACTTACCGGGCAGTCACCTCCCTGCTGACTCAAGTGGCCCTCCCAGTTCTTGGAGAGACGCTCCTCGGCGGCCTTGATCTCCCGGATGCAAGAGTTCATGCTCTTGGGCATGTCATCGTCAGTTGACCCCTTAGGACGCGGGACGAAGAGAAGCTGCAGCTCGAGCTTTCCGATCTTGTAGGGAGCACGGCGAACGACAGCGGTGTTACCACGCTTGCTCTTGACACTGGAAGCGAAAGCGGCTTCCTCTGTCGCCCACTCGTTGAAGCATGCAACGTTGACAACGTAAGGACGGCCGTAGCAGCGGGACTCGTGCTCCTTGAGGCAGACGTACGAGCGAGCAAAGCTGCCGTCCTCTGCCGCGAGAGGGGAAAGAAGGTCCCAGGCGGTGGGTGCAACCTTCATTTGCCTGGCCTGGGCCTCACGTTGCTGGGCGGCCTGTCTCTCCTCCTCTTCACGCGCGCGCAGCTCCATCTCCTTACGCTTCTTGGGTGACGCAAACACCCTGCTAAAGGTAGACGTCTTGGGCTTGCTAGTCTTAGTAGGAGACTGCACAACAACCTTCTTTGGCAGAGGCTTCTCCAACTTGACGTTCAGAGTAAGCTGGAACTCGAGGTCATTAGGCACCACAAGCTCGAACTCCTGGCCAATGGGGGCGTTGCGAGCAAGCTCGAGCCAAGCCGTGGTGACACAGTGGACGCCGTTGTCGAGCGTCAGGCTGAACCAGGTTCGCTCATCTGCAGTTTGTTAGCGTCGACCAGGGACATTCTCATTAAGGAAGAAGAACTCACTTCTGGGAATGGGGAGATCAAGATCCTTGACGCCAAGCACCTTGATGAAGAGTCTTCCTCGCTCTCCACTCTCATCGGTCGCCAGCTCGGGGTTGAGGTCCTCCTCAGCCAATGGGTTCAGCGCGAGAGCGTTGCTCTCCTGGCCAGGCAGAGGTGGCGCCGGTCCGCTCGTGTGGGCACGCGACCGTCGTACACTCTTCTGTCTGGGCCTACCATTCCAGGGCTCGACGGTCCATGACTGGGGTCGATCAGCCTTGACAGGTGAGTTACCAGCCGATCGAGTCTTCCACATGGCCTCAGTGTCCTTGTCACTTGCGGTGACAAGCTTGGTGTTCTGACGCATGAGATATCCGCGCTGATTTCGAGATTTGATGTTAGCATTCTGCGACGTTGTTTCTTCTGCGATGATCTCGCGGTTGGCTGCGGTCGCCCTAGACGCTTGTCTGCTGGGGCTTCTACTCGCAATCAGGGAAGCTTCATAAACTTGCTGAGAAAATGCAACCTTTTGTTGTTCGATAACGCGGTCGAAGTCTTGATCGAGACTGAGACCGAAGTCGAGGTCCAAGGTAAGACTACGCTTCTTGAAGCTGGGGTGCCTCTGAGCATAGTAATCATTACCAACATCGGACTCTTCCGTGAGATCCCGCGACAGTCTGTTGCGGTGACGCTCAGGAATGGGGGGAATGTCTGGCACCTCGCGACTAACTTGACGCCGAGCTTCCCGCATGGCGATGATGTCGGAGGGAGTGTTCGACGGCCTCGTCTTGAGCTTGGAGCCGGAAGCCTTGATAGTGGCCTGCCGCTCAGGAATAGCAGGCGACTCCAGAGGCTCCTCTTCGATGATGGACGGAACATCGTTGATGGACTCCTCGTACTCCTCCTCGTCCGAGTCCTCAATCGGACGATGAATGACGGACTCGGGCGTACCGGGTTCATCGTCGTATTCATCCTCCGGTTCTCCCCAGCCAGAACCGTCATACAAGCCCTGGGGCTGGATGGGGGTGGTGGGACGGAACTGAGAGTGGAGGTCAGTCATCTTGGGGGGCGGCTCAAGATCGTCCAGGTCCTCTGCAGCTGGTTCGGGAGGCGGAGGCAGCATGAAAGACTGCAATCCCTTGGAGAACTCGTTCTCCTTGCCATTATCCCTCATCGATGGCAGGCTGGATCTGTGATCGGCGGAAGAATCAACCGGCTTCTCCTCCTCGGCTTCTGTGTCGAGCTCCTTCTCGAACACAGGCTCGACGACCTCTACAGGCTCGGGTGTAGGCTCCTTCGCAGGGGCTTCCATGGGGGCTTCGATAGGAGAATCGACAGGAGACTCAACAGGAGACTCGACAGGTGATTCAGTAGGGGTATTGCCAGTCTTGTCAGACTTGAGCTCAAGAGGCCTTATCTCTGAGGCAATGTCGAAAGACTGGAATGCTTGCTGGGGGCTAGCAGCGCGAGGAGTGAGAATCTCCTCGTCAACTTGAGTAACCTCCGGCTGACGGGCTGGGCCGTCGGAGTAGTGGCTCGCCGAATCGGCATCGTTCTCATCATCAGAGCGGTGATAGAAGTCAGTGATGGAATCGGTCTCGGCATCAGTGTCCTCATCGCGGTGAATGATCACACTGCCTTCGTCCGACAGATCGGAGACGTCGTCATCCTCCAGAATGGAATCTTCTGTGGAAGGGATAGGAACGTCAGGGTCGAGAGGCAAAGGCAGACGACGCTCCGGGCTTGCGCGCTCAGGGCTAGAGCTAGGTGCAGGAGATGAGAAGTAGTCACCGCCGTCCTGTGCGGTTTCGCCAGTGTTGACACGGCGAAGGATTGACTCGCGAGAGATGCGAGTCGGAAGCTCGTAGTCATCAAGGGCGGAGATATCGCCAATGGTGTCGTCTTCCTCATCAGCCTCGAGGATGCTAGACTCAGCGGTCTCGGTCTCGGAGGAGGGGCTCTGGAACCTATCACGCTGAGCACCCCGACGGAGACGACGCTCTCTTTGCTGCTCGTTGGCGGACTTGTGATCGTCCGAAAGCATCATAAGCTTCAGTCTCTCCTCCAGCGACATCTTGCCGTTGCCGATGCTCTGGATCTCCGACTTGCTGGAAGCGGCGGCGGCAGGAGGTGGCGAAGGCAGGCTGCGATGAGCGCCCAGCATCCTCTCAGCAGTGGCCGTCAGGCCAGGTGAGCCCCTCGAGTCGCTAAGACGAGAGTCGCTGCGAGTGAGGGATCCACCCATGCCGGGGAGCGGAGGCAGGGGCCGGTGATCAGAAGTAGAAGAGTCTGAACGGACGTGTGCCGGCCCGCCGAGGCGAGCAGGCTGGGTCTCAGGCATAGGGCTGCTCTCGAAGGGGTCGTCCATGCGCTCGGCAGACTGCCTCCAGTCGTCAGGGCCGACGACGGGCGTCTTGTCAGTGTCCTCGAGCGAGGCGTCGAAGCTGTCCTCTCCAATATCGTGGTCACCTAGGTGGTAGTGGGCCTCTTCGTCGTCGTCCTCATCATCCATAGAGTCGAAGCTACCTTCGCGCGAGTTGGATCCGATAGAGGAGATGTCTGGTGTGGCCATCTCATACTCGTTGATCTGAGGAGGGGCAGCGTCGAAGGTGACGCTCTTGGCATGTCGGTGCAACGACTTGCCCGAGGGAAGCTCGCGGTCGTCGAAGGATGTGTCGGCCGACCATGTGCCGGTCTCGGGATCGAAGCTGCTCTTGAAGTTGCTCTTGGAGAGAGAGGACTTGATGGGCGACGACTGGTCTTTGCCCGGGCTCTTCGGGGGGCTGGAGAAGGTCTCCTGCATTGGGGTTGTGTCGCCAGAAGCCTTGGTCGGGCTCGTTGCCGGGCTGAAGATGGGGATGCCCGACTTGCTGCTGTTATTGCGCTGATGGCCGAAGCCTCTGTTGAGAGAGTCCGAAGACCTCAGCCCGTTGATGATGGCAGTCGGGGCTCCAGTCGAGCCATAGGCGTTCCCCTGGTAGTTAGCGAGAGGGCGTTCGATCTGGGGCACTCTCGTAGGGTCGTACTCCTGCTTCTGTTCCAGAGCCAGGATGTTGCTATTTTTGACGCGCGAAGCCTTTTGAAGGCGCTCGATGGATGTGCGACGGGTTGGTGAGGGCGAGCCGTGGCGACCGGCATAGAGGTGTTGGTTTTCGGTGCTGATGGAGTCCAGGTTGCGCTTCTGCCAGAAGAGCCTAGGTGATGTGGTGGTCTCCAATGGCGACGACTGGAATGGAGACGAGTCGGTGTTCAGAGTCATCTTCTACACGGCGTTTGTCAGAGGAAATTCTGGGCCGGGGATTGTCTCAGACAAGATGTGCCTACCTTGGACGGCTGTTTCCAGCTCGGAGAGTTCCTCCTGTGGTCCGAAGGGGACAATTCTGAGAGGGCACGGGGGACCTTGGGAGGGGGAGAGCCCGTCGAGCCTGTTGAGCCCTTGGAGATGCGCAAAGGGTGCACCTGAGGCGGATTTGTTAGCCCAAGTCGCGGGTTGTGGTGGTTGGGCAGATAACGGGGAAGACTCACTGGTTCTTCTGAAGATGCCATTTTAGGTGATGTTTCTATGGCCGCGCAGGCGCATTTGGGGGAAACAATGGTAGTAGTAGACGGTGATGGCGATCAATGCTCGAAAGGAAATTCAGGGTCGGGCAGAGCTCTGCTTCGGCGTGACCTCTTTTTTTCGGAGGTGGTCGTGGAATTCGGGGTGGTTCGCAAGACACAAAGGGAAAACGCGTTGCGTAAATGTTGCACTAGAATGAATGTTTGACGTATTGTCGCTCGTTCTGATCTTGTTCCGGACCTTTTGATTTTTTTTTCTCCGTTCAGATTCCGATGGTGGTCATAATCGAATGGGTGGATGATATGAAGGCCTCGGCGGTAGACTGGAATGGGCAGAAGGTCGGGAGGGCGGGAAGCGTTGGAGGGTCGCAAAACAACAGGCAACACACACACACACGGGGGAAGGGAGGAAAAGAACCAAAGGCGCTGCGGCCAAAAAAATCGCAGCAACGCAACGGTAAAGAGTAGCGTTCCTGACGACGGAAAGGGTGGTGAGAAGCAACAAGAGGAAACAAGCGATGTTGTTACTCGGTGTGGTTGTCTTGTTGTTTAAGGGCAGGCTGGTGGTTGCAATGGAGGTTGAGGCGGGGAAGCGATGATTGGTGCGCGGGCGGGCAGAAGTAAACAAACAAGGAAGGCAGCTCTTTGTTGGTGGCGTTGCTCCTGACGACGTTTTGTTTAGCGGCAGACGAGGGGTTGGCAGCCACACCATGACTGAGGTGCACAATGCACCAGCACACTGCCCGAGGAGAGGGGAAATCGTAGAAATCCACCGAGAACACCACCCGGTTTCTGCTGCTGCACCTGTGTCCACTCTTTCTGCGACGCTCAACAGCGGCTCTAGCGACTTAGCGAGCCCCGAAAGACGACGACGAGCCACTAGAAGCGGCTGCTTTGGCGGTCCAACTGCTGAGGCGGCTGCAGGGAGAGAAGAAGACGAAGAAGAAGCAAGCACCTCAGGCAAGCAACCAATAAGCAAGCAAGCAGCCGTCCTCGTCCTCGTCCCGCCTCTGCCCTCTGCCCTCTGCCTGGGTGCACCAGGGACAGGCAAGGAAGGTAGAAACAACACACCGGCGAGCAAGGTATCGCTCTGTCAATGTCAACAACAACCTGATTTTTTTCCCCTCTGTGTTGTGAGCCGCCTGCATTCGCCGGGCCAACAGCACAGCTGAGAACATGGGCCCTGCATTCAATCAAGTCATCATGATGAACACCTTGTCCTGTCCCTTGCCAGCTCGCTTCCGTCCGGCATAAGGCAGGATGTCGTGCTTTTGTTTCTATCTGGGTATCGCCATTGTATCGAGTTTGATGGGGCCTCTACTCCTCCGTCTGTGTTTTGTGGACTGTTGATATTTACGCATTACAAAGTCTTTGTATGGGTTTCTGGGCTGAATGGATCTGAGGATGAGCTGTAAATTTCTTTACTACGTAGTAGACACTTTCACCAAGTTGTCAAGGGGTACGTACAGTGAGGTGGGAGTGAGTAAAAGTATCACGATGCCTCCGCTATTGGTGCTCTCTTATCACTGAGTCTGGACTACTTACGACTCGGGTTGCCTAGCTGCAGCTGTCCGTCCGTCTGGCGTCTTCTCTTTGAGTCCTAGCTGATTCGTATTCTTGTCAACGTCCAACGTTGTCGTCTCGGCTTGAGTCACTTCTATTTGTCTTCTCTCCTTACTCGAGTTTTCTTTCACATGTACACCATCTCAGTAATACTTCTAGCCCCAAAACTGATCGACCGGACTTTGTTCCTGGAAGCAGCACCATCGTCCCCGCCCCCGCCGGCGCAAAAGCCATCGATTTTCCCAAAAAGGCCGATGTGCGCCGCGCCGCAATCGACTTCCTTGTGGTCCAGTCAAGGACTCCATCCTCTCCGCGAGAAGCCAGGTGCACCAGCTGCCCCCAATCCCATCCTCCCATCCCCCATCCGATGCCCCTCCCTCCTGTCATCCTTTCCTCCTCAGCCCCTCCTCCTCCTCCTGGTAACCTAGAAGATCGGAGACGAAGGAGAATAAGAATGCCCATCCCGAAGCACACCATCGATCGTGCATTCCCTCAAATACGTACATATGTACGTAAATCTCGCAGAATGGATCCATCGTCCCCGTCCCCATAGCCTCATCGTATCGTATCGCCACGGCGTCCAAGGAGAGAGGAGTAATGTCTGGAGGTCCCATCGTGTGTTTTACCACCGAAGCTACTCTTTCATGTTGTTTTCCTTCCGGTCTTCTAGCGCCGCGCCCCGTTGCTGGTCGCACCGTCTGAAACAAATCAACCACCGCCGTCGCTGCCGCCGCCGTCGTCCCAGTCGCACGGTCGCTCGCCCGTCGGATGTGACTTGACGCCTGTCATCCCAACAGTTTACGTTTTTTTTTTTTTTTGCCTTCTGAACACACGACTAATACGACCTCACTCTCACTCCCCTTGAGCCTTGTTCCACCCCACGCACTCCTCGAGCTTCACACCGTTGCCACCGAAACAGTCCAGCGCGCTGCCAATCGTCAGGTCCACCTTGCCCTTGCTCAGCTTCTTCACCATCTCCAGGTCCGCCAGGTTCCTGCCGCCCCCCGCGTACGTCACGGGCAGGCTGCACCACTCGGCCAGCCTCTCCACGAGCTTCTCGTCGATGCCCTTCTGCAGGCCCTCGTTGTCCGCCGCGTGGATGAGGAACTCGGAGCAGTACGGTTCCAGCTGCTTGATAGACTCTGTTTCGTTGTCGTCGTGCTTTCAGTCAGCCATCCGTCCACACTTCCCGGCATGAATCCGCACAGAAAGCATGCCTGACTACCCTCTCGGGGTGAGAACCACAAACCTTGGTTGACCTCCATGTCCGTGATGGTCTGCCACTTGTTCATGGCCACGAACCACCTGTCATCCCCGCGCCTCCGGCAGCTGAGGTCGATGACGAGCTTTCCCCTGTCGCCCCCGAGCGCCTCCAGCACCGCGTCCAGCCTCTCCTGGCTGAACCGGCCCTCCGGGAACAGGTACGACGTGATGATGACCTTCTCCGCGCCCGCCTCAATCCACTCCCGCGCGTTCGCGTCGCTGATGCCGCCGCCGACCTGCAGCCCGCCCGGCCACGCCTTCAGCGACTCCCTCGCCGCCTCCGTGTTGCCCGGTCCCAGCATGATCACGTGCGCCCCCGTGAGGTCGTTGTCGCGGTACAGCTTGGCGAAGTAGGCCGGCGGGTGCGTCGACACGAAGTTGGTCTTGAGCTCCGCCGTCGTGCTGTCCAGCGTGCCGCCCACGATCTGCTTGACCTGGCCTGCGTGCAGGTCTATGCACGGTCTGAATCGGGTCATTTTGGGTGAGATTTGCTGCTTTTTGTTTTACTAAGAAAATAAATTTTGGCGTGTGGTTTGTCGGAGGAGATATGCCTTCCTCGAGATGCGTCACTGTAGCCCACCGAACCCCTCCTGTTCAAGTTTTGTGTCTGTGGTGGGGTTCGGCCCGGTACCGGCCTAACTTTGGAACTGTCTGCACTCCGGCGTCTTTGCGCTCAATGGCTCGGATTCCCTCGTGGTAAGATGCCAATCGGGTGTTACGAGTGAAGCAGTACATCTCGAGTGAAATTTGATGTCTTCAGAATAACCATGCAACAGAAAAGGTGGTATAGCACGTCGGGTGGACGTCAACATGCTGTTACGACGCGACATCCACCACCATCTGAGCCAAATCTCGCAACCCAAAACCGAAACCAAGACAACAAAGAGCAAGAGTCTAACTCTTCATCGACGCCGCCAATTGACTTTGCGAGACAGACACCGACCGTTCTTCGTGCTTCTCTGGGTTGTATTGCACCCCCAACGTCCCGCCTCTGCCGTGCATCGCGAAACATGCGGCACGAGTCGACTTCGCAATGGGTCTAGGGCCCAGATAACAGCGGAAAATTCCATGTCGGGTCGTGTGTTCTAGTTGGTTAAGATTCTCGCCTCACATTTCTGCGATATCCGCAGGAGGACGCGAGAGGTCGCAGGTTCGAGCCCTGCCACGATCAATTTTTGCCCTTTTCACAGCCGATAGGCTTCATTTTTGATCGTAGCATGTCTGTCCTGCTAGTCCGTAACGAAAACATGGTCTGCGGACGAGATTGGGCGTCTCGGGAACTAGAAGGTGAATGGCCGTGCCCAAGTAGTGTTGTTCCCAACTAGAGAATGGTGTAGCCTCCTCGCCAATTCGACCATGCCGGCGGCTGGCCGTCTTGATTGAAGACTGGTTCGGGCCGAGCAGCATCTCCTCCGGGTGAGTGTCTGCTGCGGGCACAAGATCAGGACCGAAGTACCTCTAGAGCAGCCGCACGTCACTGGCGGCCCGCAGAAAGTACCTTCTTGGACACAGTGTTCCGGATATAAGGATATTCAGAGCACTGAAGTTACCGTCCATCTCCCCCGTCCTTCCCACATCTCCTCCACTGATTGGTTTGGTTCCCTTGCGTCTTACATGGGTGTGTTCTCTCGTAGGGCTGAGTATCTCGAAAGTCGTCGCTACAAAGTCGTTGATCAAAGGCAGAGACGCCCCACCGTTTAACCTATCGTCGATCTGCGATCTCACGGACGTTGGCTCACGACCAAAGACACGATCACGCTTATCCAGGTCTTTGACAGGTTCCGAACGTCGAGGAGCGTGAGGGAAGAATGTCGCCAAGGAGGCTCAAATTTACATTCACCGCCGTATATCGTGACGGCAACTCATAATTACATGACTGATGTCCAGACTTAATCCGTCCAGCTACGTTAACAAAACCGGCCTCCCTCCACCAGTTATACACATCCATACCGGTTTTCCCTTATCCAGATACACCATTCACAGGGCCCTTTCTAACCAAGCAGTATATCAACCCGGTCCCTCGCAACGCTGTCCCAAACCCGCTGTACAACATGCCCCAGACCCCTCCGGTAGCACACGCCCCCGACCCTCTCGACCCACAGCACGTTGACAAAGTCCACGATCTCGTCCTCGTCCATGTTGTCCCGGAACGCCTCCGCGTCGAAAACGTGGCTCCCGCCCCTCTCGCTCGCCGTCGATATCGCCACGAACTCCAGCTTCTCCTCCCCCGTGTGGTTCGCCCCCTGCAGCCCCAGCCAGCTGTCGTGCGCCGTCACGTTGCCGCACCACTTGCCGCTCCGCGACCAGATGTTCCCGATCGCGAGCGGCACCCCGTACCCCCTGCCCGGCCCCATCATCCCCGCCGCCCCGGCCCCGGCCACCCCTGATCCGGCAGCCGCACCCGCAGCAGCAGCTGCCGCCGCCGCGGCCTTCCCCTCCGGCGGCGCCCCGTTCCTCGCCGTCGCGAAGTCCACCTCCAGATACGCCACCGTCGTGCTGAACGACAACAGCGTCGCGCTCATGGAGTAGTCCAACGGCGCCGCGGCCGCCTCCGGTCCCATCATCTCGCCCACCGGCACCGGGTACCGAAACAAGACCTCCGGATCGCCCGCGTACCTGAACCCGCCGCCGCCGCTCCTCGACCACCCCGCCGGCAGGGGCTGCGTCCTCCGGTTCCTGCGGTCCCGGAACATCAGCCCGTCGTTCGGCAGCCGCGTGTACGTCGCCCGGTCCGTGAGCTCGTAGTTCACCAACGGCCTCAGCCGGAACGCGTACGGGCTCCTGAACCGCCGATCCGCCCTCCTGCCGGAAGGCGGCGCCTCCTGTACGTAGTCCGCCGCCGCCCTCCAGAGCGTCATGTCCGCGGGCACGCCGTCGTAATGCCACCCGAGCCAACTCCAGCTCGGGAGCGGGTTGAGTCCCGTGACAGGCTGCACCATCATCCTCCTCCTGACCATGGCCCTCGGTTGCCACAGCATGGCGATATCGAGCATGGACACCGGCATGCCGAAGACGAAGCCACCCGCGAAGGACTTGGATAACACATTCGTGATGCCCCTCAGCGCCCTCGTCGTGTCCGACATGAGCGTGACCCGCCTCGCGCTGTAATCCATCGCGATCCTTGCGTACTCGTCCATGTCCGGCCACACGGGGTGCAAGAACCCCGTCGCCGCGGGAAATGTCCGCTGCAGACACGGCTGGTTCTTGTTCCCGCCCTTCAGAATCTTGCTGAACCTGCCCCCGGCCCCCGGCGCCCCCTGCCACACTTCGCAGTGGCACTCCCACGTCACCGACTCCTCAAACACAAACACCTTCCTCCTCGAATACATCCCCTCCTGCAACGTCCACGCCCGGCCGGCCCACCTCGACCCCAGCATCAGATCCTCGTGCCTCCCCTTCCCGGCCGCCTTGGGCGGCGGCGTCCGCCTCATCAGACCCGTCAACCCGCTCTCCGCGTCCCCGGCCGCGGCCACGATCGTGAGGTACGCGTTCGCAAATATGTACGCCATGTTCTTGATGTGCTCCTCCCTCTCCACGTCGTCGTCCTGCACGATGCAGAACCGATCGACCCACAGATACTTAACACCCATCTTTCTCGCCAACCACATGGCGTCCAGGATCGTCTGCGGGATGTCCGCATCGTCCAGACTCGCCGTCAAGACGTCCAGGTTCTCCCTCAGCGTCTCCACCGGACCCCTCGAGCTCGGGAGCGGCGGCTCGTAGACGTAGCTAAGCGCAACGTACCGGTCCGTCGCCCTCGCCCTGACGAGACACCGGTTCACCGAGTCGATGAGCCATATCGGGCGCCACGTATCCCCCGGCGGGCCGGTGCAGTGGTCGCCATGTTCGGCGTTGCAGGTGTCGAGCCATTCGCGGACACGGCCGACGGGGTTAAATTTGCCGGCCGCCGTGGAGGCGGACGAGGCGCGCCGGGAGGGAACGCCGGACGATCCCGTCGGCTCCCTCGCCGTGCGCGCCGTCCACGTGTTCAAGAGCCGCTCCGTGATGCTCTGCCGTTTGGAGCCGTTGTGGTGGAGGTTGCTCTCGTTCGCGACAACGCTCTGGCGTCGCAGGTGTGATGGGTCCGCGACGACGCTGTGCCGTTTTACATCCCTGGGAGGACTGTCCCTGTCTCTATCCCGGTCGCGGTCCCGGGGGCTTTCCCTATCTCGATCGCGGTCCCGGTCGCGGTCTCTATCCCGATCTCTGTCTCGACTTCTCGGGACGTCTCTGTCGCGATCCCTGGGGAAATCCCTATCCCTGTCTCTATCCCTCTCAAGGTCTCTCTCACGCTCGCGCAGCTCTCTCTCACGAAGCCTCTCGGCCTTCACGTCCCGCTCTCTACTCCCCCTGTGCCGCGGTTGTGAATACAAAGGCGTGGGTGCGGGTGGTGGTATAGGTGAGTATTTATCCTGTTGGCGTTGTTGCGCCGGCGGCCGTCGCTGGGGCGGGGGCGTCGGGGATCTATATCGACTCACATCGTCCTCGTCCGACATCGAGGACGCGGACGAAATTTCGTCTGGTAATATCGACGCCGCAGCTCCTCCTGTTCCTCCTCCCGCGGCAGCTCCAGCAGCAGCTGCTGCTGCTGGAGGTGGTGGCGGTGGCGGCGGTGGTGGTCCATTGGCCGCCGGACCGCTGCCGCGGGCGGACGGGGACGTGTGCTCCATCTGAAGCGTCTCACTGGGTATCAGACGCACCCGAAAGGCCTCCCAGCGAAGGGAGAGCGAAGGGCAGAGAGATCAAACGAGAAAACGAGATGCCCAGCGCACGACGCACGACGTCGCCGGCGGGGAGGGGACACACCGGACGTCCCTCCCAAAAACAAAAGAAAAAGTCCCTTGCGTGCGTGCGCGAGCGCCGCCGTGGGCTTGCGCGTTATGTGGCTGCTCTCTCTCACACGCGAGCGAGAGATGAGAAGCCGTGCGAACGGACGTCCTTGAGGAAATCGATGGCGCAGAGGACGTAATCACGCACCCTCGACGAAGGCGACCGATCTCGGATGGAAAACGGCGTTGGTTTCGATGGTTCTTGTTGCCGTATGTGTGTTGCGACAGGAAGAGAAATTCGACTGGGCGCCTTGCGACACGCGGCTGCGCAGTAAGGTGAGTGAGACGACTCCCGAGCTATGGGTGTGAGTGTGAGTGCGATGTGAGAGGGCGAAGGTGAGAGGTCGGCGCTCCGCCACCCCCGGCCCGCCCGCCGACCAACCTCAATCGTTCCCCAGCCCCCTCCATTAAATCAGATTAACACGGCGAGAAAGGTGATGATTCCTCACAATTGGGCTTTCTACGCTACCGCGCAGTAATTGCGATTGACACCCAATGCTACAGGGCCCTTCCCTACCCGCAATTAACAGGCAAGATTAGCTGATCGATCGGGGCAGACACACCCAAGCAAGGCGCATCGTCATGTTAGTCTTCGTCAACGCCAGTAACACACATCACCACTTCACAACGTCCGGCCCGCCTCGGTCCGTGCCATCATTCCTTGTCACCTCGTGGCATATTGAAACGACTTGTCAACCAGTCCATCGTGCTCACATCTATTAAAATACAATTGCTTGCTAATCTAACAAACTTGCGGTCTCTTCAGCCGCTGTGAACCAGGGCATCCTCCTCCGCCGCCTCTCCACCATTCGACTGCCTCTGGAGCCATTTTTCTGGCCCGTGGTATTCATTGTATCGAGTGCCGTCCCGCCGTTACCTTTACACGTTCCAAAGCCTCCCAATCCGTTACGCCTGTAAATGTGCATTCTCGAGTGATGTTGTAGTCGGCAGGCCAGTGGGGATAATGCGCCAGATGAGCCCGCGACTACGCGCCATCGTCGTGTCCTGCATCAAACCCGAAGAAATAAAAAGAACCACTCTCCAAGTTCATTAAACATCACCTGCTTCAGCTCACCGAAACATCAGAAAACCCCGTTCAAATCTACTGCTCGTCGTCGCTCTGGGCTCCGTTGCTTCCGCCATTTGTTTCTTTGGCCCCATTGGACGACGAAGAAATCAACTTGATCCTGGTGCCGGAGCTTGCGGGCTGAGGTGTTCCGGCGCTGGCGCTCGCGCTCGCACTAGGCGCTGCAGAGCCCTCCTTGGATACTTCGGCCTCGAGTTCCCGAAGCTCAGGATGCTTCTCGAGTTCTTTGTCGAGCTCTTCGTGGAAGAATTTCTGAAGAAAAAAAATTAGCCTTACTGCCTCGTCATCAAACGTCTTCCTCAATACTAACCTGGAGAACCTGAGCATCCTGGTAGAGCAGCGAAGCTTCCTCGTTGTACGTCTGGCAGTTGTTGAACATCAAGTTGACGTCTTTGCGCATGTCGCTCAGACAGTAGTACTGATTCTTCTTGATCTTGGTATCGATCTGTTTCATCGAAATGGGATTTTGAATAATCAGATAGTAGTCGGCGTAGTCGCGCTTGGGAGGCAGCTGCAGGAAGGGTCCAATGATGATCCGCTTGCCTGCTACTGATTCGTCGTCGTCCTCCTCTGGCGGTTCGGGATCGTCAACCTCCAGATTCATCATGCCCTCGTACAAGGCACGCAGGCTGCCCTGCAAGATCTGTCGTTGATGTGGCGATACGCGCGGGGCATCATTCACATTGGGCAACGACACCGCCTTGGGTCTGCCTTGCGGTCCGCGACGTTTCTTGGCCGGTGGCTCATCATCGCCTTCTTCCGCCTTGCGCTTCTCCTGATTCTTGCTGCCAGGCTTACGACCCCTCTTCTTCGGGGTCTCCACTTCTTCAGTGCTGGCACGGCTGGCAGAGGGCGAAGCATCTGCAGCGTTCGCAAGAGCACCCCTCTTGAGCTTGTTGGTCTCGCGTTTGTCCTTCCGGGCTTGCTTGCGTGCTGCTGCTGCCTCAGGCGAGTCGTCATCATCGTCGACGGCCATGAGCCATTGTTCCTCCGTAAGACCGTCGTCGTAGCGGACCTTGGTTCGCTCACGAGCTCCACGTCCGAGGCTTGTCTCCACCTCTTCTTCCACAGGGTTTCCATCACCGAGGTAAATGTCCGGAAGCTCTTCTTCAGCCATTAAACGGGGTTTGGCCTTGCCAACGGGGGGTTCGCCGTAGATCGGATCCCTCTTGCGCTCGTCATCGAGTTTTTGGAAGACAGTGACTTCGTCATCGCTACGGGCCAGCAGCAAGTTCAACTCTTCGTCGTCCATTTCATCTTGATCGCCCGTTTCCGCCATATCGGCAGTCTCGAGCAGCGTTCGCAACATGGCGTCACGGTCCGTTTCGGTAGACTTGTTGTCGAAACGACCGGCCTGGATGACTTTGCCATCCATGTCAAGCTTGAACCTTGCTCTCTCCAAAATCTTTTCTTCGACCGAGTTTGAACTGATGAGACGCAGAATTCGCACCTCATTCTTCTGTCCAATACGATGCGCACGATCTTGAGCTTGCAAATCTTGATGAGGGTTCCAATCGGAGTCGTAGATGATGACAGTGTCTGCAGTCTGCAAATTGAGACCCAGGCCACCAGCACGCGTCGAGAGCAAGAACATGAAGTACTCAGAGTTAGGCGCATTGAACTCGCGCAACAAATCGGAACGCTCGTCTGACTTGGTCGTACCATCCAGACGAAGATACTTCAAGTTGCGGTACCTGAGGTAATCCTCCATGATGTCCATGATAGCCGTCATCTGGAAGAACATGAGTACACGATGGCCAGTGGCCTTGTACTTGGGCAGAATTCGATCCAGAAGCTCGAACTTTCCTGCCGTTCTCCAGAGTAGATCGTTGCTGACGCTCATGGGATTCAACAAGTTCTCGACTTCGTCGAAAACGAACGGATGGTTGCAAAGCTTTCGGAGCTGCATGATCATGTTGCTCAGTCCACGAGCACCTGTCTTGCCACCCTGTCCATCGCTGACGAGAATCTTGTTGTGCGTGACCATCTGCTTGTACAGCTTGGATTGCAGAGCAGAGAACTTGCATTTGATGACCTTTTCTGTCTTGTCGGGCAGATCCTTTTCGACATCCTTCTTCAAACGACGAAGCAAGAACGGACGCAACACCTTGTGGAGACGGCGAATGACAAGAATCTGCTCTTCTTCCGTGAGGTCCATCTTGTCTTGGCCACCAGTGTTGGCAAAAGGCGTGTTGAACCACTCGTCGAAAGTCTTGGCGGATTTGAAAATGGTGGGCAAAGTGAAGTTGAGCATAGCCCACAATTCTGTCAGGTTGTTTTGCAGAGGAGTACCGGTCAAGATGAGACGGAATCTGGTGTGGTAGTATTGCTGAATGGTGGACGTCAACTTGGAGTTCTGGTTCTTCATGCGGTGACCTTCGTCGATGATCATGTGGAACCACTTGATTTTGCTGAGAATGGGGCGGTCCTTGATGATGTACTCGTAGGTGGTGAGCAAGACCTGGAACCGTCCTTGGCGGATCTTATCCTGCTGCTGCTTTCTGGCCAAAGGAGGGCCCTTGTAGACAATCTTGGAGACAGACGGCGCCCACTTCTCGAACTCGAGAGTCCAGTTCGTCAAAGTACTGAGGGGGACGATGACGAGGTAAGGGCCTTCCTGCTTCTTGCGTTCAATGAGATAGGTCACCAAACTGATTGTTTGGATAGTCTTGCCGAGACCCATTTCATCAGCAAGAATACCGTTCAAATTATTGTTGTAAAGCGAGATCATCCACTGCAGACCCTTGACTTGGTATTCCTTCAATTTTCCACCGACCAGAATGTCGGCCTGCTCGGTGACCTCTTCCTTGATGCGATGGGCAACAGCGTAGTAGTCGATCTTGCGTGCGCTGTCTTCGTCGTCGCTGTCCACTCCACTTGGCTCTTCCTCGTCTTCTTGAATGTCTTCGTCGCCGAATTGCTCCGCTTGAGCCTTCCTCTGCTGAGACTTGACGGAAGCAGCAAGTTGGCGCAAAAAGCCGTCAGTTTGTCGCAGGAGGTGGGTAATACGAGTATCCTTGGCTTCGTCGAGCAGTTTGAGGTATGCCTCTTCATCGTTGGCTTTGAGGGCCTGCAGACGCTGCTTGGCTGTGCGCTCGATTCTCTTCTGTTCTTCCTTCTCAATATTGTAGTGCTGAGAGAACATGAGCTTGTTAAGCTTCGAAGACTTGGTGCGCTGGCTAGTAACTGTCGTCTGGATGTCGGTGCGGTGCTTCGTGATAGCCTGCAGGAAGTCGATGTGTCTCTTCTTCTCGCGGTTCTCACGGATATCACGTTGTTGCTTCTCAAGCTTCTCTGTGATCCTGGCTTCGCGAACGGTCATCTTCTTCGTGCGACGGTAGCCGGAGCGATTGGTTGTCATGGCAAGATTGTCGTAAAACATCATCGACCGTCCAATCTTATCGCGCAGCGCACGCTGCTTGGCGTACAGGCCCAGAGTCTTCATCTCGATGATAGACTTCACCTTGGCGCTGTCGTCGACCTCGACATCGTCCTTGGTCGCATCCCAATGGGCGATGTTTGCGGGAGTGGCTTTCAGTTCCGCATAGCGATCCTTCATGCGGTTGAAGACGATGAGTTCCCGCTCGTATCGCAGTTGCTCAAAATCAACGCCAGTCGGGAAGAGTCCAGGGATGAGTTTGCGGTTCTTGCGTTGTGTGTGCTCGAAATGGCTAATGGACTTGCGAACCAGGGTTGGATCACCATAGGGAGACTTGACGTTCTTGAACGTGGGCCCTTGAATCTCCGGGGTATCTTCGGACTTGGTTTCAGCTCCGTTGGAACCAGGCTGTGCCGAGTCGCGCGAAGATGCTGCTGGTGTTGATGAGGCTGCTAATGCGGCAGCTTCAGCGGCAATGGCTTTCCGGCGCTCACGCTGGGCGAAGATGGCCTGCTGCATGGGCACAGGTACTCCGGAGTTCTTTGTCAACAACTTGAAGGCATGAATCTGCTGGCGAAGCAGACTCAGTTGTTGCGCGTTGAATTGGCCAGCCGCAGGGTTGTTAGACGGGGCAGCCGTTGACGGGGAGCCAGACGATGCGGCTTGGTTTGAGGCCGGGGCGGGAAGGGCAGAAGCGCCTAGCGCGGCCGAAGACGGTGGTTGTGTCGATTGAGGCGGCTGCTGCTGGTGCTGCTGCTGCTGGTGCTGCTGTGCGGGTTGCGCGCCATTGACAGTACCGTTGGGGCCAGCTTGTTGCATCTGACGCTGTTGATGCATTTGCTGCTGCTGATGCAGAAATTGCTGTTGCTTTTGCCGCATGCGCGCTTGTTGTTGAAAGGACAGGACGAACTGCTCTGCCTTGATGTATTCGGGATCTGTGTTCGGGACGCCATTCTCTCTCATCTGTTTGAATTTCTTGACGGAGTTAGCATCATCCATCGACAACGGAGCGCCAGGCCATCAACGGGATGCAATGTCATCAAAAACGATGACTGGAAGGGTCTTACGTTGAATATCTCTTGAGCCTGCTGAGGAGTAGTGGCGGCCATGCCAGCGCCAGGAAGCTGGACAGCAGGCGGAGCCTGAACGGAAGCCATGATGGGCAGTGTGTTCGCCGCAAACCTATGGACTACTGGAATCTCGAGAGATGCAACGATTATCTCGCGCGCATTATCATGCAAACGAAGTCGTGTAGCAGAACAAGTGGAGCCGAGTTGAAGGGTTGTCGCGTTGGGCTCTTGTCGCGAAAAGAGAGACTAGAAGGCTAAGAATGGTGCGTGACGGAAAATACGGCGCGTCGTCGTTGAAAGGGCTGGCCTGGGGGCTGCGACGTCGGTCTGGAGTGGGAAGCGCGATGCCGTGGGCGGCTCGGAGACACGTCGGTCGCGTGGAAAAGGTTCACGGAGATGGAGGATGGACTTCAGCCGCAAAGAAATGAGATGCGGTGCCGCGAAGCGTGGGGGAAAAGCCGGGTGGAAGGGGGAATCGCGGATGAGGCGAAAAATGCAAGTTGGGGGTAAGGGCGCGGCGTCGGGGCGTTGCCTCGAGCGGGATGCGCGAGGAAATCGCGTGGAAAAGGTTGCTGGACACTTTTCGAGATGGTGTCGATGCCTGTAGAGGGGGTTTGGCGATTTTTCGATGCGCGCGGTGCCGGTTGAGATGGAGAGGTGAGGACAACGACAAGATTCATTGATGGTTGGTGCGGTCTGTGAAACGCGGTCCCCGTAATTTTCAGCACAGCAACAAGTTGGTGCCTGAGGCAGAGAGCGCTAGGCTGATTATGTACAAGCGAGGACGCTCGGGCCAGCTTTTTCCTTGATCCGCTGCCAGGCAGGAACAGTGGGACACCCGTGGGACGCAGGCACCGGCTGTCGACTGGCTGGCTCCGGGAGCTATCTCGGCCACCCACGCCTGGAATGCCGCTTGGCGTTTACCACTTGCGCCCGTGGTAAGAAAAAATAAAAAAATAAGAGTAGTGTACAGCCAAAGTGTAGAGGGGAAAACGAAAAAGGACGGGGTTTCGCCCAGATTGAGGAAACGCGTTATTCCTTGCCCTCTTTTCTCCAGTCGCGTTGCTTCCACCCCATACCTACAGATGGACCCTGGGCCTGACCCGATGAGCTGGCCATACCCAAGGTAGCGGGGGATGTCCACACTGCTGCAAGTCACAGTGCTTGCGTGTCGCCCTGCATCCCGTCCGAGGGCTGCTCCAAGTGAAGCTAATCTGGACGGTTAACAAGTGGAGAGAATCTCACGAATGCATGCCCGCCATATGGCTCTCGCCGGCCATCTCCCGCGTCGCTCACGCTGAGGTTTTGGCCCCAGCGGATCAGCCACCCACACACAGCCTTGATCATCACCAATAGACCCCTCTCACCGACCCTTGATCATACCTGTAATCCTGCTGCCGAGTTCCCCAACGAGGATTGACGCTTACCATGCGCCTTCCTCTTACCTCCTGACCTTCTTTTTGTCTGGTCCCTCCTCTTCGTCGCTCACATTCGCGTACTGAGTAACCGGCTGTGTCTTCTGCCACGCCGCAGTGAACATGGGGTCCTTCTGGGCAGCATCGGCATACTTGAGTAGCGCTTCTCGAGGGTCCTCATGAAGCATCTTCGCAAGAGGTATGTTCTCTGCGATGTGCTTTTCGTCTGGCTGATTCCGCATGAACGGCGTTTGCTGCAGCACCTCTGGTCTTCTTGGATCCCTGGACTTGCCAGAAGCCGTGACTCCACCCGTCCTCCTACCAGCCATCGCGCTGCCCGGCGTCACTATGGAGTCACCCGAAATTCCCACCGACAAGTCCGTCGTGCGAGTCGGGTCGTCGTCGATGTGACGCTTCTTCGGTGCTCGTGACATGACCTCGACAGCACCTCGTGTAGACATTGTCGGATTGTATAATACGTGTGTTTCTCCGTTGGCCGATCCAGTAACGATCTGGTTGATCTTCGGGTGCCAATCGACAGTGATGAGGGGTGCTCCAGGCGTGATGGGCGTGACGTGCTCGGGACGAAGATTGCCAGGGTTCAGAATGTGCAGATCGCCCGTCGCGGATCCCGTGAGAATGCTCGTCGAATTTGGCGAATATCGAATATTGCTCATCGGGAAGTGATCTGAAGTCGATGCGTGGTCAACAGTAACCAGAGGCGTCTTAAACTTGCGCATATCCCATAACTTGATCGTGTTGTCTCCTCCACGAGTAACCACCATTCGGCCGTCCGAAGAAATATCGATGCCTCCAGTCCACGTGTCCGGCTTGTGGGCGTCGCGAACTTCGGCTGTGGGCCGTGAGAAGGGGCTGTTGCCGCTGTACATCACCAGTGAGCCGTCAAGAGCTGCGGCCACAAGCACATTGTTGCCGCCTTGCACTGGCGAGCCCCATGCGACCGCCGTCATCCTCGTACGACCTGCCGATCCAGCTGCCCTGGATTTGAAGACAATCACGTCCCTCTGGCTTCGTTTGTTGTTGATATCCCAGATCCTCAGGGTGCTGTCGGTGCCTGCAGTGATGCACAGGTTTTTGTCGGCGGGATGCCACGTTCCTGTTGTGACCTCGGAGATGTGGCCCTTCGTGTTGTTCATGTCCCGTAGGTACATGTCGCCTTTGACGAACTCTGTCAAGATATCTCCGTCCCTCGACATGATTTTTGCTTGCGGATGCGCCGATACGCAGAGGAAGACGCTGCCCGAGAGGTGGTTGAACTCGACATGGTGGATAGGGTGCGACTCGGCGCTTGCGGCGGAAGCTTTCGTTTCCCATGGATCGACGCTGCGGAATGCGCGGAGCGTACTGGGCGTCATGGAAGCGAAGTCGTGAAGATTGATTTTGCAATCGAGCGACGCAGACACGAGCCGTCCGCCGGCCGGGTCCAGCGTAACCGTCGTCACCGCTCTTTCGTGCGTCTTCAGGACCAGCTCGTGGGAGACCGGGTACTCGTCGCCGTCATCCGAATCGTCCGAGTCAGAGTCGTCGTCGCTGTCACTGTCATTGTCTGAGTCGGACTTCTTCTCGCTCTGGTCTGTTATGGGCGGACCTGCAGATCCTTCCTTCGAGTTTCCCGTCGCGGGCTTCTCCGCTACTCTTCGGCTTCGATCGATTTGAGCGGCGATGTTGGCTTCCTTTGATTTCTTGCCAAACGATGCGGGGAGGAACGCGCGCATAGGGTCGTCAGCAGCGAGTTCGGCTCCCTCAACTACGATGTCTTCGTCGTCGCTCATGGTGGCGGTCTGGTCGTTGTGCAGCAGGTTTGTACGAAGGAAAGTTTGAAGAGGAGAGAACGCTCAGGATCCAAAATCAAAACGGAGGGACTGGACCAGCAGACCACAGGGTGATGTCAGGCAGGAGCCGTCAGGCAAGGGTCCTCGCTTAAGCGAAAGTTAAGTGTCGCGCTGGGAATGGGGCTAGCGGCGCAGAACGTCGCCTGATCCTCAGACTTCGCAATCTACTCTCTCCGTTTCCAAGGCCTCAAAGTCACCACCCAAAAACAAAGGCACGCTCAATTTCTTGAATGTGAAGATCTCCCGTAACATTAGTCTAGGTAAAGAAGGTTTTGATATCAAAGTCATGCTGTTCTTGTCACTTCACGTTGAAGGATGATCCATAGCGGCATACTGCAAAGAAGGATGTCTTGATCCACTGTCTACGGAGTATCTGATCTATGAACCCCTGAGCTCTCCTCGGAGAACTTCGTCTCGGAAATGCAAATCTGCGCTAGCTCTCCGAGACTCTCTGACGCATTCACCACTCGCGAATCTCACCACCGGGACCCTCGAAGCCAGGGGTGACCCAGATCTCGCAGTTCTTCGAGAGCTCTCGGACCTTGGCCTCATCGACCTCAATACCCAGGCCGGGGCCCTTGAGAATGTCGATGTAGCCATCAACGGGGCTCCAGACCTCCGGGTTCTTGATGTAGCTCGTGAGATCCTCGTTGCCGACCATCGAGTTGTAGTGGATGCCGAGGCTCATCTCCTGAATGCAGAAGTTGGGCATGGCGGTGTCAACCTGGACACTCGCAGCGAGAGAGATGGGACCCAAGGGGCAGTGGGGAGCAACGGAGACGTCGTACGCCTCGCACATGGCGGCAATGCGACGAATCTCGGAGATGCCGCCGACGTGAGAGATGTCGGGCTGGAGGATGTCGATGCACTGGGCCTCCAGGAAAGGTCGAACGTCCCAGCGGTGGTAGAGGCGCTCGCCCAGGGCAATGGGAAGGGTCGTCTTCTGAGACAGAGCTGTGATGCCTCCAATGTTCTCCGACAGGAGGGGCTCCTCGATGAAGTACGGCTGGTGAGGCTCCATGAGCTTGGCAAGCTGACCGGCCATCGCCTTGTGAACACGGCCGTGGTAATCGACACCGACGTCGAGGCCCATCTTCTTCACCGTCTCAAGTCTCTCAACGGCAGTCTTCAGAGCAGACGGAGAGTCAAGCCAGCCGAGGTCGGCGGTCGCATTCATCTTGACGCAGGTGAAGCCAGCGTCGATGCGCTTCTTGCTATTTTAGGGTCAGCTTGATCTAGTATTGGAAGGAGCGGCAACTTACGCCTGAAGAGCAACATCGGCAGGGCGGTCTCCACCAATCCAGGCGTAGACCTTGATCTTCTCGCGGACCTTTCCACCGAGAAGCTCATAGATGGGAACGCCCAGCTTACGTCCTACACATTATAAAATCAGTAACCTTCTTCACTGCGGACATCGGTATCCAAGCATACCCTTCAGATCCCAAAGGGCAATGTCGATGCCCGAGAGGGCGCTCATGAAGACAGCACCTCCACGGTAGAAGTGCTTGCTCCAGGCCGACTGCCAAATTCTCTCAATCTCACTGAAAGAATCCATTAGCTCAAACTGGCTATGAAGATTTGGGAACCAAGCTGGCGAGGACAACTTACTCGGCATCCATGCTGGTGAACTGGCTCTTGTAGAACTCAAGGCATCCCTCAACTGCCTGGGTGTGGCCCTCAAGAGTAGCCTCACCCCAGCCGTAGTTGCCATCCTCGTCGGTGATCTTGACGAAGAGCCAGCGAGGGGGAACGCGGAAGTACTCGATGCTCTTGATGGGTGCCATGGTTGCAAGTGGTGAGTGAGTATTGGACTTGAAATTATTTGTTGTTGGTTGGTTGTGAACACGAAGTGTGAAGTGCGATGCGACTTGTGATGTGGTTTGTGTTGTTTGGTGTTGTGTTGAAGAAAGATCTTGCAGCTTTGGGTGAACAAAGGCCTTTTTTATATCTATAATTTGAGGCCAGCCAGAAAACCATTCACCAAGGAAAAATTCACCACAAGGGGTTGGGCTGCAAATGAAAAAGGAAAGAGCTTAAGACTAACAGCAACAGAAGGAGCGACGGATAGAAGAAACAATCGGTACAAGCATGTTTATTTTCATGCTAACAATAATAAGACCTTGCTTTCAGGTACCTTATTATAAGTATATGGGTTATGATCACTTTGCTAGATAGCAGGCTTGGAGAGTATACTTATATCTGATACATCAAGCTCTATGATTCAAAGTGACTCTAGCGGCCAGTAAGCTGTAGACTATAATTTCCAATGTATGTTTTAGATTCTTCTCTTGCTATTTCCTGATGATCACTAATTATTGCTTCTTTCCACATACAGTATCACATGAGTTTAGAAAACGGGACAGTATCTATACTTCCACTCAAATAAGTAACATGCTGGGCACTTTTCTACCCCAGCTGCCCCCAAGAGTTAGTTGCTGGGTTCATGCCGTTTGCAAGATCTGATCATAGTCTGACAGTTGTAGACCAAGACGTTGCTGTGTTATCGAAACAGCAATAAGGAACTTTGTAAGAAGAAAAATGTATGTCAACTTGGCCACGAGTTCAATGACCGGAGCTGAGCTCGTATGAGTAGCCTCAGCGTGGTTGTATTGCAGTGTCCGGCCACCTGGGAGAGCTTTTTCACTCATGGGTCAGGAAATCTGACAGTTTATTGTTCTGCTTCGCTGAGCATGGGCAGGATTTGACTTGGCTGGAGTATGAGTCCTGCTTTCTAGGGCGACGACGGTCATTTGCTCAATTTGTTGGTATCTTGAGAAGCTGCTTTCAACATTAGTAAGGTGGAAGGTAACAGCCAGCTGATCTCCCCCCTGCCCATTGCCACCAACCACATTTATTTCGCTGTTCTTGGTGGATCTACTGAGTGTTTGCCCATTGTTGGTTGTCCTTTGTCGACGAACTTTAATCCATCTGCTATGTCGTGATTGGCCAGAACCCTGGTTGATTTTGAGAATGCAACCCTGGTTGGCGGTTAAGACACCAACAACCAACAGGTGGTGTAATGGACCTTTGAAAGAGACCCCTGTCATGGACTTGATTGCGATTGATTTCTATAATTAAGGATGGCGTTCGCGCTTGATTGTTCTCTGTGTGTGACGTTCTTCCTCTTCATTTCTCCAGTCATTGCCAAACTCCAACAACGTCCATCCTCCTCCACCGTCCTCCGACCCCGGCAGTCTGGAAACTACTTGGATATGTTGCCATCGACGATATCAAACAGATCGGCAATCGCAATACTTGCTGGTTTTGTGCTAGTATTGCTACTGGTCAATTCGGCGTCACGATTTGGCTCTCCCACGAACATCCTCCAGCAACCGTCTGGCGATGAAGCCGACCCGGTCGATCAACCATCATCACCATCGCTCCTCTCGATCTCCTTTCCCTCCAAGATATGGCAAAGCTGGAAAGACGACGCACCAGACCCTACAGAACGCACGGTCGGCTTTCCTCATCAGTGGACTGTTCTTAATCCCGGCTGGCGCTACGAGCGCATCACTGATGCCAATAACGATGCCTACGTTCGCGACAACTTCAACGATACCATCGCGAACCTTTTCACGAGTATGAAGGACCCCATTCTCAAGGCCGACTTCCTGAGATATCTCATCCTTCTTCGTGAAGGCGGCGTGTGGGCGGACATCGACGTGTACCCTCACCAGCCCGTGTCGAAGTGGATTCCGGACGATTTGCTCGGTTCGGTCAACCTAGTCATCGGCATCGAGAACGACCACCACAAGACACCTATCTGGCCCGGGTCCCCATACTCGGTCCAGCTTTGCCAGTACACAGTCCTGGCGAAACCAGGACATCCGGTTATCCAGACGCTGGTTGACCAAGTCACGCACGACCTCCGGACGCTACTAGATTCCAAGTCCGAAGGTGCGCCCATCACGTTCGAAAATGTCATGGCCACCACGGGACCCTTTGCATTCACAAAGGTAATGATGGACTACTTTTCGCAAGTCACGGGCGAGAGTCACACGGGCGACGAACTGGATTCGCTTGATTCTCCGCGGAAGATTGGCGATGTGCTAGTATTGCCGAAAGAAAGCTTTGGGTGGTTGGCTCACGAGAACACCCATAAGAAGGGCGACCCGGCTATTCTTGTAGAGCATCTGTTCATAGGCTCATGGCGGCAAGGCCACCCAGGCTGAATGAGCACCTAGTAGTGAGGCGTTATGTTCCATTGAGCCAAATTGCATCCCTCAAGCAATACGATAAACATTTGATATTCTACTTCTGATTTATGGGCCCTCTTGATTGTATGGTGAAGGTGTTGTCAACTTTTGATCGACGATAATCCCACCTAATGCTTCACCACTCACTGCAGGAAACCTCGTCTCTTTTGCATAACGCTTTAGCGATACCTAGCGAGAAACAATTTTTTGGAGACAACTTTGAAGCCATTTTGTGTCAAGACAGCTTTCTGAGCTGGACACTCTATTAGAGCCTACGAAGAAGCTTAAAGAAAGAGAAACGTACGTAGTCAGTGTGTAAAGAAGGCCGAAAAAGACAGTTAAGCACTCCAACTTATCTACACAAGACTTGACAGTGCCCTTCTTATTACACGTATATTGTGAATAAAAGTTTGCATGTGGTTTCTTGTTGTTATTGAAATTGTTCAAACGCTGTTGAGGTATGTTGCATCACAGCCAGGGCGTGATGAAGGGTGAGCTGAACGAACGATGGAAAAATGAAGAGGCGGACTAAATCACACCCACAGTGAGGCAAGTCGATAACCCGTTATCGTTGTTGTTATTCCTGTTATTGTTACTTTTATCGGTAATATCGCTATTGTAACTGCTGGATCATTGCTAGTGTTATTGCTGGTGCTGCCGTCGTAGTGTTCGGTTTATATCCTCCTGCCTTACTGTCTTACACTTTTCGCGGTGTCGGCTTTCCTAGGGATGAGTGTGGTTTAGATAGAATAAAACTATTTTACATTACGTAGGATGCGCCATGATCTGATTAGTAGCCCAGCCACAAGTTGTACCGTTGTGTCTTGTCTGCTCTTTGCTGCGGGTGTGACTCATTTTATCGGCATCTGGCTCATCCCCAAACTTTATTAGGTGAGCCATCATTTAAAATCAACTACTGCACAAGAACGAATTCCGCGTTCCATCTTCTTCTCATGCTTATATTAGCATCCAAAGCCAACGGATATTAGAGCTCACTTTGTCGCCGAGTCATCATTTTGCTCCCATACTCCGTCAAACACAGCAACATTCACACGTCAGGCATGACGATGTCACGCATCGGATTCTTCGACCTACCCAGGGAGCTCAGGAACATCATATATGAGGCCTACGTGACTATCGATGGCGGTTACATTTGCGACACGGAGGGGTTCATCGCGGGCAAGCTGAGAGGCGCGAACAAGCAGCCTATCGATCTGGCTCTTGCCTACACCTGCAAACAAGCCGCAACCGAGCTCAACGGCCTTGCTCTTCGCATCAATAATGTCACCTTTTCGACTCTTTACAGAGAGGACTTGAGTGTTCTCGCCCTCCACTTCGACTTTTTCATGGACCATCTTGAATTCGACAGGCGACATATGTTCAAGTGTCTTTTCAGCTGCATTCCAGACGCAGCGGGTGAACTGAAGAAGATCTATCCACAGTTCAGTCCAATTCTGGATGTGCTACAACTCGGGGACATGACGAGGCAACGAGAAGTCGCCTTGTTAGGCACTTACGGAGAGGCGCCTTCTGTTTGGAACAAATTTATCAAGGACGCTCTAAGCCTGACGTCAACTCAGAACTGCGAATCATTCTACCGAAGAATGGAAGAGTATTGGATCAAGGAGGTGGATAGGAACAGCGATGATGATCAATGGACCTTTGACGCGCATCCTCCACCCGGTCCCGATCTTTGCAGGTCCGAAACGTCACGAATCGTTGATTGCCCGCTTGAGCCTTGGATCATACCTTCGAGCGGCAGGCTACTGCAGACACGCACCTCTATCTACGGGAGCAAATCACGAACTATTCAGGAGAGCCTCGAGATGCTAGAAAGAAGAGAACAGGAAGAGGAAGGATGCTCTAGGTTCAAATCAAAATACCGGTTTTCCGCTGCGGCAGCTGCAATTGATTTCTTGCAGCATGCACCTCCTACGGTACGAAAACACCTCCGTAAAATCGTCCTGGATGAGGATCATGCGGCTGTAGCAAACTCAGCCTGCCACGCACGAGGATTGATCCCGTTCTGTCAACAAAATCCTCTTCTCCGTATCGAGCGTCGAGCCAACCTGTGGAGAAACGTTTTTCAGGCGTTTCCAGCATACCGAGCTGACGGGTATGAAGATCGGTTTCAGCAGCGGTGGGATTTACAGGGCTTACCGTCCTACCAGGTCACCTTCAACGTGGCTCTTTGGGTTACGGAAGCAATGGCTCTGATTCCTGCCGGCATGCCACCTGATTCATTTCGTCTCGTTCTGGATGGCGGTCCTGCGCCGGCATCATGTGAGCAAATCTTCCAACGGACCGTCCAACGGGACATACTTTGGCATTTAGCTCGGGACGAATCGATGGCGCGAGGATACATTCCAGAGATTTCCAATTTTCGCAGAAGAAACGATAAAATTCCTTTCACAGGTCGACATCGTCTATGGTTGGTCTCACGTCATTACAACTTCCACGGCTATACCTTTGAAGACTTCCCCCAGACAATGAGAGATATCGCCGAAAGAGATTCTATTGTCAGTTTCAATTTTGATACTGGTCTTCCTGAAGATGTCGACAGAATTGTCCAGGAACACCGGCATTGGGACTCTCATGGCGTGTGGAATGACGAGTTCTTCAATGCCCAGGAGCCGAAGGGCTGGCAGACTGCAGCACCTCTGCCAGACTGGCAGACGATTCTTAGGGAAGACTCCTTGGATGCCAAACTTGATCTCGGATTGAAGTCTTTCGATTTCGGCTTCTTTCGAGGTGGCAAGGAAACCCGGACGTTTTGAGAAGCTGGCGTTTTAAAGAGCGCACTCCCAGTCACCTTTGTATGGAAGTCGCGGTCTATGTTGTGTATTAAGTAGCGAGAATAGCTCCGTGAGAACCCATGAGGTTTGGCGTATTGATTATCATTATTTGAAATGAAGATGCTTCAATATTACATGTATTAGAATATAAAAATGTTTATTCGAATTAGGTCAGCGAACTAGATTACAACTCAACTGTAGAAATGCCGGGCTACTGTGATGTCAAGCAAGCTCACGTCCGTAGAGACTGAGGGAAGGTAGCATGTTTCCCCAGTGGACATGCATCACCAATAATCATTTCAGCAAGTTGCCATGTTCTATTTATTGTGCGTCATATATCCCCAGGTACGGCGACGTACTGAAGAAACCTACCTGCTGCTGGAAAGTTCATCCCATGTGTTCGTAATCTAACGCGGCTCTGCAAATGGGGATGGCTCTCACAAGTAACTTCGTAATTCATTGTAATTCCGATCATCATTCAGGTGTTGAACATAAGGGATATCATCATTAGATTCTGTCTAAAGCCCATCTACTCGAGCGCTGTCATAACCGTCTACATGGAACTAATTTCATGGTCTACGCCTCCTCCGTCGGTCTTGGTGGCCGGCATTAGCCTCGGGCCTCTCTTGGGGACTTGTGTCGCAAACCCGCTATTACCGGTTAGATGTTTCCCGATATTCGAATGTGTGTTTAAGAACTTACCTTTCGACGTTCCTTGAAGTCCCTGTAGATGCCGTGCCAGATATCTCTGGCAGAGCAGTCCTCAACTTCTTCTTTCATCACGCATTTTGGCTCGCGTTCCCGAACAATATTATCTGGTGCATCCAGCCACGGCTTGGGCATCGGCCAGTCCGAGAAATGCACCATCTTCGCCTCGTTGTAGACGACTACCGGATCCCAGACCTCGTAGTCGTTGCCGAGATACCAGCGATGGCGATCGGAATCATCGCAGAAGGCGCCCGTCAACAAGTCGTAGGGCCTGTGTGGTAGGATCATCGCACTGTCCTTGTACATCTGGTTGACGAGTTCCATATCGTAGTCGTTCTCCCCGGCGCTGCCGATCTTCGATTTGACACGGGAGAACTCGGCCTCGCTCGGCTGGATGAGCATGATTTGTGAAGACAGGGTTGATTCGTCTGGGAACAGCCAGTACGCCCGCGGAAGGGCTACCGGGGAGGGCGGGAGCAGGAAGAGTTCATCTACGTTTTGAAGGAGGGTGGAGTCGGAGTCGAGCATGAGTACACGTTCGTAGTCTGTCTGGTTGAATGCAAGGAGCTTTGTGAAGGAGTCCGCCCATGTTGCTAGTAGAATTCGGCGTCAGTTTCAGCAGCCGACGACATGGGGTCAAGACTTACGATCGGAGCCTTGTCGGTGTTGGATAGTGATCGGTGTCAGTTTGATGTTGTATTTGTCCCGGGCCAGTATGAGGAGTTTCGCGTCATCGGAGATTCCTTCTTGAGCCTCAGGATCAAAAAGCATACTGGAAGGGTACATCATGACGCGGTCCGCATTGCTCTGAACATGTTGTAATCTCTCAAAGAACATGACAGAGTTGCAGAGGTAATGGCCGTCAGTCACGTACTGTACGTACGCAAAGCGAGACCAGTCCACTTGATATTGATCTGCATTTGACTTTGCACTTGGCCCTGGTGTCGGCGGGGCACTTGGAAGTGCTGTGTGTAGAGTAGGTGATGCATCCTTTTGAGTCGGTGATGCTTCGGAATGTGTATCTGGAGAATACAAACGGATGGAAGTTATCCGGTCCCGACTGCGCACAACTACTGTCAACAGTAGAAGTCCAGCTACCACCGAGACGGCTAATCTTAGTTGCTTTGAGGTCAAGATCGCAAGCAAGCTAGGTCTGGCCTTGGAAGACGATGTATTAGGACTGGCATCGTCAGTGTGAAGTCGAGTGTAGGTCCACCGAGTCCGGAAGAAGTGGAGAGCCATGGCCGGCAACAGAATCAAGAAAAAAGAGCAGCAACAACCAGAGACAAACAAAGTTGGGCGGGTTCGCGGGAGTGGTCGGGCGATGCGCCCGCCACGGGGGATATAAGGACAGACTTAATGGAGTCGGTGGTAAGACAATCCAACTTCCAGCCGGATTGCCTGTTGGGCCCTTGCAGATGCGCTTGACGACGCAGACGTGGTGTACAGGGGTTGATGTCCCTTTTGGCAAGCCGGCGGCTAGATAGGTTCCCGGCCACGCCGTCTGACAGCTGTGTTTTCATACTATCTACATCCAATCAAATTATGCTCCAAACAGCATACGCCGTCTAATAGCGCTTCTATTGGTACGTTTTTCAGATTTTAATTATTTATTCTGCGTAAATATCTCTCGAAACTAGGTGCGTTCAAGATATCGTCAGCGACTGCGAAATGTGTCGCTTGAATGCCCGTGACATGGACGTATTTGACTCGCTTCAATTGCGTAGACCGAGACTTGCGCAGCCTGCCTCTACTAATTTCAGCTGCAGTTTGCCAAGTCTAACAAACGAAAATGAGACAAGGCAAATCACAAGGGTTTCTGGTTGTTGGCCAATCATTGTTGGTGCCAACTGGACGGTTCAGCGCTAAAAAAGCTCAGTTTTCGCCCAGTTTTCGTGTTGGACTCAAATATCACAAGAAAGCAAAACCAAAGGGTCCACTTGCCCAGCCAATACGATTCCATGTCAGTCACACCGGCTCTACAAGTTGTTGTTGGTTCCAACAGACTGAAGACGTTGGAAAGCTTGGCTGTGGCATACACGTCCCGGGCCCAGAGGCTTCAAAGTGTTTGCGGTGGAGGCAGATGCCTTGTTCCCCTCGCCTCCTTGATTCATTCTCTCTTGTTGCTGCTCTCTCCTTTTGTTTGTTATTTTGTCTTCCATGGCTGATCGTTGTCTGCTACCTGCCTCTTGCAAACCATCTTAATACAGTAGACAGCGTTGTGATCACCAACATCAGCAATGGGTGTTGACATCAAGTTCTCAGTACTTCTTTCTATTACTTCTGCCCTCTTTTTGTTTCTGAATTTCGTTCAAGCTCAAAACCCAGTACCGTTCGAAGCGCAATGGTCTTCCGCCAGTTTCGGCCCCGATGGCCCTTGGCAAGCTGTCGAAGTCACACTCGGAGACGACTCTAAGGTTGCACTCTATCCAGGCCATATTTTCCAGTCGTGGATCATCAACACCGAGTATTGCAAACTCAACAACTCCAACGGTTGCTACGCATCCAAGGCAGGAACTTACAACAACGCTCTGGCTTTGCAAGATGGCAGCGGCTCTACGTCTGGAATCGTTTACGAGCCACCCATATCCGACTGGATGGTCGGGATGGAATTTGCTGGCAAATCGCCGAAGTTCTGGGTTGAGGCAATGCAACTAAAGTCGGGGGCGTCAAACGGTCCTACCCACGAAGTTGCAAACGTCAGTCTGTCCATACTTGAGGATCAAATGCTGGCGTATCCTGGGGGAAAGTGGTATCCAGCTTTTGCTGGATGCCTCGGAATCGGCGCCCCGAATACCATCAATCAGTCTTTTTCCACTGATACCTATCCCGTCAACGCCAGTCTGGTGCCCGGTATGTTATGGGCCCAGCAGAAGACACCATCAAATTCTTTCAGCATGCACATCGGCTCCGTCTTCTCACGTATGGGAGGTTCTCTTCTGTATGGCGGATACGACCGGAATCGTCTTGTCGGAGACGTCCTCGTGGCAGACAATGACTTTATCGACGACCCCATCACACTGAAGGACATCAGCATCGACGTTGTCCAAGGCGCATCACCTTTCAACTTCACTACTCAAGATGGTCTCCTCACCTCTGGAAATAGATCCATGGGAAACGGTCTGCGCGTCTCGGTCGACGGCTGTGCTCCTTACATCACCCTTCCCAAATCGACCTGCGACAACATTGCCCTGCATCTCCCGGTGACCTACGACACAAACCTCGGGTTATACTTGTGGGACGTTGATTCCCCTAAATACAGCCAAATCGTCTCATCGGCTTCGGCCTTGTCATTTACGTTTCTCTCCGATGCCAACACTAAGCCCCTCACGATCCGCGTACCCTTCATCCATCTCAACTTGACACTCACCGAGCCTCTCGTCGAGTCACCGGCACAATACTTCCCTTGCTTCACGGGCGGAGCTGGAAGATACGCTTTGGGCAGAGCATTCCTACAGGATGCTTTTCTGGGTGCCAACTGGGGCAAGTCCAAGTGGTGGCTTGGGCAGGCTCCTGGTCCCAACATCCAACTCTCATCAAGTATTTCTCCCATATCAGCAGATGACACGGTGATCACACCGGGCAACAACAACTGGGAGGAATCTTGGAAAGGCGCTTGGAAGGTTCTCACCGACGATGAAGCCAACGGGGCGGCCCCGGTTGAGCCTCCTGTACAGACTGGTCCGGCGTCAGATGTTAATCAAGAAACCTCAGCCCCGGAAGGCCTCTCAACCGGAGCAATAGCTGGAATAGCTGTCGGCGGGGTGGTTGTTCTGGCACTCATCGGCTTGGGTATCTTCTTTTGGCATCGTCGTACACGCAGATCGCAGGCCTCATTGATGTACAGAGAGCCACCACGATACCATGACAGCGGTTTACATTATGATCCTCAACTCGAGGCACCAAAGGGACCTGTGGAGGCACATGGCTCTCCGATGGTATCGGACGGGCAGTATTATGGTGGGAAGCAAGTGAACGCATCGGAACAAGCCCCCACTGGTCGGGCAGAGTTGCCATGAGGGGAACTGGATTGGATGTCAACGTGAGTTAAGGAGACCTAGATGAAGTAATTGAGCCAATATTTTTGTTACGTTGGAGCTTATGAACAGAATTGAATAAAGTATTTAGACGGGAACTCAGGCCAAATCTTGAACGTCTGAATGGTTTGAAAGATAACATTAACACAGCATTAGGACACAACTCGTTATTGTTATGAACATTATGATTATCGTGACTATCATTTCTGTTGTCGCTCTTGTCGCTGTGGTATTTGGTCTACGCCCTTCTGCCTTGTGTTGGATTGAGTAAATCCGGCTTGGCCCCAGGCCCCCAATCCAGGATCTGAGGCAGGTGTGCCAGCGCTAAGTGAGGTTTGGAAGGTCGCCGGTGCATACATGACGGGATTGGGTAGTCTCGGTGCCAGTCACGAGTTTCTCCTGCGCAAACGTGGGGTTCTCCGTGTTATCTGCGTGCATGCTCTCTTGGCCTGGCTCCAGTGGTAACTACCAACAGCATTTTATCCAGGGTCGCGTGCGGGTCTTATATCCCCTCTCACCCGATGCCTTCTCAAATGCCCTTCTGACACCATCGCTCATTCACTCTTCTGGAAACGTTTGCGAGCTACGGCTGAGAATGTCAGATCCAACAGCGACTCAACCGGCCTCTCAACCGGCTGGCCCCCGACCAAGCACCGATTCGGCCCCACCTGCTACCCGTGCGTTCCTGGATGACGCCGAAAACTTAGCGGGAGACCCGAATGCTCTGGAGGCCGAGGATTCAGGAAACGTGCGCATTCATCTTCCTTGACTTTTTGCCCCGCTGGGAAAGCCTGCTTCAGAGCCCCTGCTGACGTTGTCTTACTCAGGATGATGGGTCCTCCATTGATGACCAGATGTACAGGACATTCTATGCTACACCATGCCTAGCAATCCAGGGCTCGTACTAATCCACCAAATCTCCAGCTCGTCTTACAGTGCCTCATTGGCCTCAAGCGCCGTCGACTACCCCGTGGAGCACGGCCGACGCTACCACGCTTTTCGCCCAGGAGGTGAGGCACTCAGTGCGCGTACTCAAGCAGGCAAGGTGCTGATAACAATACACAGCGTATTTCATGCCCAACGACGAGGTAAGCGGTTCCTTCTCTGATCCGCGGCCTTCTGTGTCTGAACTTCGTAGCATGAAATGGACCGCCTTGATCTTTCCCATGCGACGGTGCTCAAGTTGCTCGGGGAACGACTGTATCTCGCCCCGCTTGAGAAAGACCATGTGCAAAACATCTTGGACATTGGAACGGGTACAGGCATCTGTAAGCACAAGTTATCGTGAATATGGATAAAGATGCATACTCATATGACCAGGGGCGATGGAAATGGGAGACTTCTTTCCCGAGGCGCAGGTGGGTCAGGTCTGATCTTCCCCGTGTCGTCGAACGCGAAGCTGATTTAAATGCCCCCAGATCTACGGGAACGACTTGAGTCCTATCCAGCCAGATTGGTGAGTTTCGTTCAATCCGAGTGCTGTGAAATTAAAGTTTGCTGAATGATAACCCCTTTTAAGGGTTCCCCCCAATGTCAAATTCGAGGTGGACGATGTTGAGAGTCCTTGGCTTGATGATCGAAAGTATGACTACATCTTCTGTAGATTTATGTTTGGCTCCATAAAGGACTGGCCGAATCTAGTGAAAAACATCTATGAGTAAGTTTAGAAGGAGATCCCAAGATGTTGGGTTGAAATTAATCTGTCACTGCCCAGCAACTTGAATCCTGGCGGCTGGGCCGAGTTTATCGACATCAACAGCGAGTATTACTCGACCGACGGGACTTTGACCGAGGACCATGCTGCGCGTAAGTGGAACAAGACGCTCTTGGATGCCATTGGTACGATGGGCCGTGAGATCAGTCCAGGCCCCAAGCTCGAGAGCTGGGTCCGGGACGCCGGATTTGAGAAAATATTTCACAAGAAACATGTTGTCCCCGTCGGTCCGTGGCCGAAAGATCCACACTACAAGCAACTGGGTTTGATGAACGTGATGCAAGCCCTCAAAGGCCTCGAAGGCTTCACCATGAGGGTCTTTTGCGGCGTACTGGGTCGTACTCCAGCCGAGGTTATGGTGGAGCTCGCTGCTGTTCGCAAGGAGCTCAAGACTCTTCACGCTTTCCACGCGCAATACGATGTGTAGGTCGTCCTCGGTACCTTCACGGAACTGATGCTGACAGCTTGCTTAGGCACGTGGTTTATGGGCAAAAGCGATTGCAAGGCGAGAGTACATGATCTGTTTACGTTTGAGATAGTCAGCGTGTCCTGCGCCAGTCACTTTGGGACCCACGTTTTGCTGTCCAGAAAGGACATCTGCACTTGCGGTGATGGTTAGGAAACGTCTTGGTCACTATTTTATGTGTACATGTAATTGGGTCTGCGTGAAATTCAGCTCAAGCACCGGCCGCAAGTCTCTTCAGCTCCGCTTGCTTCATTCGTTCCTGTATCTTGAGTCTTTCCGGGATGACGCGCTCCCTGGGCGCTGTTATACTCCATGCAGGCAGCGACTCCTTCCCTAACGCCTGCAAAGTCGCCCGTTCCACCAAGCTATATTCGGATCCATCAGACCGGTGAAAGTGGTGCGGTTCCCTGAGCGACACAGGCGGGTTCGTAATGATACGCAGCCTCCGAAGCTGGTTGCGCGATGCGCTATGCAGCATCAGCGGATGAAGCAGGTACACGTCGCCGACCTCCCCGCAAGCCTCGACGAACTCGTCACAGCTCCCCGCAAGCGAGTTGAACCAATCCAAGTTCCGCTCCGCCGCGAAGTCGGGATGACCGCGCGGGACCATCCGCGGCGAGACCCCGTCCGGGTGGTCTAGCAGGTGCTTGGCCACCTTGGGGATCGCCTCGGGGCAGATCACGGTCCCGCCGCCGCCGGGAACGATGTCGGTAAACAGGGGGATCACGAGGAGGCCTTGCTCCGCGGAATCGAGGTAGTGGACGAAGAAGTCGCCGTCGACGTGCCAGTTGTCCAGGTCGCGGGGTGATTGATCTTGTCCCTCGAACTCCGGGCTCCCGAGGTTCACGATGAGGGAGTCCCTCCAGTGCTTCGATCCAGGGGCAATGCGGTCCTCGCCGCCGCAGACCTCGCAGATGGCAGTCCAGGCTTTGGGTGCGAACTCGGAGCAGTCAAAGGAGCGGTGATGGGGCATGTTTGTGCGGTGTTTCCACGTCGACTTATCGTTTGGGTCCATGCCCAGGCGCGTCCAGACATCTTTGGTCACCCATTCTGCCTGCTCTTTCGTGAAGCAATTGCTGAGCTTCAACCAGCCTGTGGCGATGAAGTGCTCTTTCTGAGCTTCGGTCAGAGGGTCTACAGTAGAGGACATTGTTGAAAACTGTGAATAGAAAGGTTCAGTGGTCAAGACTGCTTGAAGAATCAAATGTCGAGGGTGAATAATGACCCCCACTGAAAGGTCAAGGGCCGCGAGGAAGGGCTCGAGGGAATGCGGGGAGCGCGTGCATGATTGATCAAAGGTGCCTCTGATTGGATAGACCCGATGGTCCAGGGGACATAGATATGCATTTCAGAGTCATGGCAAGCATATGCATCCGAGAACCCGTCAAGATGACCCAATATCCGGAAGACACGCCGTCGTGAAGACTCCCGTTTGGTCGAAAGCTTCTAAAAGCGAGTGCCGCCAGCGCCGGCTAAATAGGCGATCCATGGGTAAACTGCCCATCCCCCACTGAAGAATCTTTGAGTTCTGACGTGCATGTTGGGAAAGGAGGGTTTCATCGTGGGATGCGGAGAAGGACGCCGCCGAAGCCGATGTGATGGAATCGGGAAGCGCGCGGGACGGGAGGTCGTCGGGAAATTGTGGGGCTTCATTGGCGTCAGACCGAGACTCACCGACGCGCTCGGTGAATCACGTCCCGACGGCAGCCGCTCAAATCTTCCATCCTCGACCAACCCACCGCGTCACTTCCAACGAACCCAACTCCACAAACCCTCTCAAAGATGCCGCCCGATCCAATAATTGACGACGAAGAGTACGAGTCCTCTCAGGACTCAGACTTTGCGCCAGACGATGTCGCCGTCGCGGGCGGCGATTCCGACGCAGACTCCGACTCCGACAACGAGGGCCAAGCCGCGACCACCAACAAGCGCAAACGCGATGCCGCGGGCGCCGAAGAAGACGATGCCGGGTTCGAGAACTCGGGCGACGAGGCGCTGATAAAAAAGGCCAAGAAGAAGCGCAGGAAAGCCAAAGACGCCGATGGAGCCCCCAACGAGGAGGACGAGGGCGGCGAGGGCGGACTGGTCAAGACGCGAAGCATGCGCGCCGCAGAGTAAGCAGACCCACGCAGGAAACAAAAGCCTAGACGCGATGCGTTTTCGGATTGCTAAAATCGTCCCCTCGCAGGAAGGTTGAGCGAAAGATCGCGGCCGCGTCTGGCCCGGTCACAGTCGACGTCGACGCCATCTGGGCGCAAATGCTCGCTGGCCAAACGGCGCCGCAACCCGGCAAAGACAAAGCCGCTGACGAACCCGACTCCTCCGCAAAGGCGACCGATTCCGAAAAGCCGACCGCACCCGAACCCTCGGAAATGATCCGCATCAAGCGGACCTACAACTTCGCCGGCAAAGTCCAGACGGAGGAGAAGCTCGTCGCGCGCGACTCGGCCGAGGCGAAACTCTACCTCGCCTCCCTCGGCCAGGACGCCGCCCCCGACGGCGCCGCGGCCGAGGAGACGGAGGAGCCGAAGCGGGTCCTGAAGAAGGCTTTCCGGTCGGCGTACGAGCCCGTGATCGAGATCGTGGGCCAGCGGTCGGATCTGAACCTGGGTATGACGGTGCGGATCAAGGCGCGGGAGAAGGAGGCGCAGGCCAAGAAGCTCAACACGGTGGAGAAGAGCAAGATGGACTGGGCGGGCTACGTCGACAAGGAGGGCCTCAAGGACGAGCTGGAGCTGGCGGGCAGGTCCAAGGACTCGTACGCCCACAGGCAGGATTTCCTGGCGCGCAGCGAGGCCAAGAGAGACGAGGAGGCCCGGCGGGCGAGAACTGCGGCGCGTGTATAACTTGTACATGTCTTTTCTTTACGGGTTTGCGGCTGGGGAATGAGTCTGATTCGGCGTTTGCGTATGGAAAAATCAATAGATACCCCCTCATTCGAATAAAATTGCTACACTATGACGGCCCCCGTCCTACAACTTTGCGCCTTTCCTCTGCGTTCCCGGCGGAAGGATGGCGACATCCTGGAACGGGACCCCCAAGAACTCATACAAGAAATGAAACCGGTCACTCCCGAAAAAGGGCTCAGCTTTGCCCTCGTCGTTCACAGCCCAGAACCAAGGCGCCCCGAAAGCACCCCTCTCAATCGCTTCCTGCGTCCTCGCCTTCACGGCGTCCTTGATCTCCTGCGTCGCAGTGCCTTCCATGATTTTTTTCACGTCAGCCTCGGTGAACAGCTTGGCCCCGTCGTCACCTTGCTGCGGCGGATACTGCCGCGGAGCGTCGGCGAGCGCCTTGATCAGCACGTCGGGCTTGGTGAGGTTCAGGTTCGGCGGTTCCCAGAAGCAGTGGAGGAACCAGTGCCAGGCGGTCTGGTAGGCTTCCGCGGGGTGGTTCTTCTTAATGAAGTGCAGCGCGCGGAGGGGCAGGATCGTCATGCTGCGGTCCATGAAGTCCGGGGGCGTGGTGATGTCGGGCTTGCCGACGCGGACGGAGGAGCGGCGGGCGTCGAAGGTGCCGTACTTGGCCTTGGCGGGGAGGGTCCATGGCGGCTTGTTTCCTGCGCGAGACGTTTGAGTACCTAAGCGCCGTGATTTGCGGTTTTTGGATGACTTACCGGACGCGGCGTTGATGCCGCCGAGCAGGACGGGATGAATGCTGTTGGGGGATTATTTGTAAGTCGGGGCTTAACGTCGAAATGGGGTCAAATGACAAACTCTATCTGTACGCCATGTGCTGCGAGAGCGTCCTGGTTCTGGATTATGTGGTAGAATGCAATGTAGCTGTACAAAGATGCTTTGATCGGTACGTTAGGGCGTCGTTGTGACGGGGTGTATCCGTTGCGAGCTGGGACTCACCGATATCGATGTAGACGTCGACCTTGCCGCCCATCTTGGCGGACACTGATAAGGCAAAGTGAGATAGGTACGGAACGGAATACAATATGATGGAGACACCCGGAAGCCTAAGTCCAAGAATACGATTGCGCCATCGAAGACGTTTCTATCAAATAGGCACGGAAGGGCGACGTGAAGGAGGTGAAGTTGGCCTGGGGTGTGGGGTACCTCGGCTCAATTGTAATCTGGGGTAGCTGTGCTTAGCTCCGGGATGATTGATGATGAACATGGGGGTTGTCACTGATCACTAAACAATCTCACAGCCGAATTCCGACGACATAATCAGCACTTTCGATGGCGATAAAGTTCAAGTCTCGATGAATTGAAGTTGCATATGATTATCTGTCGGGTGTCGTTTTCTATGATAGCATAGCTTCTTTCGAACATACGAACGTCCTGTCTAAATTCAACAATATGAGCGGACCCAAACAAGTCGCCCTCGTCGTCGGAGCGTCGAGAGGCATCGGCCGTCAAATCGCCATTGACTTCGCAAAGAATGGCTACGCCGGTATGACGCCCTTCAGATTACTTCTCGTGGCATTTCACTCACACACAAGAACAAAGTCGTTGTGGCCGCCAAGTCCACCAGCGACGCCTCCAAAGTGACGCCCTTCCCGCCGAACCCCAACTCGCAAGAATCAACGATCAGCACGGTAGCCCGCGAGATCCACGAAGCAGGCGGCGACGCAGAACCGATCGCGGTAGACGTCCGCGATCCTGAAAGCGTCGCCAGGCTCGTAGAACAGACGATTCAGGTCCGCCCTCCCTCCCTTTCCTCGCAGACCCCAGTCCTCTTCTCCAAATCTAACACCAGCTGCAGAAATACTCCCGCCTCGACGTGTTGGTCTACAACTCGGGCGCGATATGGTGGGCCTCAGTCGAGGACACGCCCCCCAAACGCTTCCAGCTCATGCAGCGCGTGAACCCAGAGGGCCTCTACCTCACCCTCCACGCCTCCCTCCCGCACCTCAAGCGCGCGGGCGGGGGCCGCATCGTCGTCGTCAGCCCGCCCATCTACAGCCGCTTCTTCCGCGGCAAGACGGCGTACGCCATGGGGAAGGTGGGCATGAGCGTCCTGACCAAGGGCCTAGCCATGGACTTTGCCCGGCAGGGTCTGTCTGAGATGGCCATCACGAGCATCTGGCCGGCCGTGGTAAGTTCATTTCTATTTCGTCCACGGCCTACCTACTCGTTTCATACACTGAATCGGTGTTAATGTTCCAGGCCATCGAGTCGGCCGCCACCCAGAAGTTCCAAGCCTCGAACTCGGACGAGGCGAAGGACCTGCGCAAGCCCACCATCTTCTCCGACGCGGTGCTCGCCATCGTGCGGGCGCCCGCGGGGGCCGTCAACGGCGAGATCGTTCTCGACGAGGACTTTCTGAGGGACCACGCAGGCGTGACGGACTTTTCGAAATACGCCCTCGTGCCGGGCTCGAGCCCGCGGAGGATCATGCCCGCCGAGCTTCCGGATCTGACTGTGAAGGAGCAAGACGACGAGGGTAAGCGGTATAGCAGCGCAAAAGCCAAGATCTGAGATCATGTGTATAGTAAGGTAAAGAATGATCAGATTTAGTTCCCTCTGTAGGATATGCAATCGATATCAAAAAATGGAGGCATTGCAGAGTAGTGACATGCCTTGATGGAACTGAGCTCGCTCAATTTGGAGGCCACTGCCACCACCTACCATCGATTTGACCACCACGAAGCAAGTCAGGCACTCTGCCATGCACAAATGGCTTCCAATTCCACGGTATTTTGATGCAAGTATCGTCTATTGCCTGCCGCGCTATGCGGGCAGGATGCGGTGCTTCTTGATATAATGTACTTTATCAAAGAAAAAAAAATAAGGTCGTCCTGTCGCTCGCAAACTGATAGACCCATTCCGTATTCCCCTTCCGCCCTCGCCGATCCCTCTCTCATCATCCCGAATGGAAATTTTCAAAACACCAAAGAAACATGTGCTATTTTTACAATGTAGTCGTCTCCGCAACCTCCGCCACTTCCTCTCACGAGTCCTGGCTCTGCTGGAAGAGCCCCTGGATGTTTTCGATATCGCTGATCGTCTCGTTGAACACCTTGGTGAGATCGCCCAGAACCTTCATCCGATTCCACTCGTGCCTTGTCCGCCAGATCTCGTCCATGAGCTCACGGTTGATCTGCTCGAGCTGTTCAATAGTGCAGCCGGAGGTTCCCTCGGTCAGCTCTTCGAGGAAGTTCTCAACTTGGCTCTCGTTGATGACTGGCTGCTGTTGAGAAGAGGAGCCAGAATTCCTTATTTCGTCGCTTGTCGAGTCGTTCAGAATGTTAATCAAGGTCGGTGCATGCGACTTGGAATCCCCCGAGCTCCTCGACTTGTTAGGCGACGAGTTCTGGCTGCCCGGCTCACCCATTGACGGCCGAATGAGACCTCGTGCGATGGCTTGCGCTTGGGAGTGTGGCCAAGCTTCATCGCTTGAAGTGCCCTGGCTTACGGGAGCCACGCCGGGAGGGATTTGAGTGTCTTGCAGTTGAGAGTTGTCTCCCTGGCTGTAGTGTTCGGGGTGCACGCCGTTGGTAGCCTGAGTGCTCCACTTGTCCGAAGATCGCTGTGATGGGTCGGATGTCTTCGTTGTGGACGCATCATTAGCCAGCTCCGAAGGCGACATGCCGGGGGGCACAGTTGTGATCATGGACCTTTGCGACACCTGGGTGGTTCCGGTCGTTGTACCGGTCGTAGGATTTCCCTGGGCTGGCCACTGGGGAGGCTGCATCAAGGAGCTATCCTGCGTCGTGTCATCGTCGACACCACTCATTTGCACATCGCTCTGCCGAGATGGGTTGGATGTTCCGTTGCTTTGTTGGGGAGCTGCAGGTCCAGCGCTGAGTCCCGGGCTCATGACCTGGAATCGAGCCAGAGCATGTGTCGACCCAGGGATGCGCTCGCCCAGAGTGACAGGGCCCTGCGAATCGCTGTCGTTACCAGCAACGTCAGTCTGAACGCGGTCGACGATAGACTGCATGGCCTTTCTCTTGCGCTCCTTCTCCGCTGCGGCCCTCGCTCGTTGAATTTGCCTCTGGTGCAGAGACTCCCAGTCCACGGTGGCCGTATTACCTTCGATCGTGGCGACGTCGACCTCACAATTGCTGACGAGTTCGTTGGCCTTGAGCGTCCGTTCTTTGTCACCAATGTTCTTGGAGTCTTTGGCGAGAGCCTTTATATCTCGGAGAAAGTCCTTGGGTCGACAGTAAAAGCCATTTGAAAGGCGTTCCTCGATCGTAGTGGTTTCCAAATTGTAAAATGTCTTGCCAGTGGTTGTCTCGCGCAGCACATCATCTCCGTACTTGTCTTTGACGATCTCAAACGGACGAGGCTCGATTCCTGCAAGGTCGGGGCGCACGTAGTTGACCTGATTTTCGGCGAAGAGGTAGTCGAGTTGACCCGGAGGAATGACGGGTTGCCTGAACTTCTTGTACTTTCTGTTGATCTGGTCCATGATTGGCTGCAGCTGCACTTTCAAGATATTCAGAAGCTGATGGTCGCGTTTCTGCATAGCCCTGACTTCTTCCTTGGAGGGCACCTTTGGCGGTGGAGGCGGAGCGACTGGGAGCTCCTCCAAAACTCTCTTCTTTCGGTTGGCAGGGTCGGGGAACTCGGCCGGGCTCTTGCGGATGTGATCCACAATTGTAGAGAAGTATTCACGTCGGTTCGGCTTCCAATGTGTTAGTGAGTAATTCCCAATGCAAGAACGTGCGTACTTACATGCTTGGGCCGCTCGATTTGCAATCGGTTTTTACGAGAGAATGCGAACAACTCCCGCACAAGATCTGGATGAAGATCTTCACCGGCTTCATACTCTGATGTCGCAAGCACTAGGATCGGGTCTGTGGGCGGGATTGACTTCAGCATGGCCTTGAAGGTCTGGAACGCCAGACTATCCCGCAACATGGCAAACCATGACTCGATGTTGGGGATGTAGATAACACTGGGTTTGTGTCTCTTCACCTCGGTGAAAAGTCCAACGATGACTTGTTCCATCGGCTGCAGAATATTAGCATGCGTGAAGCAACGGCTTGGAATCAGGACTTACCCGTCCGTCAGCGAGCAAATTGGGAAGACCAAAGTTTTGCACTTGAACACCCTCGAAGTAATGCAGTAGAGCAGAAGAGAGATAACTCTGACCCATGCCAGTGAAGCCATGAATCAAGAAACGCGGGCGGAAAATACGAGATCGTTCGAACTCCTGCTGCAAGGCTTCGCGTCCAAAGCCGTGGTCCTCATCGTCGAATTGCTCATACATGGCCTCTTCCAGAGCAGTCAGCTTCTTCTTGCGTGGAAGAACCTCGTCAAGCGCCCGTTTGATCGAGTCGAACTGATCACGCAAGAGTGGTTCGATGCCCTTCGGCAAAGGAGCTGCACCAGTGCCAGCAGATCTCTCGGAAGAAGGAATCATCTTCTTGATAGAAATCATGAAGTCCGTAGCATGGATACTGATGTTTTCCGCGTTGACAATGAGTTTATCCTTGGAGGAGTAAATCTGCGGGTAGGTTCTCTGGATGGCATTGAGAGCGGCCTCCGTGCAAAGGGCTCGAAGGTCAGCACCGCCATAGCCCTTCGTGTTTTCCGCAAGCTGCTGCTTGAAAGGCTCTGAGAGACCCCAGTCCTTCGTGTGGATTTCAAGGATAGACCGGCGACCCTCCACGTCAGGAAGGGGGAAATAAAATTCTCGATCGAATCGACCAGGTCTTCTGAGGGCGGGATCGATGTTGTCCGGACGATTGGTGGCTCCAATGACGATAACCTGTCCGCGCCCGTCCATGCCATCCATTAGAGCGAGCAGTGTCGAGACGATGGATGCGTGAATTTGTTCCTGCTTGCTGGAGCGCACAGGGGCCAAACCATCGATTTCATCGAAGAAGATGATACTTGGCTGTGTCCTTCTGGCTTCCTCGAAGAGCAACCGCAGTTGCTTCTCGGCTTCACCAACCCATTTGCTCAGAGCATCGGCTCCCTTTCTCATGTAGAAGGTAATTTTGCGGCCTCCAATACCCACGGAGTTGGCAAGCGCTCTGGCAAGGAGAGTTTTACCAGTACCAGGAGGTCCATGGAAGAGCACACCTCGCGGGGGCGTGACATGGAACTTTTGAAAGAGCTCTGGATACAGCAAAGGAAGCTGTACCATTTCCTTTAGCTGGTCGATGTGGCCTTGGAGACCACCGACCTGGTTGAAGTCCACGTTGAGGTCGACGCCGAGAGGATCAGCATCTGCGAGAGCCTTCGTATTCTTGATCTTGCCGACGTTGGGTGTCGCACCCACCCCAGCCACGTCGCCGCCTACAGGCTGCGCAAGGCCTGGGAGCAGCCCAGCGGGAGCGGCGGCTGATGTTGGTGTCATGCCTATGTTACCAGCAGCACCAGAACGGCCGCCCATCTCATCGTCACTGCTATCGGAGTCAACGCCTCCAGCGGCACCGGTACCCCAGGGCCCCGCAAGGAGCGAGCCGACGCCGCCTCCGCCTCCGAACGGACCGAAGGTGGTATTGAGAGCACGGTCCCATGCTTGGCTAGCGCCTCCACGACCACCGCGGCGGCGGGCAGGGGTCGGAGCGGGGTCGTCGCCGTCGTCTTCCTCTATGTTTACGGCGGAGAGAGGCGGCATGAAATAATTCATCGGCTTGGCTGCGGCTCTGCGGCGCTTCGACGCTGTTTCCTGGTAGATGATTGCAGGCGAAGGACGGCGTGTGCGACGGGAACGGGAGTCTTGTCGAAGCTCATGGAGCTCCTCGGCCAGCTCGTCGTGGTCCAACTCGACTTCGTCGCCAGACTCGGCCCCACGTCTCGAGCTTCTGGTGGATCTACCTTTCGGTTTCGCCGCTCTGCCGCGTGGAGCCGGACTATCGAAATCTCCATCATCAACATCGCCGGAAACCTTCTTGGACGAGTCCGACATCTGCACGTCTTCTGCAGACTCCTCGCCAGGCTCGAAGTCGCTACTCGGCTCTTGAATGGATTTCGATTTTCCTTGCCTTCTGCGAGTAAGCCGTCGCGTTGGAGCGTCACCTTCGGCGTCATCTTTTGGATCCTCCTCCGGCTCAGCAGCCCCGGCTCCAGAAGCGCTTCCTCTTTTGGCTCGGGTTCTGGTTCTTGGACCCTCGTCCTCCTCGTCATCGTCTTCAGCCGCATCATCAGGATCTATCTCGGTTGATTCCTTGATGGCATCTTCCATGACGGTGTCCTTGTTCTCCGTTTTTGTTTCATTATCCACAGCTGCGTCCTCCACATCGCCGGCCAATTCATCGGCATCGGCGTCATCCTCATGACGGAAGCTGCTCTCCTGGGTGGCCTCCTCAATCGTTTCGGGCGCCTTCTTAAGTCCCTTGATTGAGCGGGAGTTCCGCGTACGAGCGAAGGTCTCGGGGCTTCGACTCCTCGAGGCCGGGCGCGCATGCTTGCCTGAATTCGACAGCTCGACGTGCTCCTCCTCCACCTCGGCCGTGCGAGCACGCGTAGATCTTCTGGTGGCAGGCGCAGTGGCAGCGGCAGACGAAGAAGGATTCCTTGGTACCCTGAGTTTAATCATCAAGGACTCCTTCTTTTTCTTGGGTTTGGCGTGGTCCTCGGAGAGTTCGTCCTCCGATGCCTCGGCTTCTTCAGACTCGTCACTCTCGCTCTCCTTGTAACTATTATGTTTGGTCGCGGCTTTTCTGGCGCGTCGACCAGAAGCGTTGACGGGTGCGTCCTCGTCTTCCTCTTCTTCATCCGAGACGAAAGAACCCTCCGCCATGCTGTCAGAGACATCCTCATCGTCGTCTTCAATGTCGGAGCCTCGGTATCGGGTCTGGCGTTTTCGGCTGCCGCCCCCGGAGCTGCTCTTATGGGACTTGGAGCCACGGGAGCGTTTCTTGCTTTTCGAGACAGGTTGGTCCGTGCCGGGCTCGAAGTTCTCATCGTCAGAATCCGACTTGTTAGGATCGAAATCCTCGATGTCGCGCTTGCGCTTGCTCGGCATTGTGTCGCGATTGGGGTATCGGAAGCAAGTGAGGGCTAGGTGTGCTGTCGCGTTTGGATGCTAGATGCGGGCGACCTGTTGCTGCCTGGTGTCGCGAAGAGAACTGCGTCTATTATGTCAGCGTCAGAATACACCTGAAAAACATCCAAAAAGTGTTTAGGGCGAGAAAAAGATATGAGTGATGATGGAGATGGTGGCTATTGGGAGGTTGGTGGGTGTGAGAAGTCATACCTGTCTCAGCGTTCAGGGAGAAGGCAAGAACAATGGAAGCGAACGTCAGGTGGTGGTGCAGCAGTCCGCCATTGGAGTTGCGACAATGGAAACACGAATGATTAAGGGAGCCTTGATGTTTGCAAAGCGTGTCGCTAGCGATATTGCGCGGTGTGGAGATGAATACACGGTGGATTGGTGATAGATTCGGATTTGCTGAAAAATCACCATCGCGCGTTCCACGTCTTGCGCGCCTGGCGTTCACACTTGGGCGAGAAGACGGAAGTCAGTAGAGTGGGTCTCACGTGCAGCTTACCAGCCACAAATGGTCCGAGCGCCGGTCCTTCCAGCCTGTGAGGTCTCCATTTTGTGCTGATGCCATTGGCTGGGCCCATCTTTCCTGCTTCCATTGGGGGGCCTCATTTTGACAATTCTGCATCGCGAACGTTGACTTCTTACCAGGCAATATCGTGACTAGAAGGTGTGCTGCATGCGCTGAGGGATCGCCAGTGTTCTGTCAACTGATTTTCATCTCGACCTCGCGATAGCCTGAACTAAGGCATGTCAATCACCGTGCAAGGATTGACGGTGCTCATCGGCGCACGAGGTTAAAGAGTCGGGCCCGGGGTAAGTGGGCGACGAGTGTCCACCACAAAATGTCGCATCATCTTGTCCACGGTACCACTCGAGAAGAAGAAGGGACTGGTCTTACTCAGACGAAGTGTCTCTCCGATTGACTGCATCTTATGTGCCCAAGGGCACGGAACGCAGTCCGCCGAGACCACACACCGACTTCGCGCAATGCAAAGGACCGCGGCGCAAATATGCGCGAAACAGCGAACGATCAACAGCAATGATGTCATTTTCAAGATTCTACGTTGTCGGGCTTCAAATTGCGCCGTCTCTGAACGTTGTGCGGTTGACAGCTCACGAAGGGGCTTGACGCCCTTGGAGCTTCGAGGATGTGTCTGGCCGAAGAAGCGCAGCCCCCGCATCAAATTTGCAACCACAATCAGCCAGAAATCACCGGGCTATATCAGCGCATCTTTGTCATGTCTGCTGAACATCAAGCTTCGCCAATTCGACCCTTCGATCAGCCCTACAGACCCAAATCTGGGGTAACCCGCGAGGTTTAGGTTCCGGGCCGCCAAGCTCAGGAACGTGGCCGGGAAACGTGGCTGGTGCATTGATGCCCCCTGGTCGAGGCACCTCCACTGAGAAAAGCCACTGGCCAATGAAGACGAGTTCATGCCTTGCGGCCTGATCACATTCGGTGCGCCCGACTTAGCAGGCAGCAATCCAATACGGCGTCACGTGCATGACTGCCGAGAGCCGCAAATGACGCTAAACTCATCGGCGTCGTCCGAACATGCGGGACGGAGATGACTAAACCGGCATAGCTGACGACGACGCGGTGCCGTCCAACCGTCTCATTCGCTGACACACCAAATCGCACAAGAGTCACGAGGTGAGACTATGCAAGCATTATTGCATGGACTCGGATTCCGCGTCCTTCGGGTCACGAACGAGGCCCGCGACTTGTCTTCGGATACGGTTCACAGGTGTCCGTACGAGCATGGTCGCCAGCTTTCCTCATTCGGTCGTTGGGTGACGGCCTCAAAAAGACGCCGTTTATGCTTATCCCTTGTTTCCTCGCTCTAGTCTCGTACACTAGCACCAGTTTTGAGGCCGTCACCCAACCATCAGACCAGCAATTTCGACTTGCAGATCATCGCGTATCCGCAGCCATTGAGGAGGACGAATGCGGAAGAACAACGCACAAGGGAGAGTTCGACAGCCTGCCTTAGCTGTTGCCTTACGAGGCCATCTCCACTCGCGGTTCGCTCTCGGTCGCAATCGATGGGGTAACCGTGTCCAGCAGACCGGCCTCGGTGGGGCCACTACCACCGGCAACCCGGCCAAGTCGGCAGGCGGCCACTCGGGGCACAGCATTTTAGACCATCGAGCCCCATGGCGTCGTCAATCCATGCCGACCAAGCGAACATCAGCGAGAGCCAAGAATAAGCAGCCGTGCAGCCGCATTCAGAACTGACGAGCTCTTCAAAACATTTAAGAGACGGGTGCCCCAGAGGTCTGGACGAGTCTATCGTCTCCCAATCCATCGCGTATTCTTGTCTCGACCTCACACATCAACGTCAGAGACTCAACATCCATCGTAACTCGCAACATTCAAATCAATCAATCAATCACTCGTCACAATGTCTCCGTCTCTCACTGCCAACTTCGAATCTGCCCGGCCCAAGAGCAGCCGCGCCGGCTCTGACGCGAGCTCCATCTCGGCCGACTCCTTTACCACCAGAAGGGCAGTCTCCCACGACTCCCCTCGCCCGGCCAAGAGGAAGTCGTCCCATTCTCAGCCGGTCAACGTCTACAGCCATTGCGGTCGTCACAGCTCTCAATTCCTCTTTGGCGGACTCTCAATCAAAGACATGGCGCGCTCCATCTTCAAGCGCGATTAAGTTGTTTGAGATGATGTTTTTTCACTTCGAGAAATAGGAAACGGGAGGGGAACATCAGTAGCAAACAAAGGCAATCAACCGTCGCCGTTCGCCGCATGCGACCGGCAGCAGACCCGCCAAGAAAGCGGCGAGAGCGCCGGCTCCACAACGGCTTGAACGGCTTCGAAAAGGAGCGCCAAGCGGGAACCCGCAAAAACCGTCCTCCGGTCTTTTACGTCCGGGCAGTCCCCTCTTCACTGCTCTTCCCAGTGTCACTGCTCTGCGGGCTCCACCCGACTCTGCGTTCGATTCCACAATCCAACTCTGACGCAAGGCACCGGATGCGGAGCAAACAACGCGCAAGTCGCTCTCGGCGCCAAGCCAGGAACCGTTGAGCCTGAGCCTGTCTTCTCAGTTCAAACACACGCACACAAATCCGTCACGTCACTCAAGACGGACAGACTTGTGTTGCAAGGAACACCCATCTCCCCATCTCCCCGCCGCCCGCAACCTCGCTCCACTCAACATCATCCGTACCTGCTGGCGCCTTGGCGCCGGTGAGGCAGCGAGTAAGGAAAATGAGCTTGTATTGTGCCAAGCAACAAACCGTTGAACGGCAAGGGACGCTCGATCCAATCACACGCCGCGCTTACCACGACCTTCGACCCGTTCCCTTCGCCGCCGCATTTTGCGGAGTCTGGAGAAGCACGACGACATAAGCGGCCCATGGACGTGACATCGCTCCGGTCAGAATCCGTCTCTGTCTCTCTCAGGTCTCTCAACAACGCGGCCTGCCTCTACCGGCAATGAACGACGCCCTTGCGGCCTTTTCCTTCAGCGATGCGGACATGGCAATAGCCGGAAACCGGAAGCGGGAGGGCTGGCTGTATCCGTGGTTTCCGCGGCGAATCGGCCATCTCGCTTCCCCCTTTCTTCAGGGCATCCGATGCTCTTTTCTTCTTTTGGGACATGCCAATGGCTGTTCAGTGCCAGAAAGACGCTTTTTATTTAATGTTTGGAATTTCAATGATACCACGCGGTCATAGAGACTGCAACGCTTTCTACTCTGTACGACTCTTCTTGTATGAATAATAAAAACCACGTTACAAGTTACAAAAAGGTTCCCCGTCTTATCTCAATGCCAATTCTTGACCCTGGACGCCGAGAAATTCAACCCCTGCAACTCGCACGCTATGATGTAGATTACCGTGGTTCTCTCTCTAATCCGTCATCTCTCAATATGGGCGTGACCGCATCTAAATGCTCGTATGTACCTGACCGCCCTCGTCCATGCAATATCCGTATGTATGTACCAGTCTAAAGCCTTTGTCACGCAACACTCCCCTCGCAAAACGCCAGCCAAACACACGGGTATCCGTACCCTCTCCCCGTAAGCATCACCACCCGCCGCCGCAAACCGGACAACGACACAAACACTCACTCCCTCAAGTGACATATCCCTTAAGGCGACATGGCGTTGAGCATGACCCTGGAGTGATCCAGCAGGTTCTTCCGGCCGGGGACGTTCTGCGTGTACCGCGAGTTGAACTTCATGACCTTCTTGGCGGCGCGGAACGTGACGTCGTCGACCGTCAGCGGCTCCGCGACCACGTTCCACGCGATGCCCTCCGTGCACGGCGGCGTCGTCAGGCTGCCGCCGTACTGGTACACGTCGGAGCGCGCCAGGAGGTCCTTGAGCTCGCAGAAGTCGAGGCCCTGCGTCTCCGAGTGCGAGCCGGGCTCCGCGACCTCGTCGAGGTGCGCGAAGACGTTGGACAGGAGGGGAGAGGGGGAGGTGTTGTCGACCTCGATCAGGAAGCCGACGACGGAGGCGCTGGGGCCCGTGGAGTCTGTTGGGGAGCAGGGGGTTAGCTTTTATTCTTTTTGGTCTTCTACTCATTGAGAATAGAATGAAGCAGAGAAAGAAGACCGCCGGGACTTACTCTGATTCGCCTCGGCATCCGCCTCAAACACAAAATGCACCTCCATGGGGAAATACTCGCTCTCGACGCGGTGCTCGCTGGGCGTGTGGAAGTGGAACTGCTTGAGCGCGTACGTCCTCCCGTCCCTCGTCAGCGTGCCGTTCTGCGCGACGACCTCGAGCGTGCTGCCGAGGTTCTCGAGGACCGCGCCGTCCGGGTACGCCGGCAGGTCGAACCCCAGGCTCGCGCCGGCCACGAGCGTCGCCGAGGTGTCGTTGAGGTTGATCGGGCTCTGCTGCGTGCCCGTCGCGCACTTTGAGCTCTCGTTCTTGTGGCCGTGCCAGTTCAGGGGGCCCGTCAGGTCGTTGTAGCCGAACGTGGCGACCTCGACCTCGCCCTCGGCGCCGGCGGAGCGGGCGTAGAGGGATGTGCGGTGGTGGCAGATGGCCGAGGCCAGGGTCGCGAAGGGGAGGATTAGGGAGGACTTCATTTTGTACGTGTGTAAGTGCGGGTGTGAATCAGAGAGGAGTGAGAGGTAAGGACGGGGTCTTCCGGGAGTGTATGTTTGCTCCAGATGGTGGGAAGGAGTGCCCTCTTTATCCTGCCCCCGATCTCTCCGGGATATCTCGTCAGATCTGAGGTCCCGGGCATTGTAATCCGCCGCCCTGGGACACATCACACAAAGCAGGCCATTGTCCAAGATGGGTACCTCATCCAGCAGGCGTCATCTCACGAGGTTGGGTGCCACAAAGGGGACATATCCTCTTTGCCTCGCGCATCTTGGCGGCATATGGTGTGGACTCTCCGCCAGAAAAAAAACGGTCGGGACTCCGTACTCCACGCCGAACCGGGGTCTGCGAACCCATGGAAGCCCCAGATGAAGATCACCAAACCCACTCTTGCGGCGTCTAATCTGGAGAAGCGACTCCCTTGGCCCCAACCAAACAAAAACGCCAAGAATAAAGACGAGAGGCGCAGGAGGAGAAGGAGGGGCTTGCAATATAGGCTGTCTTGTTTGGTCTTTGAGAACTGTCGGGAAAACAAGGAGAGGAAACGGGGCCGTCAAAGGCGAACCTGAGCGAGTTCTTACGAAGGATTCCTTGGGAAATCTCATTCGCTTACTGCGCGGGCGGAGCAACGGGGGTTTATTTAGGATACCGCAAGCCGCTCGCACCAAAAAACTGCAAAAACCGCCCCAAGGCGACATCACAAGCCGCCATGCGTTGAGCCTCACTCCAAATCGACACTATGTTAGTCTTTGGCTGCTCAGCCTGGCTGGGCTCAATCTCACTTGGCCATACTAATCTCTGATTTGTGTGCAAAATTCCATAGGAGCGATGAGAAATTCAAATTAGGCTCTGCCGGTGTCTCTTGAAAAGGAATCCTAGATCCGGACGATGAGAGGGCGCAGTTGACGCTGTAGAGCAAACGCAGCGCGGTACCGAAGCCGTAAATGCTCACCGGTGTGACGGTCAACCGCCAAGCTTCCTCTGGCGTCTACACCGTGACTTGACATTACCGGAAACGTAGAGAAAAGAAGAAAATAATGGGCGGCTACAAGATATACTAAAATCGGATCACCGGATGAACTTCTCCAGAGGCGATGCCCTCCATATGGACCTTGGTCGCTGACAATTGACTACCCATATCAAGTCCATCAGCATTCCTTTCCAAATCAAAACCACGACTAGCTAGCTCACCAAGTCATCTGCTTCGAGGGTCTTCCTTACAAGCCCATCAGCTACAAGCCACGGAGGAAGTCAGCGCTACCTCGCAGCAGAGCTCAGAAACAACCACTTGGAACGTGTGTGTATGACGCCCAGCCGTTACATGTGCGACATCATAAAGAAAATAACCCGTCTTGGCCGCTTTCCCCCTCGGCGGCAGACGAACATGACGTCTCATGAGATACGGGAGGAAAACACGCATAAACCCATTCTCCCGTCTTGGACGACGCAACTCGACACGGGTCCAGACCACCCTTTGACGTCGGAGACAAGCCCCCTCCACACGACAAGACGGCTAAGCCTTAAGCGAGGGCGCCGCCCAGACGACCACCCGTTCAACGCCAGCCGGCTGGGCGCGAGAACGAAGAGAGGAACCCTTCGAAGCGATGCCGGGAAATGTTCGAGCTGCTGTCCAGTTGTCCCCCCCACGTAGGACGGACAAAAGTCCGGGGGCGAAGCTGGGGGAAAAGAGGGGGTGATAGGACGTGGGATTGATCGCCGGGCTGGTCTAATTCGTCGAGACCGTTGCTGGCCAAGGCAGAGTGGTTTGTTCTTGGTGAGAGACTGAGCCTGCGAGTTTAATCCAACGTCGGTCGGACGATGGCCGAAATGGTGGAGTTGAGGTGGAAGATCGCATCCTGCTCGCCCCCGTCGAGAGGTTGGAAGTGGGTTGTTCTTGATTAAGTGCACGCACGATTGCGTGTTCGAAACCCCGTGTGATATCTCGCGGTAACGAACGCAACAAATCTTGTCCGCGCGATCGATAGCCAAAAAGACCGCACCTGAGCATGTCCGCTTGGCATGATGAGTGTTGTAATCGAGGGCATGTGGATCGACTACAATTTGCTGACAACTTGTCAGATCTCCGTGCACAGAAAGCCCTGTACTAAGTCCCTTGACATCTTTCATCATCGAAGTCGTGATGGGACGAAACTTCCAAGTCTCAAAGGCGGGCTAGATCGCTGAGCATCTGATACGACAGATCCAGAACGAGCTCGAGAACGGGCAAGATTGACCTCGACCAGTGTCATCGGTAGCTTCTCCTATTGGGAGAGACTGACTTGGCCGATGACATGAAGCCAGGTCAGGCGGCTTGCTTCCTTGATGGAGAACGAAGCCGAGTGGCGCCACGGTCAACTTCACTGGAAGCCAGCGTGAGTGCAAAGCAGCAAATGAAGACAATCACTAAATTGCCCCTCGCAAATGCATGCCGCTAAAGTCCCGGGACAGACGACGATGCTTCGTTGTATGAAGTAAGCTTTATACTGCCGTGTTCCAACACAGTCCCGATGGTGAAGTTGGGCGCCTACCCCTTCAGACAGTTCCCTATCGAACCACGAGACCTCGACACATTGCCACCAACAGTCCAAAACTGCGGTCCGGCGTATCTTGTGCTGTGCATTGCATCGCCTTCTTGCTTCCGTCGCCTGGAATGGCAGGAGCAGGTAGCCGCCAAACCTCCTGCGACCTCCCGAGTCACATCGCGACTACCCGCGAACGTGAACGGCGGGCAACTAGAAACGTGCGGTCGCAGCTACCCGTACGCTTATCCGGGTCCTACCGCATGTTGCCGTCCATCCCAACGTGGTGCGTTTCGGCAAGATCTCGGAGTACAGGCAATATTGAATTTCTGATGTCGAGGCGAGGTGGGCATATGCTGAGATTCAATTCGACACGCAGTCAGCGTTCACGGCGTGAGTTGTTCCCAGCTCAAAAAAGCCAACGTCAGAGATAGAAAAGACAGCAAGCTCCAAGTTGTCGACTGACGAGCCTCAGCGGCTGAACTATACTCCCAACTTGGGTCCCGTACAGACGCAGTTGGGAGTGGTGAGAGATACCACAATGTATCAAACCCTCCAGCATAAGCCAGGGCGATCGAGGCGATAATCTTACAGTTATGATCTGTCATAGCATATCTGGCTGTTTAGGGAGAAATGGGGCTCTCCTGCCCGTGTGTCTTCTGGTAAGATCGTCAGCAGGTTCTCTTGAAATTTCGGTTGGTTAATCAAGAGCACCAGACCGTCACGTCCAGCGATGTCGCGCTTTGTAATTGCATGAAGCGAATGATGCTCGTCCAGAGTCGATATCGCATTTGCTGCTGATGACTCGAGAGCATTGACTTCCAAGTCGTTCCGTGGGAAACTATTGAAACTCGATGAGACCAAATATGACCGATCCGCACCTTTTCGTAGAACCTGACTGAGTTACTTCCAGGAAAAGCTGGTCAAAGGTCTCCCTTACAACAGTCTGCGCGGCTACTTCACGTGCAGTTTGAAGCTTATTCAGTCGTAGATTCAACTAAGAAAGCCAAATCGTCGACCCTCGTTCGTGCGCCCGGGAGGATTTCGAGCGAGGAGGCTTACCCAAACTGTCAATATACCATTTTGAAGGCGAACACGTCAGAAAATCTATGCCGGGCATGTCTGTATACGGAGTTTATGTTTGGTTGACAAATCTCATCGCACTGGGTACCTACCGGGCACAATATGACCTCTTGTCGCAGTCACCGGGTAAGGTTGTCCTGCATCTGAAAGGTTCCTAGCGCGCCTTTCTTTGTCTTTCGATTTAACTTCTGAGATTACCCCAGTCGGAGAATTGACGAGCATGCTTTTTCTTGTGCGATACTGACTTGGGATCATTAGTCCGCTCACGACGTCGGAGCCACGCCGGTGGCTCGGCCCCGATGTGGGGTTGTCCGGAGTTCCAAAGCCGTCTTCGTCCGATCCCGTCCTTCCGGACTCACGCCTCTACCGAACGACGTTCCTCAACATTGCGAGACTTGGACTCTCGTCGAAATCGACACCTCTCACGAATCCAGCCGCTGGAACGAGCCTCGCCATCATCCTTACCGACCTCGTACAGCTCCCGCAGCTTGTACGTCGTCGTAACCCAGCTCTCGGGCCCGGTCGTAGGACCTTCACCGCAAGTAGACGAAGCGGAGCTCGCAGGAGGGCTTCGGTACGACGCCTCGGAAGCTGAGGCTGCCCGCCCGAGGCGTCAGGGCTCGATCTTGCGCGACGGCGAGCCCGTCGGTATGTGGGACAGTCGCACGGCGTGGGACGAGAAGCTGCATGTGGCCGCGTACGGAGTGGACCGGCATGCCGCCCTATTCTTGACCGTCGCCGTCTGGAGTTGGACAACCTCCACCCGGCTTGGCTCGGAACACTGACTCTACCGGACTGGATGGAGCGCTCCGAGGGCAGGGGCGGGAGGCACGAGTCGGACTGGCGGTGATGCCTCCGCTGCGAGGCGACGCTGTGAATGCGCTCTGCCCATCACTTCGACGGCTAATCCCTGGCAGGTCGTCTCGGTAATGGAAGCGGGCGTTATTGCCATGGCGCATTCAGGCCTACTTGTGGCCAGTTGACGGTCGTAAGCGGGGAATAGTAGGCGTCTTATTGCCAGGACTGGATCTCATCCGCATGGGGGGAATGGACGCTTCCAAGTTGGAACTCAGCATGTGCCGTATTGAGTGGGTTCCGTGAAGTTGGACTGCCCAAGACGGCGGGCCATTGGACCAGGATGTTTGTCTCCCTGGACCCTTTGGGGAATCGAGCCGCCTTAAGGTGTCATGCTATTGGGGGCCGACTGATGGCAGTGAATGGGAGTGCGCGGCCGCTCGTCTCGGCTCAACCACTCTATTGAATTTCTTTCTTTTATTGGCAACTCATAAATCTTTCTGCCTTCTCCGGGGTTTATGTCGGCAGCCAGGCCACCGAGTTATATCTCGCTAATCTTTCGCGGAAGAATAGTTGCGCTCCCGGCCGCGGCGCGTTATTGTAAATCATCCAGGCTGCCCGGGGGGGCATGGAGAGTCGAGAGTGCGGGGGACGAAGTTTGGTCGTCTTCATCTCACCGCAATTGATCTGTCATACTGAGAGATTGGGCGTTCTCATTGCACCAACTCGGGCCCATGGCCGGTCTTGGCCGTGCGAGCTTGCAAGCCCCTCGAGATCGTACCCACGAGGTGGAGGATGATGGGTCCTGCAAAATATCACCGATTGACCGGCCAGTATGGCCTCATCGGGATTGCCTTGCGGTCTGCATCGCTTGCAGCGCTTCAAAGCGCTCGCATTGCGCATCTGCACCTAGAACTTGCTTGAAGCACAACATTTCTCTTTGCTCACTGAGCCTGGCTGCACAATTCGTCGTCCTCGTTGCACAGAATCCGCCAGGATGGACGACAGAGACCAACGGACTGTCTCTGGTTTACATGATCGTCACCAGTCATTTTCTCGCTAAAGCTGTAGCGGGCGATGGCGTTATGGCTTAGGTCCGATGGTGCTGCTGACTAGGACAGGACACCAGGAACGAACCCAGTCTTCGTCGTGGGACCATGTGAGATGCAGCACTCGGAGGTCAGTTCTCGTTCTCTACCCACAGATGCGACGGCGCCAAAAGGCGGGCCTCGTGCCCTTGATAGTGTTGGTGGCTTGCGCAAGTTTGTGGATGGGGCCGCGACTGGTGAAGTGATTCAGTGAGTGACATTCGTTACAATTTCCACATGGCGTCTGAGGGAAAACACTGGCCAAACAGTCTGACCTCGAGGCTGTCCGTCCTCCTCTCCGCATATGCACTGCCGCAACAGTCGGTGACCGCTTGTCAATTGACTTCAACAACGGCGTATCGGGACCAGGGGTAAACTTGGAAACTTGGGCTCTGTCGCCAACAAATGTTAGCCCCAAGACCCTGATCTTTCGGCCAGTCAATCATTGGTGAGCGTTGCTGGCATTAGCCAGGTGGCACCGTGGCAGATAAGACCCTACTCAACTCTCGAAGAGATCACTGCCAAGTTGGTCTCAGACCAAGGTGATCGTGATAGGCCAATCCCCACAACGTGCGTCTGATCTTCGACGCAGCTGCTAGGACACTCGCGGGAATGACCTTGGAGGGGGCGACGACTTGTCAATGTCGGTATGCAGTCCTCCTGCAGCCTCTGCAGGGTTGATCCAGATGGGAAAAACATGGAGGTTGGATTTGCCTTTCTGTTCGTAGACTGTTGAGATGCATTGCTGTGATGCGGCAGATCCAGGAAACCACCATTACACGTCTCGTAAGGTCTGTGGTCTATTGGGCTGATTGAATCTGAGGTCAATCTGAGTCTGAATCGTGCTGCTGTTTTTGAACTCAAGGACAGCGCCGGTTTGGCGTGCGTGATTCCCCGCAACAGCCTGAGAGCGGCATGTGAAGTTGCATTGGTGGACATCTGAGCGGTTGACCAATAACGACGCCAAATTGGTCCCCCGCACAAGGAGCTGTGTGAAAGAACGGATTCGAATCTGGCCCCGAATCCCAGCAGACCGAGACTCAAGGAAGAAGAAAGCGTCGCCCGGTCTGGTTTCGTGCTTGTTGTCAGTCGAGAACTGACGCGAGTGGCTCTAGAAGTCCGCGTCTACGAGACCACAGCGCGTTAAGCCGTGTCTCTAAGAAAATGAAACAGCCCGACGACAAAAGAAAAGATCCGTGTCCGCGATGCCCACAGAGGCTTAGCCTAAGCGTTCCAGCGCCTCCAAAGAACAATTCGAGAAGTGCATGCAGGGAAGCCGCTGGAAGACGAAATTTTGCGACGGTCGATTTGGGAGTGTGGACCACCACGAGCGAGCTGCCTCGGGACAATATTCAATGGCCCAGATGGCACCTTCCAGATCACTGACTAGGCCCGACATTAGATTCCAATGCTGGGAACTTTGGTTTGCCCTGAACCATAATTGGGCGGTTTGTAACCTAGTAGCCTGCTTCGAAAGGATGTATACATCCGAGATGTTGACTTCGGATTGATCGGTAATTTTGCGCCGCGCACGAGGCTGTCCCGTCTCAAGCAAGGCCGGCTTGGCTGCCCCGGAGGCTGCAAACCAGTGCAAATACCCGCGTCATCGAGTTCAAGGCAGTCGGCAGCCAACTCGGTGATGTGCTGCCCGATCGGGTTATGTTCGCGGGGAGGACGAAAAGCAGGAACAAGCCGAAGACGATACAGGCTCGTCTTCCAATCACTGCAATCGGCGACGACTCCGGGCTTAGTCATTAGACTCGCATCGCGGATGGGTCTTCTGGGTGAGCTTGTTCTTTCTGTAGCTGGCGTCGAGGTAGCATTGCGACGGGTGCCAAAACCGGCGAGACGCTGGGCGCTCTCTCCCTCGGTGATGTTCTTGCTGCTCAGGGAGACAAAATATTCAAAGCTGACGAGGGTCTTGGAGCTGACAGGGACGAGGGTCGTTGCTATTCAGGAGCGGAAGGTTTGCTCCAGCAGGTGACATGAGGCAGAAAACGTTGCTGGAAGCTGCCGAAACTCTGTTGATAACGATGCAGATGAACCGAGCCTGATGTGTCGTGCCTCAAATTTAGTCTGTCAAGAACGGACGAGACGAACGATTTGGCTCGAATGCATGCTGCAGAGTGTAGTTCTGGGCTGGGCTCCGAGCTTTGCTGCCGTCAATAATTTAAGCAGCCAACTTAGCTCAATTCCCGCGCAGTACGGTACCCGCCATGATGGGTTTCCGTCATCCAACGCCGTGACGGTGAAGCATCGGCGTCTGGGACAACTGTTTCAAGCAGATAGCGGGACGTTTCCAACGAGATTGATGAGACTTGTCACCTGGCCTGAGCTGTACCTTGGACTGGCAGCAATGCGCGAACCGCTGGCGCCGACGGCTTCCCATGCGTGTCCAAGAGGTTGTCAGGCACAGATAGTGAAGGATGGAGTAGAGTTGCTGCAAAAAGGCGAGGGTGCTCAGGCAGTTCGGTCCTGAGCTGCCCTCATCGGCGTATTTGTCCGTCTCCTTCAATCTTAATTCGATCTTTAGCCCGTTTGATAGAGAATCTGAGAATCGTCGATATCGCCTGATCATTCCTTAAGCTGCAAGTTGACCTCCAGTTAAACTCAGGGAGGCACAGTGACGCAAGAGATGCTGAGATCCGTAGCGCTTTCATTGACAGTTTGATAGTGAACAGAGTCACAGTTCAATTCCAAGGACATGGGCGCGCATCATCCAAACAAGACTAGCCAGCACCGCAAATCTCCAGATCAATGCGTGGATGGGCATAAAAGCAATGCTGACATCGAAAATATCTGTCGCGTGCTGCAGTTGTCATGCCTCTAGTGGTCCAGCCATTGAGTTGTCTTCTGATGCCCCTAAATCGAGCACCACAGGGCTGAATTATCGAAATGTGCTGTGCTGCATAGCCTGCGGCGTAGGAGGCAAATTGCGAACGACCAGGCTTTTCCTTGTAAATCATGCTGGCGGGCCTTGGGCTGTTCTCTGGTTGCTGACGGGAAACTTTCATTTCCAAAGCATGAGCTTCCAGACTGCTGTGCGGAGTAACACGCTGGACCTGCTCATGGGTTTCTCCCAGCACCAGATGCCTGCAACAGCTCACCGCAAGACGTGATGGTCAATGCCAGCAGCGCTGCTGTGGGCAGTGGCATAATGTCTAGGAACCCGTACGTGTAGCTTGCTTTGCTGTGCTGTCCATTTCCGAGAGATAGCAAGGAATCGTTTACTGATATCCCCTCCCAGCATCCTGAAGGCAAATTACAGATGAGCCAGCGTGCGGAATAATCACATCTCATCGGCAGGGGGCGGCGGAAAGTTGAAGGGGGCCGCAAGGCCGCCGCCGCATCGCCTCCAAAAGCGATCAGGGCCCGTTGGCTAGCATGCTAGTCTAGCGTCATTCCCGCCCCGTCGTCGTTGTTGACCCCGTCTGAGCCTGTGAGAATCTCGTGTATGCGTATGGGCAGGCCTGGGTTGGCCGCGGATTGGTGTTGCCGCGAGTGGCGGCACGGGCACGATTGAATGTACAAGTACCTAATGGACCCTTTACATGTAAGTGTTCGCACATCCCACGTACAACATACCTCGAATGTCTCTCCATTGCCAGCCTCTTCGTATGCCAATGGCAACCCGTTGGCCGTAGCTCCCTAAGTTGTCTTGTGGATCCCCGACCGGTCTCTGGCCACGGACTAAATATAGTGTATTCACGCGAACTAACGCCAAAGGACGACAAAGTATGAAGGCGAAGAATTTGCATGAAGAAAGAAGGGATGATGGCAAGAAGGCTGTTATTGGACGATGCGGCATGCGCGTGCGAACTCTGAGATGGGATCGGAGGTAGGCAACGTCATGGGGAGGGCGGGAGGCTGTCGCCGGCGGCCGGTATCGAGAATCGGGCAGGTCGGGGTACGGCATCCCGGAGAATGACTCTGACGGGCTCTGACTGATTGATCGTCTGAGCGGCGGGCAATTCTGGATGGACTCGTAAGACGGAGATAGGCTTCGACGTCGATATGTAAGCTGTGTCGCCCGGCACGCCTTGTTGGTTTGTGGTTCGTTGATGATGGCCATGTCCTGCTGCTTGCTGATGCCGCCAAGGTGCGGAGACTACACTACTTCAGTATCCTGAGCAGCTTCACTTTCTTTCCCCTTTCCACGTCTCCATCGGCGAGCAACCGGGCGCGCAGGCCAGGCAAACCAATTGGAGCAGCACATCTAGACGGCCTCTCCATCCACTGGTTCCGCAGACAGGCCCTCGTGGACTATGGAGTGGGAGTTGGCCGTCCAGAGTGTGAGTGGACAGGTTGGGTCGATGGAGCAGTGCTGCAAAATTTCCCTGTCGGGACAGGGGACGCCATCCCTTCCGATATGCAGGTAGCATTACCTCACCACCTTAGCAAGGCAAAGCCACTGCAGTGGGGTAATTCGAAGCCAAATACGGGGAAAGCGTTCCCTTTTTTCTTCGTATCCGCCGGGCCATCCCACGTAACAGGTGACAGACGATTGCAGAAGGGGGGAAGAGAAGAGGCAGAGGCAGAAGGCCGTAGGCCGTAGGCAGCCTGGCGGCACCGACGAGGAAAGACTGACGAAGGCGACCTGAGCGTGATTGGCGGATGGGGTTCGTGAAGTACGTACGTGTGTATTCGTACCGCGGTGGCGGTCTGGTTGTCTTGCTATCCGCCGAGAGATGCGTTGAGCAGCTTGCATTTGTGAGCTTATACCTGAAGCAGGAAGGCTGCAGGTGCGATCTGCTGGTAGGGTAGGTATGGTATAACGGAAGAACGGCCAAGTCGAGGAATCTGCAGGGTCGGTCCATTGTACAGGCAGTACCTATCTCGCCCGCCGTCCTAGGGCAAGAGATACTGTTGTGTGTGTGTGCACCAATCCCGAAAAGCTGGCTATTGTTCAGCGCTGACGTTTGATGCGTCAGGGTCCTAAGACGAAGGCGAGACTGGCGATGTTGTCGGAGGTCTTAGGTCTCTTAGTGCGAAGTTTCGGGAATGATTTGGCGGTGGGCGCTGTGCAGCGGGCTTTGGAGGCATCGATCTGGCGCAAAGTAAGAGAACGATGGATCGTCATTACGTAGAATTGTTGTTCTGCAGGCGGTATTGCGTCTCTTGGATGCTGCATCTCATCTCTCGTCTGACTGTACCTGGGCCAGTGCTCAACGCCATGTGTGCCGCGTGATGACAAAAGCAGGCGAAGGCGACGACGGGACGAACTGAGTTGGGAGCAGCAACGACCGTGCTCTTATTTGCGTCGCGTCTGCAGCAGATGGGACGACGTGGTTGTTGATAGATGCTTTCCATTTGGATCTGGCTTCGCTCCCTCTGTATCGTATCGCACACGCTCAGTAAAAGTATCCGTAGTTGATCAGCTAGGCTCGGGCTCAAGTCAAGGCTCAGACTGGCCCCTCCCGTGATGCAACAGCCTGGTGGTCCCTTGGCGTGTTCAATGTCGTGTTATGTTTTTGTTGTTTCTCGTCGGCTTGCCTCATTAAGGAGACACGGCGGCGCGGGCATTTCAGTCGCCCAGGAGCAAGGGGTAGCGTGGTTGTGATTCGTCGTCTCCGTGCCGTTGACCCAATGGAAGAGCGCCAGAATTCTCCAAGCCGAGAGACAATTCCCCACGAGACGAAAGGACGCGTTGGACCGATTCCTCTTTGAGCTTTTTAGGGGTTTGCCCTGTGGCAGATGGGAAGATGGCGTGTCTCGCACAGGTCTGCTTCGAGGTGCAGGTGCAGTTGCAGTGAGAAGGGCCCTGAAAGTCTCCTGGAAGGAGCAACAGCAGGCAATTCGCACTCAACAACGTACGAATACCTACTCGTACCAGGTACCACCGGGACTGCTCCTCAGTTGACGACGATGAGCGAAATGGAAGGAAAGGTCCCTCAGGATCCAGTCACCGCACCTGCAGGACTAGTTTGGACCAGTCAGACGCGCTGGTGTCGAGCAGGGTACCCAGGACAATGTTCCGTGGGCAGGCACAGGGTGCGGGGGTATATGGGACTTTCACCTCCGCATTGCGACGTCCCGTGGCCGATGTACTCCGTACCTCTTCACTCTGAATTGCTGCTCGAAAAGGTGCTGCAACTGTCTGTGGAAACAAGCCTAGGGTTCCCTACCGGGGTAAGGTGGTGTAAGCCCAGGTACTTTGAACCAAGTGGAACTCCATCGTCGTCTGGCTCCAGCAGACCAATGCAGCATCGGTACGATGCCAGAAACCTTCCCATCTGGCAATCTCGACCCTTCCACTAGAAACTCCTCTTGGGACTTTCTCTCACCACACCCGACTTCTTCTTTCTGTATCCCCTCAAAAAAAATTCCTGTCTCGTCTTCCATCCCCTTCCCCTTCCCTTTGCCCTTCTCTGCCCTTTCTCTCGCCGCCTCTGCCCTTCCCCCGATATCCTCCAAGATATCCCAACCCATCCCATCGACGACCCCTTTTTTTTCGTCCCAAAAAAAAATCACGAAATCCCTCCAAGCTTGCCTGCTCTCAGGGTCCTTCTTCCAGATCGTCCCCATATTCAATTCCCCGGTCCAACGTTGTCCCCCGATCATACCTCACTCGCCTTTCGCTCTTCCGTCGTTCCTGCCCTTGGTTTTCCTTTTTGCGTGTCGTCCTTCGATCTTTCCCAAGTCCGAACCAGAAAAAAAAAAAAACACAACCACCCAAACCCAACAACTCTTCGACCGCTCACGATTGCTCTCTCTTGTGATCCCAAGAAACGTCGAATACTCCTCCCAAAACCCGACGACAACGATAAGACGGTTACGTTTACCTGACTCGTCAAGGTTCCTCTCCGTTCCCAACGATTTCACCCGTTACGATATCGAACCGGATACGAGTGCCTCACATTCCCATGTTTTGCGTCGATTGCTAGCCGCCATTCGAGTTGTCTCTGACACTTGATCTCATCCTCTCCCCGGTCGATAGTTTGTTCCAGTTCGACGACGATTGCCTCGCGGTAGCAGCGAAGCATCTACTCTCTCCGGCACGACCATCTCGTTCTTGCCCCTGGCCGCAGGCGACCTTCAATTCGCAATCGCTTCTTGACATATTGTGTCGCCCTCGTTTTTCCCACGACAACGACTTGTTATCTTGGGACAGTCCAGACATATCTCTTTTCCTTGTATTCAAGAAACAAAAAGGTTCGTATTGCCGTACTGATCTGGGCCCGTTCACGTTCCATGACGAATCATGCTTGTGCCTGTCGCCCTGCCTTTCGAGGCATAAACTGCCCATGTTTGCCTCAGCTTGATCCAGCCTTGCTAACAAATCCCTCTCTAGTATTTAGCATATCCGATCCGCAGTCCGCTAGCCAACACGTTTCTTTTCCTTATCCGCCGTCTGCTCTGAGTTTTACTCGGACTTGACCCAGGAAACGACGAGACGACGGACGAAGGAGCACTCGTTCGGCACTGCTGGCCCACTCGCTCGCTTGGAATATGGCTGCGTTGGTCCAGACGTATCCCCAGCAGACCAGCACTATTTCCCTCCAGAACAGATCCTCCTCGAACATGGTGCCCACACAAGCTCAGAACCAACAGTACATGGCTGCCCAGCAGGCGCAGCGGAACTTCTCAGGGGGTATGGCGAGTACTGGCGTCTACCGCGGCAGCAACGCTCCGGTCCAACCCTATGCCTTCACCAGCACTCCCAGTCTGAACACGACCGGCCAGTGGCAGCAATATGGCAATGGCTACCGTACGGCATCCTCTCCAGCTGTTCCGACGCAGGGCATGATGCAAGGACAAGATGGAAGCCGGCCCCGTCACACTCAGAGCTCGTCAGTCTCTTACACCCATAACCTGGGTACGAGCAAGGGCGGATCAAGAGACGACTCGGCGATTCCTGCCGCTCGCACCAACTCCCACGCACCGCGACCGCAATCTGCGTATCTTGCGGGCAGCACGACGCCGCAAATGACGTTCGCTCAGGCCGCCGGTGCTAAGACGACACCTGATAGGTACAGGCGCCCGGCTCCTCAGCAGCAACAGCCTCGCCAGACTAGCGCCCCGTCAGGGTCAGGCATGGCCACCGTTAGTCATTTGTACAATGCACCCAACGACCAAAAGAGCACGTCAGTGCGAAGCCGGAATGCGAATTCCCAGGCCAGGCCAAACAGTCACTACGGCGCGGTTGATGACAGGCAATTGAATCGACCCGCGGAGGATAGCATGCGACTCAGGCGGCGCAGCATGCACTCGCTGGATTCTGCCGATTACCCAAAGCCGCTAACCCCACAGGAATTCTCCCCCCCGGAAGAATCCACTCGCCCCGACCGCGTTCCAACTCCCAAAAACAACGAAAAGTCGCTCCGCATCGTTTCTAGCCTTGCACCTCCCACCGACACCAACATGCATGTTCGTAATGGCAGCGCAGAGAGCGTCGCGTCGAGTCGAAGCAGCCATTCGAGGCCATCTTCGGTAAGTGTCTGACCTCACCGTGCTTCCCATAGCACGCTCATCACCTGCTCTCCCTTCCTGACCGTCTCGCCTCATCCCTCTGGTCGATTGCCCAATCATGCACCGGCCCGACCATCCTGAAGTGTTCCATCGCTAACAAGGTTATTTCCACCAGTCCGCCAACCGCAGTGTACCCACCCCCACGGCCAACCCCTCACTCTCTTCATCTTCATCTACACCAGATGATGGCTCGTCAAAACAAGAGCAACCCAAGCTGGTGAACATTCCGCCACGAAACTCGTCGTCAGATGCTGCCAAGCGACAGCCTACGCCTTCGCCTCTCTCCAAGCCGGTGACCATGTCGACCGACTCGAGTCCCCAAAAACCACCTTCCTCTCTGGGAAATGCTCCGCAACAGGCCGCCTCGCAGGCCGCGGCTGTGACACCGAGCGCTCACGCCAGCAGCCCTGCCGCTCAACAACTCGCCGCAATCAATCAGAAGGGTACGAAATCAAAGAGCAAGACATCTCGACTGCGTCGTGCCTTCTCTTTCGGAAGCGCCGCCGACTTTAAGAAGGCCGCTGGCCCCGAAATACCCGCCGAACCCAACGCCGCCAACGATGCGTCCAAGCTGCACAAGGATCCGACGCCAGAAGATGTGTACGAGGCTGAGCAGGCTGCAATCGCGAAGAAGCAGGAGGAGGGTGGAATTGGAAGCAATATCTACGGAGGAAGGCTGTTTTCGGGATCGACTGACAATCTGTCAATCTCGTCCACCGCGTCGTCTGCTTCTATCATGATTCGTAAGATGGGTCGTGGTATGAAGAAGAGCACGCGGTCCTTGGTGGGACTCTTCCGACCAAAGTCAGTCATCGGTGTGCCCGCAGCGGATGCCCTTGCACCGGAGGCCAGCCAAGCCGCTGTCTCGATGATCACGGTTGAGGCCGAGAGGGTCAACGTCAATCCCGATCCTCGCGCGCAGAATGGTGGCGGCACCGGATTTCCTCATCTGGAACGAAACTCGCTCGATATTTCCAACACGCCGAGCATGGTTTCCGAGCGTGCTGGTAGCTCCGGCACCGACAGCGCGGGACGAAAGAGCATCGTAGGTGGTGACAGGGAGCGTGCCGAGGTACTTGCGGCCGTCAAGAAGGGAATCCTCAAGCACAACAGGTCGGGTAGCCCAGCTCGCGACGGCGCCAAGCCTTTCGAACTCCCTGCCATTCCCAACATTGCCGACTCGCCTATCTCCACCGCGCCTAGCACACCGAACGACGAGGCGCAAGGCCACAAGCGCTCTGGCTCGGTCGCTATTGGCAGCGAGGATTATTTCATGACGGCCCTTCGACTTCGCCAGGATAGCAGGAGCGCGCCTGGCACACCCTCAGCGGGTACCAGGAGGAACGCTACCTTCTCGCCGAGAATTGTTTTCCACGACACATGGCCAAGTGGGGAGTACGACCGCAGGGGTGAGATTGCTACCTGCAACCGCCTAACGCCTATGTTGGCTCAGCAGATCAAGGAAGAGCTCAACACGTTCAAGATGGTATGTCACGCAAACACGCGAAGCCCCAGTCGAATAGGATGCTAACTACGTCAAGGAAATGGAAGTTCACGAAAACTCCAAGATTTACACGCACTTCTTCTAACGACTCCTACGCCTGCAACACGGAATCTTCCTACTTTTGCTTCTTGATGATGGGCCCGCCTACCCAATCATGTATTTGAACTACATTTACCATTCCACGGCGTTCGGGAACAGCATCGTACGGCGTCGGGGCGTTTTCAACCGTCACTCGACAGCATTTTCGACAGCTTGGCTGGAGAGCCTGCCGGTCGCCCTCTGCCGCTTAATTTTCACGGATGGGCTGGGCGTCACACGGAGATGGCGGCCGGTCAGAACAGTACACACAGGCTAGTCAGTGCATACGCGGGCCGAAAGGCTGTTTGCATCTGGGCAGCGGCCACACGGACCTTGGGACACGATGGCGATAATGGTGGTGGTCTCCATGTGTCTTACGCTTTTATCAGACGGGCTCAAGCCCAGAGAAGATGAGGACTCTGAGGAGATCCCATCGCATTCGCTCGGCACATGTTTCATTGTGTCGGTATTTGCTTTGTTGGCGGTCAAAGGATTTTCTTTATTTGTCGGTTCCATTCGCGTTCATGTCGCCAGCCGTTTTGTCGGGTCAAAGGGGAAGCAGATAGAGAGTGTGGCTTTTTTCATCTCACAAAAACAAGTTTAGTCTCAGCGAGGTCTTGATGCTGGTATCGACCACTCCAGCGAATTGAATAGTTTAGAGCGGACTGCAATTCAGAAAAGTTTGTCCCGAGTTGCATGTGATGATTGGACCGTTGATGCGGCTTCTGATGTACCTACTTCGCCCTGACTGGCCTGACACAACGTCTCAGTGCTAGATTCAGATGAGCGCCATGATGAGACCCAGTCGCGCTGTTGTACCAGGTACATGCTTCAATCAATCGGCAGGGCGACGTCATTCGCTGTTCGTCGCTTTTCCCCTGCGCGGTGGACTCCAAAGACCCGCCGCCCCACCAATCAGAAAAGCTGGGGGTCTTCAGCCTCGCGGACCCCTCAATGCAAGGCTTGGAAAATTTTCTGCACATCACCATCTGCGTCACCTTTCCGACTCGGGCACACACGAGGGCACCCCGCTGGAACCACCGAGTTGAGATAGTCGACAATCTGGCGGTAGTGCTCAGGCTACGGAGGCTCCGGACGCCTCAAGTTTTCCGGATCACGCGATTCTTCTCCTCGACGACGACGAAAATGGCGACAGACGCGACCGAGACACCCGCCGCGGGGCTCGAGGCCGCCGCCGCGGTCAAACCGAAGCTTCACGGTCGGGCCTTCTACGAGAGCATCGGGAGCCCAAAGTACATTTTGGCTCCCATGGTTGATCAGTCCGAATTTGTAGGTTTTTGTTTTCTTCTTTTTCGCCGTTTCTCCCCTCGACGGCTCGGTTGGTACTTGGACAACCACTGACATTGCACGTGTGACGCAGGCCTGGCGAATGCTCAGTCGATCCTTCATCCCTGCCGAGGAGCAGTCCAATCTGCTCGCATATACCCCCATGCTTCATGCGAGGCTGTACAACGAGACCGAGAACTACCGCCAGGGCCACTTCCAAGCCGTGCGTCCCGGCAGCAGCAGCACGACCGCGGCCGCGACCACAGCCGAACCCGCCGCCCCGTGGCTCGACGGCAACCCCAAGATCGACAGGCCCCTCTTCGTGCAGTTCTGCGCAAACGACCCGGACGCCCTCCTCGGCGCCGCGCTCAAGGTCGCGCCGTACTGCGACGCCGTCGACCTCAACCTCGGCTGCCCGCAGGGCATCGCCAAGAAGGGCAAGTACGGCGCCTTCCTCCAGGAGGACCAGGACCTCATCTTCAGGCTCATCAACAACCTCCACAAGAACCTCCCCATCCCCGTGACGGCCAAGATCAGGGTGCTGGAGACCAAGGAGGCCACGCTCGCGTACGCGAAGAACGTGCTGGCCGCGGGGGCCTCGATCCTCACGGTGCACGGCCGCCGCAGGGAGCAGAAGGGACACCTGACGGGGCTTGCGGACTGGGGCATCATCAAGTGGTTGAGGGGCCAGCTGCCGCCCGAGACGGTGCTCTTCGCGAACGGGAACATCCTGCAGCACGGGGACCTCCAGCGCGCGCTGGAGGCGACCGGGGCCGACGGCGTCATGAGCGCCGAGGGGAATCTCAGCGACCCGGCCATCTTCGGGAGGGAGCCGGAGCCAGGGAGCGAGGTGGAGAAGAGGGAGTACTGGCGCGGGAGGGACGGCAGGGGCGGGTGGAGGGTAGACGCGGTCATGAGGCGGTACATGGACATCCTGCACCGGTACGCGGCCGGGGTGGATCCGCCAACCAGGCGGCCGCTGTTCGTGCCCGGAGACGACACGGCGTGGATGGAGGAGATGGACAGGGCGGCGGCGGAGGAGGAGGAGCCGTCGCGGAAGAAGAGGAAGAAGGACGCCTCGGGGCCCAAGGCGAGCAGGAAGGAGAGGACGCATAACCCCAACTACTCGGCCATGCAGCCGCACATGTTCCACATGCTGAGGCACTTTGTGACGAAGCACACGGACGTGCGGGACCTGCTCGGCCGCAGCCGGGCGGGGGATCTGGAGGCGTACGAGGACATTCTGAGCAGGGTCGAGAGGAAAGTCGCGGACGGGCTGCTCGAGTACGAGAGGAGCGAGGGCAAGGTGTTTGAGGAGGCGGATGGCGCTGCTGAGGATGAGGAAATCGTGGAGGATGGGGAGAGCTCGAGGGGGGCTATCAGGAGGTGTCAGAGGCCGTGGTGGGTGGTGCAGCCCATTATCAGGCCGTTGCCGAAGGAGGCGATGGCGAAGGGGGCGGTGTCGTTGAGCAAGAAGGACAAGGCCAAGTTGGCGCAGGAGAATGGGGAGACGAACGGCGAGGCGAAGGAGCAGACTGTGGAGGAGAAGGTCTTGGAGACGGATGATAAGTTGATTGCTGGATGAGAGAAGACAGTACATAGTAAAAAGAATATACCCCCTTCTCAGTTACGTCAACCGATGTCTTTCGATTCTTGGATAGAGCTACGAAACAAAGTTGATGTGTAGCTGGCAACGTCACTTGCGGAAGGAGTGGGCAGTGTTGGCTATATTATCGCCTAGCAATACGATTACAACACGACAGTCTTGAGTGTGGGTGAATAAAGCATCACAGTCGTGTGTTCACGCGTCACCAGCGCTTCTGGAATACTTCAAGTATTTACTCGTGAATGTCCCAAGTAGAGATTGAATACGTCAGGCTTTATTCGCTTATTCCAAACAATACATTTACTTTCATTTCTCGCCGGCAATCGTTAGTCGAAACGCCCCATCATGTCCTCGACCAGCGCTCTCGAAAAGTCTCCGCCGAGCTCATCGAGCAGCTTCGGGAACTCTTCGTCCTCCATCAACTCCTTCACCTTGCAAGCCGCGTACAGGCTAATCAGGCTTCTCAACGCGTCGCGTTGTCCGTTTTGCCTTTCCATCGTGTTCTCGTACGTGTACCGGATCAATTCCGTGATGTCTGGGACACCCGGGGGGTGAAGATCGAATTGCACCAGGGCCTCGCGGAGCTTGCGCAGGGACAGCTCCTGGAGGCCCTTGATTCCGTAGCAGTCGGCGAACACGTAGACCATGGCGATGGAGACGAACATGTCGGTGTGGTCGTCGGTAAAACCCCCCATAATGCTTTCTCGTGGAGGCTCCGGGTAGAGGCGCTGGAACTTCAGCCAGGGGACGAGACTGTTGGGTGGTTTGGCAGGTGTGGACCGGAACCTCACACACCGATACCTAATACGGCTTTTAAAGCGAAGAGAAGGGGTATTATCGTGTACAGCCTGTTCGGGTTCGAGATTTTCGAAACGGGGTCGGCAAGCTGCTGGTTGATAGTCTCCGGTATACAAAAAGCTGGCGAATCGCACGAAGGTGGGTACGTCGATATCTTCCTAGAAAACAGTGCGCTCTACGGACTCCTTCATGCCGCTGTTGATAAGGTTGTCGAGGGCTGCGGACTGTTGGGCTACAACGTCGCCGTGGAGAAGAAACGTCTGCTCCTCGGCCCCGACGATGAAGGTGAACATGTCACCTGACACGATGCTGTTGGGTGTCAGTATGCACTCCGACAGAGATAACATCTTGAGCGCACTGACTCCCCGAACGATGAAGATACCATTTTCCAGTCGGATAGGGGGCTAGAGCTAGGTGACATGTTTTCTGAGTGGTATATTTGCTGAGTTGTAAACTTGTGGTAAGGAAGAAAAGAGGTTTGTTGGAAGATGGGGGGAAATGTGGTTGTTGGCTGATGTCTGTAGGAGCAAGGAAGGCCACTGGCCACGGAAGTCGAGACTGAGACCTGGCTTGATGCCAGCCGTGCAGTCGTACACCGATTGGGAAGGAACGACCCATGAATCCGGCACAGCCACTGATGATTATTCCCTTTGTAAAGATGCGGTGGACCGGTCTTCAGTCGAAATGTAGTCGAAGTGATATATGCTTCGTCTCCTCGCCATCTCTACTTGATCATAGTCACCGCAGAGTCCAATCGACGTTTCGTTGGAGCGGCGGCACTCAGCTCCATGGCACTTTGCTGTCTATCAAGAACATAGACCAACTGCTCTCTGAGCATCAAAGGGGATCGGGGCTTCCTTCACAGTAATTTTACCTAGTTGTCTCCCGACCGCGGCCACGGCCCAGCCATACTGATCCAGGCTGGAGAACAATAAGGTAGGTAGGAGCAGGATTTGAACTTGCCCCGTCTCCGCTTTCACTCCAGCATCAAAAATACTTGACTTCAAACGCTTTGGAAAAGAGAATATGAGCAAACCAGAGAGACTGATTGAAAGATTCTTTTCTCCGCTGACAAGTGACTAAGTTGACAGCCCCGTGACAAGGTTGAGTCTTTTACAACAATAAGACATGGTCTCAACGCCAGATGCTATTAATACCGAAATGAGGGTTTCGTTTTCTGAAAGCATATACTTCATCTCGTTCTAATGACCAACTTAGTAGAGCTTGATAAATTGGAGCTTGCTTGAACCGTTCTTTAACTACTGTTCAAATTAGTCATGCCCAGTAAGAAGCCGTGACAGGCGTGTTTAAGAACGACTGATTGTGATTACATTCTGTTCATCATAGACTCTTTCACGACGAAGAATGGGAAACCCCCACGATACTACAGTAAGACATTTATAGCCGTCCAACCATTTCTGGAACCAATCCTTTGGCGAAATCGCCGTAAGAAGCAACCAAGTTGCGAAAATCCTGGCTGTCCCATAGCTTTTCCAGTTTTAATGCCGCGTATTTATTGACTAGTTGTCGCAAACGATCGGTCTCAGCGCGATTCGGCGTCTTATCGTAGGACTAGCTGTATGATGCCAGCAATGCCATCAGCTTTGAGATTGAAGCGCAACAAAGCTCGGTGTAATTTTCGCAAGGCGAGAAATTCGAGCGCTTCGATGCCCCAGTAGTCGGCAAACACATACATGTCCACATCAGAGAGCAAGACTTCGCCGAAGTCAGCGGCTTCTTCGCGGACGTTCTGACTGGACTTGGGCTGTGGGTCGGGATAAAGCCGTTTGAAGCTGTCCCAGCAGGGTCTTGATGACCTCTCTTTCCGAGTCCGAAGCACCGGTTCAGGTTCTACAGGTGGCTCCAAGAGGAGATCATTATGCTCTGTCGAGGAGATCTGTCCTGCACGTCCTGGAACCACTGGCTCTTGGTAATCTCCCGTGTAGACGAACTCGCTGAAGCGCAAGATGGTTTGTATATCCCAATGCTCCCAGTCTGCGTACCCTTCCTTGGCCTCTTTCATGCTACCATTCACGAGCGTTGACAACGATTTAGACTGGACTGCAACAAGAGATAGATGGATGAAGAAATCTTTTTTCTCAGCTCCAACGATGAACCGGAAGACATCAGATGAGAAGATTCTGATCTAGTTAGTGAAGCCCCAGGATAGTTCAAACTGTTTCTTACGCTTTGTATGGCAGTGAAGCCATGTTGAACGATGGCGGGCTGAGGACGGATCTCTAACAATACTCGATGGGATATGAAAAGGTCTGGCGTTGAGGAAGAAGGCAAGGAACCAAGTGCCGGCGCCGGTTGTATTTACCAATGTGATGATGATACCTGAGGCTGTGAGAGTTGTCGTTGGAACTCAAATTCGACGGGAGGGGGTTAAGTCGGCTTCTGATGGGGGTGGGAGGGCGTGTCTGCCGCCAACAGCTCGTCCGCAGCAGAACGCTCAACTGATATTAGAGGGACGGTGTCATTTCGTCCCAGCAATTGGACAAAAAGAGCCCATTTCTCAGGTAATCATCGCCGTTTCAGCATCCGAAGCTCGAAGAATCAGCTGAGGAACCCGCTGTGATTTAAAGTCGGGGTGTGCAGGCTGGATCTGCGGGAGGCCCGAACCGGTACAAAAAATACTCGAAGCAAAACTGAAGTTTATCGACATGATCACTGTGCAAGCAAATGCTCACCACGGGCTAACCTGTTCTTCGCGGTCCAGGTGCCGGGACTTGATGATGTTGTATTAAGGTATCAATTGATAAGCAAGACCTGAGGGTGACCACATGTCAGGTACATTGAAATCCCGATACCACATTGTGAATTAGAAGTGCAGATAGACTCGCGGAACTCAGCGAAGGAGGTATTTTTCAGGATGACCCGGTCCCAACGTCCTTTTCTGCTTACAGAAAAAAACAAAAGAACCATGAACTCGCAAATGTCAAAGGAATTAATCCCTCACTCGATTGTCGACTACGATAATCTATCTACTTCATGAGAGGCAGGTGCCCTGAGACTGTGATACGAAAATGGCATGGCAAACCTTCGCACGCCAGGAAACAGGAAACGTGACTTGTCAAATGAGAGACAACACCAATACCAACGGCACAATGGGAATGTGAGAACAATCGGAACGAAGAAAATAAGAGCCTGAAGACCCATCAATGTCAACGACTACTGTTGGAACTAAGACAATCGGAGTGGAGTTCTATGCACTATCAACCTGGAATTGACGTCCGATTGGGCTGCGACGGCATCGCGGCTGCTGCGGGATTGAACGCGAAGCCCGCAACGGAAGGTGGGGCCGAAATTCGACAACCGCCTGCCGCATATTGAAGCGGAGACAACCCAATGGATCCAACGAGGATCCCCCAGTCAAGAGGGGTAGGACAGCCCTCTCTCCCAAATAAAAAGCAGGCCCACGGTTCCCCAGCATACGACCGGAATTCAACGTGGTGTTCAGACGATATTGAAAAATGACCGATCAACAGCAGCAACCGGGCGAGCAAGCCGCCGCTTCGGCCGCTACCGTAGCAGTGGCACCGGAGGCCCCAACCCCGGCCGCCACTGAGGCCGAGGCGCCTCCCATCGAGGCGGACGACGATGGCTTTTCGATCGCCGGGTACTCATCAACCGACGAGTCTCAGGCCTCGCTGCGGCCCACGATCCTCGACTACCGTCGCGAAAACGGGCGTACGTACCACCGCCTCAGCGACGGCAAGTACATCATGCCCAACGACGAGCAGGAGCAGGACCGTCTCGACATCGTCAACCATATCTGGGTCATCATCCTCGACGGTGAATTCTGCCTCTGCCCCAAAAATGAGGGTGCCAAGCGCGTCCTCGACCTCGGAACCGGCACCGGTATTTGGTGTCTCGACTACGCCGACGCCCACCCGGAGTCCCAGGTCATCGGCGTGGACCTCAGTCCCATCCAGCCAGGATACGTGCCCCCGAACTGCAGCTTCGAAGTCGATGATGTTGAGAAGGAGTGGACCTGGAGCACCCCCTTTGACCTCATCGTGGCGCGTAACATGATCGGCTGCTTCGCCAACTGGGAGGCCACCATCAAGCAAGCCTACGACAACCTTGAGCCCGGCGGCTACTTCGAGATCCAGGACGCTATGTACCCTGCGTTCTGCGACGACGGCACCCTCAAGGAAGATTCCGCAATCACTAAGTGGTCCAAGATGATCGCCGAGGCCTGCCAGCTGATCGGGCGCTCCGTGACGCGGACCCACGAATTCGACGGCCTCCTCAGGGACGCTGGGTTCGACGACGTTCACAAGACGCCCATCAAGTTCCCCATCTCGCCGTGGCCCAAGGACAGGAAGCTCAAGGACATTGGGCTCTGGACGCAGGCGTCGCTGCTGGCTGGCATTGAGGGCATGAGCCTTGCCCTCTTCACGCGCACCCTGGGCTGGACTCGCGAGGAGACGATGATTCTCTGCATGCAAGTCAGAGCCGAGATCAAGAATAAGGATATCCACGCGTACTGGAAGGGCTACATCAGCTACGGACGCAAGCCTTTGGATGCCGACAAGAGCGAGCAGGAGAACTAGGGTACGAGTATTCCTTCCCCTTACGAACGTACAAACAAGGCGATTCTGTACATGGTGCGAAATGCAGATTTGCGTATACCCATGTTGCGGCAGAAACGGCTGCGGACTCTGGAGTTGTTGTGTTATTGTTTTCTTGGTGGTGGTATTGTGGAGGTATTCAGTTAGTCTGAGCTTTTAAGCTCATGAGTTGGTGACACAGTTGTTACTACAAAATAAAAAACAGTATTTTGTCTTCTATCTTTAGAGAATCTTGCCTTGTTTTGTCACTTTGACGAGACGTCTTCCTGCGCGTAAGTTGTAAGGTATTTATTCGGCTCCAAAATAACTCATTTCCTTGCCATCTGATAATGTCAGAAAATTAAGGAAGACCGCAACGAATAGCATATCACAGTATGATACATGAAATTCCGAAACAAGATTACGAGGCTGCCAAAAGCAGCAATATCCCATTGAATGGACAGCGCCGCCCATAACCTGCTAACAATACATTTCAATCTGGCCTGCGGGGCTTGCTCCTCTTCATCTCAGCTTCCATCATACACGCTCTCCCTCTACGAATTAATCTCCCCTCCGCCCCCTCTTCACCGGCGGCGGGCTTCTCGACCGCGACACCGAATTACTGAGTCTCCTCCGCTTCGTGCCGGCCGGGCTATCCCTCACCGGCGAATCTCTCCTCGGCGGTGCGTTTCGCCTGGGCGGCGGGCTCGCCGACCTGGAGTACGACCGCGGACGACCATTTCGAGACACGGGAGGCGGTGAGACGGAGCCGCGAGGCGAAGGAGAACGGCTTCCCCTAGGGGGCCCGCGACGGGCGACGGGCGAGCGAGACCTCGAGTCGTACGAGGAACGGCTCACCGAACGACTAGGAGACCTGCTCGGCGAGCGGCTGTCGTAGCGGGCGCGCTTCCGCGGCGCACTGCTGGCCGACGAGCTATTCCGTCTCGTGGGCCGGCGAGTTTCCTGCTTAGGACTGCGACCACGAGGCGCGCCTCGAGCGGGCGGAGGGCTGACGGAGTAAGACTCGGATCGGGCCCTTCTCGGAGGGGGTGATCGTGATCTGCTGGCGGAGTAGCTATCCCTCCTGGCGCGGCGAGGCGGCGTCGCGCTGAGACTGCGATCTCTGGGGCCATTTCGGGCCGGAGATGGCGACCGAGAGTAGCTGACTGAGCGGCCCCGCCTTCTGGGCGGGCTTGCCGAGCGCGAGTCGTCGCGGTGGTCCCTGCGAGGTGTGACGGAACGGCTGTAGGAGCGGGAGCGGGAAGAGCTACGGCTATAAGATCGGCCTCGTCCACGGGGCGAAGGAGACCTGGATTCTGAGTGCTTGCGGCCCGTGACACGTCGTGGTGTTCGTGATCTTGACCTCGACCTTGAGGAATATGAAGAGTATGAGGAATAGCTAGACACCGACTCGGAGTCCGAGTCGTCGGCAGCTGCCGGTGCGGGGAGTGCGGGCTTGGGCATGTTTTGGAGGTATTCACGGGATGCCTCTGTAATGGCACCCATGCCGATACTGGTGAAGTAGTTGATGGAGAAACGGATGTTTCGAGCGTTGTCGCGCGGGAAGAGACCAGTGAAGCTGGGCTGAAGAATCTCGTCCTTCATGCGCGCCTGGAGCTTCGCCATGCCGATCTCCTCCGAAATGTCCTGGAAGAGAATCTTGATGAAAATTCTGGAACTGCTGGTCGTCTCCTCTTCGTTGAGGTGGATGACAGACAACACGTGCCAGCCGATGGCGTCAGTCGCAAGCAAATGCGCAAAGAAACGCGCGATATTGCGCAGTCTGTTCGTCTCGTAGCGGTGGATCTTGTTGTAATAGTCGGCAAAGGAGTCTTCGAAAAGGCCTGTCCACAGCCGGTTCAGCTTGGCGAAGCGCTCACCAATAAGCCCGTGAAACTTGGAGTAGGTCTTCTCCTGAGAGCAGATTTCCACGATCATGGATGGCAATTCAGGCTCCTGCCCAGCCGGAAGGTTGACGCGGAGTAGCTTGTGTACTGCTTCCTCCGGGTCAATGGATGACATGACGGTCAGGTAGATCGTGCGGCGCAGATTAACCAAGTCGGTGTTGGACTGGTCCTTGATCTCCATTGCCCTCTCCTTCTCATCCTCTTCGTCTTCCGAACTTTCGTCGTCCTCATCCTCATCGTCGTCGTCCTCGTAATCGCTGCCCTCGCCCAGAATCTCTGCCTTCAGCTTCTTGTACGCCTCCTCATGCTCCTCCCACTGTGCGTCGTATTTGAAGATATTGAGCCCATCCTGCACATCGATCTCGCCATCGAGGTCGACCATGTGGGTGATTTGGTCCTCTTCCTCCACCAAGTCAAGCTCCTCCTTGATGGGCGGGTTATCCTTGAAGTTGTCCTTGCGAACCTGGAACAGCACCTCGATCATGTACTGCACGCGCTTGTCAATGTCCGCCTCGTGCAGCACGTTCCTCAGCTGATCCCACACCGCCATGGCGATCGCGGGCTGCATGTCCTGCAAGTGTTGTCCCACCTCGCGCATAAAGTTGACGGCAATCTCGACGCTATCGTCGGTCGGCTTGTGGAGGAGGAGCAGGAGCATCTGACCGGCAAGTCTCTCGTGGGCGACTTGGTGGTTGATGAGATGCGCCAGGAACGTCGTCGACGAGACGCAGACAGCCTTGTCGCTGCGCTTAAAGCCCTTCCGGAAGGACATTATGAGACGCTTGACCAGGAGCTCTCCGACGGCCGGGAGCTTGGTGTTGACGATGGCTGCCATGGCAGCGAAGACGGGCGTGAAGGGCAAACTTGCGGCCTGCGCCTTCATGATGGACCGGCAGAACAAGCCGCGGCCCTTGATCAGGTTCTCCCCAAACAGCTCAGGCACGATGTGCTTGATGTTGGAGTAGTTGACCTTGTTGATCAGACCGTTGATGCTCTTCTTCAGCGCCTCCCACATCAGCCTCTGGTACTCCTTCGAGCTCTTGTCGGTGATCTGAGCCTGCAGTGCCCTGAGTCGCGCGGGCGGAATGTACGTGCCTCCCGATCGCATCGACAGAAGTTTTTCGTATTCGGCCTTCGCGATGGCCTGCTTCTCATCCTCGGTCTTTGCTGGCGGGCTTGGGCGTCGCTCCTTCGCGGGTCGATAGCTGTCGGTACGATCGCGATCACGCTCGCGCTCACGTTCGCGATGAGGGCGCTCCTCGTGCCGAGTTGGTCGACGGTCGCCGTCATCGACATCGGACGCATCATCGCGGATACGGCGCTCGCGGCGCGGGGATTCGACGTCGGCCATCGTGCGGGTGGTGATGGTTGACGCGAACTTTTTTCTTGGAATGTTGCCTTGACGCAGTTTAGATCTTTAGAAAGGTAGGTAGTGTGGCTGGGGCGCTGCATGTCCCAAAATTCTGTGCACGGACCACTCAGCTTGATGATGGCACCTACTATGTAGACACGTGTGGAGAGAAGACGGGAGTGCCAGCAGGTTTCCTATTCATTCATATCAACTTGCCAGAAGATAAATTTCAAGATTAACGAAATATATTACTACATCGGTGATCTTGTTGATGACTCATAAGTTTAATGTAGGATTCCTTGTTTTACTTTCGGTAACTTGGAATGGCCTAGGAGTATAGAAATATACAGGCAACGAAGACGAACACAAGTCTAGAGATTCAGGTAGTAATTATAATAGCGACAACTACATAAGAAGCTCACTTGGAAAATACATATCTGGGGAGTATCATTAGTTTCCGTCTTGCTACAGTACTTTACATTGAGCCCGACTCCATGGAGATGCCAGATGTGGCTGGTGTCACATCAAAACGCACAGATCACGTCAAAGTGAGGCTGGAGCTCACCAGTGACAGGGGTCGCCGCCCCGTCCAGTCTGTCAACCGTGGCAGCTCCTCGCAGCATCCAATCCACCACCAAAGCGCGCCGCCCTCCATCGTCCCCTGAAATCGCGACGACAATTTTCCCGATCGGTCACCTACAAGTCGCAACCTCAACCTTCACCTCGCTCCATCTCCCTCCCACCACCGTCACTCTTCCTCACGCTCCTTAACCTCCCAACACCCGAACAAAACACACGACAATGGTACGTCCGACTCCCTCCATCCCAAGCTGATATGTCCATCCATCAATACAATCCATCCCACCATGGCGCAACCAAGGGATGATGACAGAACTCCCACCCAAAAAAGTCTCGACCGCAACAGATCGCTAACACGCAACCCTCTCTGTCATAGCTTGGAACACTCGTCGGTCTCGCCATGCTCGTGGCTGCCTCCGTGATCTTCACATACTACTCCATCTGGACCCTGCTCATGGTACGCGGAACCCCTCCTCGGAGACCGACAAGGTGTATACTGACTGACACACCACCTACCAACAGCCCTTTGTCGACGACGACCACCCGCTCCAGAACATCTTCCCGCCCCGCGTCTGGGCCATTCGCATCCCCGTCATCCTCATTCTCGTCGGTTGTGCCGTTGTCGGTTCGTTCCTCGGCACCGTCATGATCCGAAGCAACAGGAAGAAGGCCGCCAAGGCCAAGGCCGCGGCGAAGAAGAAGGCATAAAGGGTCGCGAGGGTTAGAATACTTCTTTGGCGCCGAAGCCAGTCTGAAAAAGCACGACGCGGCGGCCAAAAAATGACGCCCGTTGCAACTGCATTAGGGGTGACTACACACATACAAATACGGAAATGGGTATCTAAGCTGGTTTTATTGGAGAATTGAGCGCATGGCTCATCTCAGAGCAGCACTACCTACTCTAAACATGTTCAAGGACTACTACCATAGGCCAGAGAGAACCCCCAAAAAATACCAGTAAAGGAGTGAGTGGCACGACCGGCCAAGTATCCCGCCCCATGATCCCAGGGCATCGGCGCAAATGTGTTTACATACCGACCCCTCCCATCCCGTGACAAAATCATGGTGCGAATAAGAACTGGTCTAACCTGACTCCGAACGCCTCTCGGATTGTTTCTCAAACCCTCTGATCAGCGAAGTCGAGTACCTCACAGTCATCCTCGAAAAACCCGTCCTCGTCCTCCGCATGGCGAGCTCCGCGCCGCCTACGAGTCGTGACGACGATTTCGTCGCCGTTCTCCCCACGGTGCATAACTCTCTCCATCGAAGACAGTGGAAGCGCGCGGTGATCATCCGAAATGTTGAATTCATCTTCTGAGACCGTGTGATTTCCAAGGTCTAGCCTCACGGTGTTGAGTGGCTGGCCAAAAGCCCAGGCCTGCGATAGATTGGATTCCACAGGCACATCTTGAGCTTGGAATCGCTGCTGACGCTTCTTCTGCTTGGGCGTAAGGCGCTCCTCCAAGTTGGTTTCTCCCATGAGCGCGGCCAGCGACGGCGTTTGAGCGGCAGCTTGCCCGCCGTATTCAAAGAGTGACACGCGCCTGTCCGTATGGAATGGCTGGTACGGTGCGCTGGATTCGATCTCAGCCTGAGGGATGGACGCCTCGGCGCTCAGATCAACGTGGAGAGGCCTGGCACGAGGGTCGAGAGTCAAGGTGTTGCCGGCGTCCATCTCTCGGTCGGACAAGTCCAGGTACTCATCGGAGTCGATGAACTGCCGAACTGCGGGGGCGAAACCATCATCTGGCAGCGCAGGTATCTTGAAATCCTTATATCGGAGACCTCGTGGCGTTCGCTGCTTGTTGGGAGTGCTCGCCGGGCGACGAGTCTTAGACGGGTAAGACCGGACGAGGCCGTCGCCTACGACGTACAGGGTGTGGTACTTTCTACCGGTGATCCATACGACGCATGAGGCTGTCGGAAGTGAGTGGCTCTGCGGCAGAGATACACGGTTTTCTCCAGTGTGGCGCAACTGGTTGATGGCGACACCGGTCTTGCCGAGAGAGTGGCTGATGCTTGCAGCAATAGCTCTTCCACCAACACTCGCAGAGTCAACAAAGTTTCCCCCGGCCAGACCTTGTGCATTCGCGCTGCCCTTACGCGGCCGAGTGATCAAAGGTCTGGCGGCGTGGTAGGCAGCACCAAAGGCGCTGGATGCGATAGAGACGGCGGAGCTGGGCGCATCAGACGCGGGGGCTCCGTTCTCTTCCGTTGCTTTACGGCGGCGAGGTGGAGGCCAAGTGAACGCGCTCGACGGCATGTCGAGGAGATGAACAGTGCCTCTCTCAGTGACCATAGCGATTCGCTCTCCGTTGGGCTTCGACCAAGCGACATCGACGATCCGAGCCACCGTCATTCGAGAGAACTGGGCGATTTGGCGAACTCGTGGGCCCATAGCGTTGTTGGAAGCCGATACCTGGAGAGGGGATGACTTCGTGTACTGAATGCACATCAGATCCCAAACGGTCTGCACATCACCCTTTCCGCTTGCCGTGAACAGGGACAACCCAGTAGGCGAGAAGGACAAGAAGCTGCAACCAAGAGGAGACGTAAATGTGATCAGAGGATGCAACGTAGCTGATGTCGGCAAGTTGTCCATGTCGAGAATAGACACCAGTCCAGGGTCTTTGGTGACGGCCTGCCCAGGAGTGCCATGGGTAGGGGGAAATTGAGTCGAATCATGGCGAGGAGGATAAGAGCCAGTCCACTGCTGCGCAGCCATTGGTGGCGACCGTGATTGCTGAGGAGGCGTCTGGTTGGCGTTCTTGTTCCAGTACGAGTTCCATGCCGATAAGCCTTGTTGGCCAACCCATTTCGCACCAGAAATCAGTTCTTGCGTGGTCTCGCGCATGATCTTGTTCACCATGCTTTCCGACATGGGAGAATCAACCGATCCGGTAACACCGGGTAGCACAGGCGAGGTGACCGAAGAGATGCCAGGGGCTTTGCCGAAGATGGGAACCGGGACGTGTGCACGGAGGGCAATCTGCGAAGATGCGGCCGGCGGGCAGTAGGCGATCCATTTTCCGTTGAGCGATAATATCGGAGTCTGAGGATTAGGACGCGGTGGCGCTGGTGAGTGACGTCGCTCCGCATCCTCGGAAACCTCACCTCTAGGAAGTTGCTGAAGACTGGTCCAGATCTTGCCAACACAGCCAACACGAACAGGACCATCGACACTGTCCACGATCTGGCGGTAGATCCAGCATTCTCCACTAGCACCTGAAGCCACGACGATGTTGCCAGCATCAGCTTTGATCGTGAAAGCGCCTGTCGGAGGCGGTGCTTTGAAGATGGGGCTGGTGACTGGGGTTGAGAGCGGCACTTTAGGAGCTTGGAGAAGCACGTCGATAAGCTTGCCCGACTTGAGGGAGTAGAGCTCTACGGACGTCTGGTAGAACTCGATGGATGGCGTGAAACGTCCAGATGGACCCCCTTTCTGACTGCCGTCTGCGCGAGGACTACCGGGAGTTTCGACCCGTTCTTCTGCTATCGTCTCGTTTGCTGTCTGTATAGCGATTTCTGGCGATGCCTGTGGTAGAACCGGACCGTGAACGACGACGGCAACTAGCGGGAAAGCATCTGTCTTGTCGCCCGGGGTCGACCAAGGCAAGATCTTGGCGTTGTAGACACCACCTCTAAGTCCCTTGAGACCGGCGACACGGTCAAGGCCGCGCTTATTGACCGAATAGACTTCTAGGCCACCCTCGTACCCCGCCAGCGCAACGTTGTCCGATCCCGGAAGGAACTCGGTGTGGGGAGACGGCAGAGTATCGAAGCCAAAGTGGTAGCCCTTGTCGCCAGCCTTCATTCCAGCTTTGGTAGCCATGTCGAGATCGAGGTCCGGAGCGCCATAAAAATGCGGCTGTACCTGGTGGGGAAGCGGGGGAAGCGAGCCAACTCTGGCGTGGGACAGCTGCGATTGCATGGAGCTGCGGCGGTAGGCTGCAGCTGCCGCCGGTTGATGATAGGCTTCGAGTGGATACTGAGCATCCATTTGGAAGCTGAGGGGGCGCTTCATATGGTTGGGCATGCTGCTCGGAGGGGAAGGAGACGCCGTCTGGGGAGTCAGGGACTGGCGCTGGACGGCCCATCCGTGGTGGAGGCGGCTAGAATCCTCGTAGGAAGACGGCTGGGTTGGCGGAGATTCGCCCATGAGGCTGATCAAGTTGCCTGGAGAACCAGCGAGACCTCCTCTTGCCCATTCGTGATTTGTGCTTGCTGCAGTGCTCGCTGAGACCGAGGTCGTGGAAAGAGCATCCAAGGTCGGCGAAACAGTGGGGTGCCCATCGTAGGGCGACGGGCCTTGAGCGATAGGTCTGATATCGGGTGAGTTTACGGGGGGCGACGATGCATCCGACGGAGGACTCTTTGAAGGACTACTGTTTCTTTTGGGTGCGTCAGTGGAAGTTGTTGCGACAAAGGTGGAAGACGAAAGACGATGGACGCCAAAGTGTGACTCAAAGCCACTGATCGCGGGGTTCAGGGGAGAGGAGAGGGGAGAACGTACGCAAACTTGCCCGCGGCGAGTTTCGTCACCGCGGCGCTAACTGCACCATCTCTGGCGTTCTTTCTGTCCTTCTTCGAACCTGTTGATAAAATGTCCATGAGTTTCCTGTACGTATGTGGACTCCGGCGCGTGTTCCGGGGCGCGGAAGAGGCCCAAACTTACTCGGCATTCAAATGGTGTTCCGCCGCAGTTGGAGCAGTTTCCTGCTCCAAGGATCTGCGTTCCCGCAAGGCAGCTTTACCTTTTGAGGGAGGACCGGGGTTTCGAACGCGAGGAGGAGTATTGTAGTCTGCGATAAGAGGTTCGACGTCGTCGTATGAGGGGGGTTGTTGGGACAAGGGACGAGTTGTCGGGTCTATTATTGCTTGAAGGGTCGACGGGCGGCAAATGACCTCGGAAGGCAAAAGTGCCGCGAGCGCTTGTATAATGTTTGGATCGAAAGTCGAGCTATGTATGGCGAGTGGGTGAAATCAGGCAAGATGTGCCAGGTATCGTTCAGCAAGGTGGTGTTGGTCAAGGTTGTACGGAAGAAGCAGAAGTCGTTAAAGAGCGGCTTTCTTTCCAGGCGCAGCCAAAGTGGAGAGGAAAGTAAGATAATTACGATCGCGAGTAGAAACAGTCTATAGAAGGAAACAGAAGAAGAAAGACGTAACGGACGTGACAGGACGTGACGTGACGAGTATGTTCACGGGAATGCTTGGTATCGTAGTTTGGTTGCTTGTTGTTGATGGTCGAAGGAAAGAGCACGGGAGAAGTGAGGTCAGTCATCGCAGGTCGAGGTAGGTACGGTAGGTAGGTAGGTCCAGAGAGGATACCTAGCACCTGGCACAGGTACACTACAGATACGGGTAGGTGGGCTTGTTGATCTGGGACGTGCTTCAGCCGGGTCAAGTCAGGTACACCACCATCAACTGGGTTTGTCTAAGAATGGCAGGTATCTGTACATTGATGAGGAGGGACATGGACACTGTGGTGGTGAGATAAGATACGGAAGCCGGACCTTCCTTGCCTTTCCATTACCTCCCACCTCACCTAAGGTAACTAACAACCGTCCCAACCTCGACCCGACAACCATCCTTCAGCATCTCAGGTGCAGCTGTTCTGTACCTTACCTTACGTGTACTTCAGTACGAGGCCTACGAGAGGAAGCGGGGGTTTTGCGTGCTTTCGGAGCTTGACTGTCACTGCCACCGAGGACGGCGCCGGTGTCTCCAGGCCCCCCTCCAAGCCACCCCTCCACGCTCTCCATTTCAATCAGTCAGTTGGAGGAACTGGAGCCAGGGTACAGGGATGTCTAGCTCAGGCAGCTGGCCAGGATATTGGGGAAGAGGGTGGGAGGGAGAGGGGGAGGGGTGTTTTCGGGGGGAACCTCCAAGGCATTCAAGGCACTGTCCCAAGACTGCAAGATGAGAGGTTCCAGGTTCGAGGTATCTCTGGCCCGTCGATATGCAGTCCGGTACATCATTGCGGCATGTCGCACACGCAGGACGCAGTGCGGATACGGAGACAGATACAGACAGATACAGCGCACCAATCTGGAAGCCAGCTTGCATCGGACAAGGGGTGGTTGGTACAGATGAAGACAGGCAAGTAATACTAAGTCTCTTTTCTCATATCAGCTGTGCTACGCTACCTCATCTCTACATTAAATCGCTCTGCTCTGCACTTTAAGATGTGACGGTGACGGTACGTACTCGCAGGCGCTGACTTGACACTCGGCACGCCCAGGCCCCAGGCTTGCCCTTCTACCGGACTTCAGTCCAGCCCAACCCAGCCGGCAGCAAGCAACAATCGCATTCCATTTTCCACGATGCGCCTTCTGCTTTTGCTCTTGCTCTTTCACTCAGCAATTGCAGATACCTTACGCAGCGGTGCTTTCGTTTCGCGGATTCCAAGACGGAAACATCCAAGTCACACTCAGCGTGTCATAGGAGAGCAACCCAGCACTACGGATTCAATATTGTCTGAGACCCCTCGTTTCGCTCGCTACCCATCTCTTTCTCTTCCATTCATTTCCACCCTTTCACCATGTGCCTGACTGGCCTCCCACAGTCCACACACCACCACACGCACTCTCTCTTGTCCTAAACTGAGCTCTGCATACCTTACCTACGCACACAGAAGAGTCTCTTCCTGCCGAGGCCGGCACGGGAAGCAGAGGACGCAGGCGGCAACCGCGCCAGTTCCAAAGCCGAATTGCCAAACCAGATTAACCACCAGCGCCAGCAACACCATTTCCGCCTCCCACCCCTTCCTTCACTCGCCCAATCTGGGTCATCAATCTCCGTCTACCTTACTACGATATCTCACCCTTGTGGCTGGGACCAGCTGCTGACATCTGGGCTGTGCGTGCCTGCGCGTGCCTGCGCCCGCGAGGATGATTGTTCGTTGGATGAGAGACGATAATGACGATCCGGGGGTGACCGATGCCATCATCCCGCTTTGGCCTGGTGACGGCGCCGCAGACTCGACCTGCTGAACGCTCGACCAAGCTTCCCCCCGGGCGACAACATGACGGTTCGCAGACTAAAATAACGGTTGTCCTTGTCTTTCACCAACCGCCAATTCACAAATTGCTTCGCAACCTCGTCTCTTCTGGCTCCATACGGCATACCGTGGTTATCCGTATCCTCCCCCTTCCGTCATCGGTCACCCGTCCATCCTATCGCGCGCCGGCTCTTAAACTGCCACACCCGGCATCTTCTGGCCAGACCGTCCGACTGACAAAGACACCTGACCCCTCGGTGGAGGACGGGGGACCACCAAGTCAGGTGAACGGGCCACTCACAGCTCTCCCGTGGCCCACGAGAACAACACACCACCGCTGACGTCGGTAGGGCTCTCCCGGTACCCCTCCTCATGCCTCCAAACTCCCCTCTGTGGCTCGCCGCTTTCCGTCCTCTGGGAGCACCTCGAAACCTCTCAGCTCTCACCGTTTCAAGATTACAGGCCGGGAATGAAGTCATTTTGTTGGGGAAGCTGAGTTCTGGCTATCCTCGGTTTATTACCTAAGACGGGGCCCTAATCCGATGAGCCCTTGCGAGGCGAGACGATGCAAGACGAGGCGACGCGGACGACGCATGGCACGGGGACGCCCGTGGTCGCGACGCCGTCGAAGCGCAAAACGCATTGTGCGGTCTGAGGTTGGAGCTTGCCAACGGACGAATCTATCGTCATCGATGGGATCGAAACCAGAAAACGCGCGCGCCCGCCCGTCCGTAGGGATGGGAATGGGCACCGGAATGCCATCGCCGGAGCACTGTCGCTGCGACAAAACACACCTTGCGCCAATTTTCCGCTGGTTTTTTGGCGGATAATGCCGTCGCTGTCGTCCAATTCTATTTCTGCCTCGACGAACTTCCAGCCTGTCGGATATACAGTGCCCGGGTCGTCGTATCCAACGCTTTTCAAATGATCGACTCTGGAGGCAACGGCCCCTCAATCGGAGCCCACTGGTCCAGCCAGACCCGATAATCCTCCATCCGCCATTCACCGTCGTGCTTCTTCCACGCCGCACTGCCAGCCCAGCTAAACGCGTTCTCGCTCCCGTCCAGCCCCTTCCGCTTGACGCCGCCCCTCAACATGACGTGCACACCCTGTTCGGTAGCTGATCCGATCGCGCTCGTGATCCAGTGCTTCCTCGCCGCGACGGGACTCCACATGTCCGTCCGCAGCTGCCGGAGGTCTTGATGAACTGTCAGCTTTACGACTGCAACGCAACTTAAATCTCTGTGTATGAGCCGTAACGTACTCTCACGCTTCTCGCCCTCCTGCGGCCCGATCTTGACTTTCGCGTCCGGCGTGAAGAATTCCAGCCACCGGTCGTTCAGTTCCTTGTTGTCGCTGGTTCGGTAGAAGTCCCTGATGCGGAGCCGGAGGTCCCGCTCGATCGCCGTCTCGGTCGGCGAAAACGGCTCCATCCGCGAGTAGCTATCGTGCGGCTCGGTGCCCTCCGTGGCTGCGAACTTGTCCATGGTGATTTACTGCGACCTCGGATTTGCTTCTGGGGCCCGGCTCGAAAAGACGTTGTTGGTTTTGTTAAGGATTAAGGAAATGCAGCACGCAACCCCGAGGTGATGGAGAAGTGACGTTTATATCCGTCCATGCAAGTCCCATTGTTAGCCTTCGGGTCGGAAACAAACCCTGATTTTCGACGACACCCGAATTTCGGGACTCTCATCGGAAAGGTCCATCACCGATGTTCCATCTAAGAGTCAGCACGTCGTGAATCAGTAATCATCGCGAAAAGTCGACCTGCTGCACAACCAAATTGTCTGAACACCTCGTTAAATCAAATTGAGCAACTGATCTGCACCTGCGCCTTTCGAATTGCAATTATTTCGCCAAACTCTTCATCAGTCGTCTAACATGATTGGATTCTCCACACTTTGACCCTTTCCATTCGCCCATGCCTGTTTTGCGGGAGCAGCGTTGCCATCCAGGGGAGCCAGCGCATCTCTGTTGAAGATACCTGTCGAATAGTACTCTCTCACTCTTCTCCTGGCATCACTTTCGGCCAGAGCGTCAACACTCTCCACCTGTTTCTGGCCGGTGTTCTGCGTCGACGTGCGGCCCTGAGCATGCATCTCAACATCGGGCGTTTGTCTTCGAATCAAGAACTGGTCCCTTGTGTATTGGCATTCCGCGGACGCAAGATTCTTAGGTGATTCGAGAGGACTGAACGAATGCAGCTGCGGTCCATTCCCAGTGCTGAGTTGTGGAGAGGGAAGATGGCTCGACTCCGGCAACGCATGGGTCTTTCGTTTCTTCAGCGGCTCCGTTGATGCTGCCTCTTGGAAAGGAGGGCTGCCGATTGACCTCTTCTGGGGCCGGATCATGGTTTGGGGGGTTGTCGGCATGTCGGTCTGGGCCTGAGACTTCCTCTCCCTTCCCTTCCCGTTTCTCTTGCGCCATTCGGTGAACTCTTCTTCAGCCATGCCAAAGCCAAGAATCACATCCAACATCTCAGTCTTGATTACGCCGATAGGCTGCCCCAATACTTTCAAGTCGGCCTCCTTCAGAACACTCATTCCGACAAACATGCCTGCCTCGATTCCAGGAAATACGAGGTTGGGGTCGATTTCGACGGCGCTCGTGGGTCTGGGCTTCTTCTTCTGCTTGATCTCCTTTATCGAGTTCCTGGCGCCAGGCTGCGCGGCCAACAGCCGCTGATTTAATGCAATGGGTGCAAGATGAGTGAGCCACCATTTAGAGGGCCTGCGGTACCAGAAACGATCGGTCAAGAAGGGGATCACCGTCTGCAGACTTTCTGTCGTGAAGCTTCCGTACCACTGGCCGCGAAAATAGGGGAGCTGACGCAGACTCTCTTCGCTGGACACTACTGGGTCGCGACAATGTGCCAACGCTCGTAGGTCGGGGAAACTGCCGATATTGGACGTGTTCTTGTCGTATCTGGCCAGAAGACGAGGATCGAGAGTCTCTAGTTGAGCTCCAAGGCGTCTCCTCCACAGCCGCCAACGCGCCGCATCCGCCTCTCCCCCTCGAATCTCTGAGAACTCTTTCACGAGTTTCGGCTTGCTAGCCAGTACGCGACCCATGACCGTGCCGCACCCACTGAGCCCCTTGGTGTAGTCGCATCCGACCAGCATGGCAAACAGCACGATGCCGTCTCTGGAGATGCCTGTAGCCCGCTCGATTTCGTTCATGCGATACACCCGCGCGTTCTCCTTGCATTTTTCGCCGTTGCTGTTGAGCATGTTGCGGATGAGGACGTCGCAGCCGAACAAAAGAGTGTCGCTGTCTTCTGACCAGACTGCGTCAACGAGACCGAGCCTCTGCATCGCGGCGCACTCAGCTTCAGCTTCACCTGGGGCCTGTTGCCACGGGATAAGGATGTTCGACAAGACGAGCTTGAAGAAGTCATTGTTCTCCTCGTTTTCTGACCCGCTCTCTGTCTTCTTGCCTCTCTTCACGCGGGGGCGGCCATCACCGTCGAAAACGAAGATCAGTTGGATGTTGAGGCGCGTCAGAGGCCAGATGCGTTCGAGAATGTAAAGCTCGCGCGGACGGCAGCCGGGGTAATCTGAGATAATCAATGTGCGTCAGATGGATATCTGATAAACAGAACCGAGTTCCATAGAAAGAAAATCGAAAACAATTGATGAGATGATTTCTTCCACACAGATGACGGACGGAAGGCAGGTCCGCGCTTACCTCTCACGAGCTGCTTGGCCTTCTCAGCGGTAATGGACTTGTACCTCCAATGTGCTTCATCAATGGCGATACGGAGGGGCCTGCCGTGCTTTGCGAAATGTTCAGCGGACCATTCAGCCAGGGACGTGTCAACACCCCCGGCGCCAATGACGTCCCATAGTCTGACGTGACAGTTAGGAAGGACAGCAACCAAGCAGGACAACTAAGGCACGTCATCCTTGACCATGACTTACCCGTTAATACCCATGATTGCAATTTAGAACAGAATAGTCGCGTACTTCTCCGTTTAGGCGATGATTAGGTGCGTTCCTGACGCATGTAGAGGCGAGATTCAAAGTTTGAAAGGAGGGAGGGAGGGAGAAAGGAGAGGAAATAGTCGTCGCCAGCTTGAGAGCTCAATTCAGGACTCCATCCCAAGGGGAGAAAGCTCGACGTTATTGATGGATGAGAGAGAGAATTACTGCAAAGAGATTTCAAGCAGAGGAATTTATTGTCCCCCAAAGCACCTGACATCAGACGCTACTGCCCCAGCGAAATTGCAACCAAAGCACCAGGCGGGCTGGCTACCTAGGTACTGAAACTGGCAAGATACAACGTGAGGAAGGTGCAGCTGTGCCTGTGATTGAAATGGCAGTCGCGTCCCCGGTAAGCCTAAGCAAAGTTCCTTCTCTGTTCAGTTTCTTTTCCGCTTTCGAGGAAGATGATCTGGCTGGCTCAAGCAAGGTTCTTCTCTCTTCAATTCTAACAACAATCCACAGAAGGATCTTTGCTTTGGCGACGTCACTTGAGGCACATGAGGGGCATTGCTTCGTATCAAATCTAATCTATGCGGGAGCCTTTTAATACAACCTATGAATGATTGTTATCACCATTCCCCATGACTTGTGAAATTCAGAAACGAAAAAGAAAAGATTGCAGATACAACATATCACGTTGATAGGCTGACGAATATGCAACTACAGGGTGTTTGTAGGGGTGCTATTGTCATCCAAGGGTTGCGTTGTGTACGCTAAAGCTGTGAGGGTTACGCGGAGGAAAAGCAAGCAAAAGAACGTACCCTCCATACTTGCGTGCCCAGCAGCGAGAACGTGAATCAGAAATGGACGTCTCGGGCTCATTTAAAATCAAAAGGGTAGTCCAAGTACCCGTTTCTCCAGGCATAATATTGCGTGTGAAAGATCAGAATAGTAGGTAGCTTAGTTGATAATAGTCCAAGTCACGATTAAGGTGGTGGTGGTTGTGATTGGTGACGTCGTTTTACTTGTAATGAATTGGCTACCCTTCGTAACTGGTGAGGTGGAAGCGATAGCCATAAGCTGGGCGAAATATGGATTGGTATCTTTGCCCAGTCCTCGGAAATGCACAGTATCAAGCTGAGGTATGAGAAACATGGTTTTCGGACTGGCCCGGGGATTACCCCGGGTTCGGAGCGGTACAGACGGGAAAAGTGGATCGTTTCCCGGACTTGATTCGGTGGCCTTGGGTAAGTACACCGGCAGAGGTAGACTGTCGGCACAAGCAATCAAGCTTATAATAATTCCTTGGCGCCAGGGTTCAAGGAGCCCAGTAAACTTCATGAAACTCAAAGAATCAATATGGCAGCTAAATCGTTTCTTCAGTCGTCTAAGACGACCGGATTGTCGAAACTCCGTCCCGTCCCATTTGCCCATAGCGGTTCTACCGAATACCGTTCGGAAGTTGCAAAGACCGGCGTCAGCGAATCCTTTGGGCAATTGGTCTTCGTGTCAGGCTTCTCAAAAGTCCTCGCAACTTTGCCCCCTGCCCCTGCCTCGACAGACTCCTGGGATGAGTCCAACAACCAAAAGCGGTCGTCCGCTCCTCTCCGGGGGAGCTCGAAAGGTGGTCTTCGAACCGTGATATCGTCCGCCTTTCTCTTCAGCGATTGATCTAGGCTGCTGGCACTTTTATTCGCAGCAGGAGAGTGAGATGTTGGGGTCTTGTCGGAGCTGGGGAGGCCTCCTATTCTCCAATCGAACCTTGGTGTTGAAATCTCCTTGGGTTGCTTCTGATTGACTCGAGCTTTCACGATACTTCCGCGCCATTCTATGAAATGCTTCTCGTTCATACCCAGGCCGCAGATTACATCGAGGAGCTCCTCAGTTACCATCGTGATCGGATCAGACTCGAAGAGAGAACTTCGAATCTCCCTGGAGTTTATCCCGGGAAAGACACGAACAGGATCAACTTCGAGGGGGCTCGTCAGTCTCAGCTTGTTCTTCTGCTTGAACGCCTCCACAAGCTCACGCGCGCCGGGTTCCCTGCTCAAAAGCCTGTGAGCTACTTGGATCGGTGCGAGTTGCTCAAGTGGCCAGGTGAGCTTCTTGTCACGGTTGAAGTGAGCCTGCAAAAAGGGAACGGTCGTCTGCAGCTTCTCGAGCGTATAACCCCGAAACCTCTTTTGCCTCAGGCGCTCGAGCTGATCCGGTCTAGAAACGACCGGTCTACGGCAGTCTCGAAGGGCTTGAATGGGGGCGAACTTCCGATCGTGAACATTCGCTCTGCCACGCTCATTGGGCAGAATGTTCTTCAGGCGTTTGCACCATGCCGTGCGAGCAGCTTCAGTTTCGATGTCCCAGAACTGTTCCAGAAAATCACCCTGACGGACTGCTTCGCTCTGCACAACCGACAGTGCCACGGCTTTTCCACATCCCATCAGCCCGTCGGTGTAATCGCAACCGGACAACATGGCAACCAATACCAAACTCTCCTTGGAGAATCCTCTTTGCTCGACGTCCTTCATCCGGAAGATTTTGACCGTGTCAGGATTCTTAGTCTTTTTGACCACCACCTCACAGCCAAACATGAAGGCGTCGTTGTCCTCGGTCCAGACGGCGTCAACAATCTTCAACTCTTGCATTCGGACGCACTCCGCTTCTGCTTCTCCCGGTGCTTGGTGCCATGGAACGTTGAGGTGATCAAGGAGTTCTTTGAGGAGAGTGATGTTGCCTCCCGCGTTTCCAAGCTTGGACTTCCGTGCGCGCTTTACGGCGGGTCGCAAGTCGCCGTCGAAGACGAGTATAGGATGGATGCCGAGACGGAGGAGGCGGAAAATCCTGTACATGATGTTTTTCTCGATTGGTTTGGAGCCTTCGGCACCTAGGTGTTGTAAGTAAGATGACCTTTGTGGCAAGGGAGCGGGAATGAGGTTGATAGAACGCGAACCTTTCTGAATATCAGCTATTGCGGCTGCATTTGGAGCCCTATATCTCCAGTGGGCTTCATCGACGGCGACACGGAGTGGTCTGCCGTGGGTTTTGATGTGTTCTGCGGACCATTCTGCAAGGGTCTTAGTCTCGCCTAGGTCCTCAATGATGGGCCAGAACCTAGGTGGTAGTATGGTCAGCCCGAGTTCAACGCATATCGCAGTGTGTTGTGTTCAACATGAAATGCCGTATGCATGAAGCCCATGGGCGCCGAAACAAATATCTTGAGTCATATAGGCTTCAACCGAACAGTTCACTGTCCTCATTGCTGCTGCTGGTTTTGTACCCGTTCAAAGTAAGCAGTTCCCCAACGAGGCCCTGGTCATCCGCACTATTCGTGACAATATTCGTCATGATCCCCTCTGCCGTGTTTACCACGAAGGAGAGCAAGAGTAGGTGAAGTAAGAAGGCAGTAACAGGCAGGTCAATTGGGTTCTGACCGAGGAAATAAAATCCTCCCCAACGACATCGGCTTAGGGTTATGTCAGCGCTCATGAGAGGAGAGGAGGGGACCAGGGAGAAGGGGGCATTTACTCATCGATCCCCATGACGAGCCTCAGACTAGGGAGGTTGAAGGGGATAATATTATATCCGAAGCAAGATACGGGTGCATACGTATGGCCGCGGTAAAGTGTTAAGATTGCAAGTGGAGAATAAGAGTGTTGATGTTCTCCCAATTGAAGACTCTCAAGCCGTGGAAACAAAGTTGAACATGAATAATCGCGTGGAAATGATCATGGACAGTTTGGCAATATGAGGAAGAGAAGGGAAATGGCCAATCAGGAGAGAAAACGATCGTCGCGCCAATAGGGTTACACTCTTGACCGCGTCGACGCCAGGATACTCCTGGCTCCCTAGCACATGGCGTGCATGGTCTATTTAACCAGCCAATCCCTCAAAATACCAGATCAACCTAGGGAGAATGAAACGATTTACGCCATTACGGCGGCCTAAAGGCTCATTAGGAGCAAATCGTGTTCTACAATTTCTATTCGAAATATGTTAGTTTGCTAGACGTTGAGCAGCGGCAAATGGTCTTTCAATTTGGTACATGTACGTAGAGATTAGCAACCGTTGTTTACAGTGGGACTCTTGCATGATTCCCATCTCTTCATAAGTATTTTGAGGCGACTCAGTGGCAGCTTATTGCTGCTCACCAAAACGATGCGACTCACATCCGATGCCCTGCATTGGAAGTCGTCGTCGTTGTCACCGCCCCTCTGCGTCAAAACAGAGGTTGCGAAGTCTGTGACACTCGGAGAGATTGCTGAGCGGAGCTGCTTTCCATGAAGTTTTACTGCTTTTTTCTGAATTACGCAGGTATAATTAACCACAGCTCATCCTCTGTTCAAGCCATACAATGACGCCGTTGGGAAGATACATATGAAACAATTTGCCAATCTAAAAAAATCCAGGAACCCTTCTGGATTGTACACAGGCTCATCAGAGAACATTGACCCATGTCTCTTCGTCGCATGAACATAACACCACGACTTCAAGACAAATGTGTCCAGGCAGACCCAGCAGACATACGCGCCGCAACTTCCGCAGGTCAAGTAGTTGAGTCCCGTAACTTTCTGAATCGAGGTGTTGCACTTGGGACATTCTTTTACCCCCAGTTCTTGCTTCGTTTGTCCGAATCTCTCTTTGCCTCCAGAAGATATGTGCTTGTACTCCGCACATAACTTGCCCGTATGAGAACTGTGACACGAGGTGCATGTCGTCTTGCAGCAGCTGGGGCAGATGAAGTCTCGAGGAATGTGGGGTGTAGACACTCCATAGACCCGTTCGCAGCCCTCAGTAGGGCAAAATCTGAAGTCCTCGGGGTGGTGGTTGATGTAGTCTTTGAAGGACGAGACGAGGAGCTCTTCGAAGCTGAGAGGTGACAGATGCTTTTGTAGTTCAGGAAGACCCAAAACAGTAGGACGACCAAACTGGGTACTACAACAGCCCCCATTTCCCAAGCATCGCAGCTCGAAGCCGCTTTCGCCAGAGTCAGGAGACCGGCAGAAGTTCTCGAAGCATTCGTGGCAATAGACGTGTCCGCATTTGGTTGTCAAGGGGTTTCCGGCCTCCGTCCAACACACCACGCAGTTATTAGCAAAAGCTTCTTTCCGTAGATGCGATACAGTCCGCGTTTCTTGCATGAGGTCTACCGCCATATCGTACCACGATAGCGGGCCTATGATTTCGATCCTCTTGCTTGTCGGTAGGATGCTCAGCATCACATTCTCAGGGCCTAGCCTCTCTTTCAGGTCCTGAAAGCCTCCACTAACTGCCCATTGAAAGCATTTGTCGTCGAGCGTTATGAAGTAAGAGGTCGATCGGTCATGACTGAAGGCATCAAGTAATGCCTCGCGAGCCTTGACGACCTTGTATGGCGCTCCATAAGCTCGTATCTCCGCTTTGGAAGAAATACATTGGAAGGCGACCTGGAAATGATTTTCCATCCGCCGGAGAGCCTTCGCTGTTGCTGCTTTGTTGCCGAAAGACGGGTCCCAGAAAGGCTCTCCATCCCTATCGGCTACTGTCACGCCTCGAAGAATGTGATCGACCTTCTCTTCGGCGGCGACAACATCCTCGCGGTTCTCGCCCTCCAATAGCAAGGTAGTGTAATCTTTTGCCGGTGGAGATTGCTTGAAGGTTACATGCTTCTCAGCATTCGCAATCTTGACAGCCTCGATATCTCCCATCACGGCTTCCAGAATCTTGGTTGCAACTTTGTAAGTCACTGAGTACACCAAGCTGATTAAGCTTGTCAGACTTGTCGAACGGCAGCCAGATATCGTTAAGCGTTTCCGCAGCCTTCATTGCCTGTGTCTCGTCAGCGAATCGAGCCATCGCTTGAACTTGCTCCCCCGGGGCTTCCATTTTGGCGGTCAATTTCATTTCCAAAGGACCGATTCTTCCCAGAAGATGTTCGATCATGTCGAGCTGCTTTTCGTGTTCTTTGGCCCCCAACTCGTACGTCGTACCTTGAAATTCCGCACGATTCGGTCTGCTGTCTTCGGGGATCATGTGTAGTACGTCGGGGATAGAGGCCGTGAGAGGTACTCGCAGCTTGAGAACGCGCGGCCTCGAGGACGAATCTCGAAGTCGCCGATCACAGCATAACTCTTTAGGCAGACCAAATCCACAAGACACTTGTGAGCCGAGCACCTTGTATGAACCACTGGAGAAGCGGTCGCGTATCTCTCTAGTTGGCTTTCCACAATCAAAATGTAGAAACGCCAATTTTGCAGGTTTCTTCCAAGAGCAGATTATCTTCCTGCAGTTGGTACGGTGAGTAAAACTAACCGTGTCGTTCGAAGCTGGTGCGGCGAGAGCAACCACCTTCACTCCCGACCAGCCGTCTACTTGGGACCATTCGTCTGCCTCGTATTTTGAAACGACGTACTTGGCGAAATTCGGGTCTCGGTATTTCACATCCATCATCATCATTCTTTTCTGCTTCTGTGATGCGAGATGAGTCTCCCATACCAGCGGTTTTAGAGTTTCGGTGCGGTTCAAGGTCTCAGAGAACTCTCGGTAGGATATTCCAGCCGGGAGGTTGGTAAATCTGGCGGTGGAAAAGTCCGACAAAAGCGAGATATTGATAATCTGTGCCCCTGGTCCGAAAATGACTTTGGTCCCGAGCAGATCACGATAGCGCCAGTCGTCCGTTGAAACCTAAGTTTCCATCAGCACATGTATCAATCAATGGCCAGGGCGTATGCAGTATTTGAGATTGGCCTACCAAAGTGTCCACTGAGGAGATGCGTCCTCGTGTTGTGTCTTCGGCATGGAGAAAGGGGCAGCTGTCTCCATTCCGACAATGGCCTTTTGCAAAGAAGCGACACCGTATCCGTGCTCGCGTATCAGCCAGCGACGTTTCTTTCGAAGATGGATCGTCGAAGGGTGCTTGCTGATGAGAAAAGACGCAGTTCTGTCCCTTGGAACATTGTCCACGGAGGAAGAATTTGCAGGGCAGCTGTCGTTGCTTCGTAGGGGGAGCAGCTTGGGGCGTGCGGGAGTGCTCGGAGTTCTCGTGAATAGAAGAGCACTCATTGCCTGCCCAACAAAAGCCTCCGTGTCGGAGGTAGTAGAGACATACTGTGGCTCGCTTTGGCGAAGCAGCTGTTGCTCGTGATCTCAGACTGAGCTGGCTATGCATTGTGGGGTCGTTTTCCGTAGTGAATCAACCGATGGTATTTGAATGAGGCAGTGAAGTATGCCAACAACTCACGGTTCCGCCTGAAAAGGAGAGATGTCGTTGAAAACAACAGGAGAATGTGGATAAGGGAAGACTTTTCTCCGGTTCGGATGAGAAGGGGTAAGTCTGAGACATCCAATTGTGCAAATGCCTACGAGAATGTGACAGTGCGTCATCTAATGAATGTGCACTCGTTGGGCATGGCGAGATACCTTACTCCTAGAATGTGAAAGATGAGGAGCACGCTATGGGTATGTTTGCTGAGATTAAGAATACGATACGCTCTGTGAGGCTGGCGAGTATGGCGGGGAGAGACGAGTAGAGCGACAGCAACGGCTAGACTCCCGGCGTATTTGAGTACTATTTAATAGGCTCTAGGGCAAAGCTGGTAAAGCACATCTGGAAGAGGAACGAGCTGAGGGATAGGTATAACGTTAGAAGAAGTGAGGTCGTCGCGAGTTACAAAAAAAAGAAGAAAAGGCAAAAAAAAAAACCCTTATATTATATAACAACACCTTAAGAAATAACTTTCCACATAACACAGTATAAGTGCAATACCTAGCACTCAACAGAATGAGAGTTTATGAGCCCATAGATATATGCAAGCCCTTCCAGCTAACTTTTCAGCCCACATGGTCATGAATGGCCTTAAGGGTGTAACGTTATTAGGCTTTGAAAATGGAGGCGGCTAGCGTATGAAAATGTATTCCCATTGGTGTCGTTTGCGACGTTTATGACTATAAAGATGAGCATAATCCACGTCCCTTTTTTGTCGTTGATTTCCCACTGCGTAAGGGCGAGATTGGATTCGGAGCGCTCCTTCAATATCTTGTTTAATGAGGTCTCCGATGGGCCGAAGCCCAACGCTAAGGTGTCGTGTATCGTGTTCCCTGGGAAGTTTTGCGTGATTCCCATCTTCAACATTCTCCCTTCGACTTGAGTCTTGAGAACCCAGATCACCTCATCGGAAACCCAAGATCAAGACCTCAGAAACATTGATCTTGCCATGGTCATCTATTTCAGAAGGAGCATACTACGAGACCTTATCGGTCTTACTCGACCAACGAGGCCTCCGTGTTCAAAAGGCACTAATCGCGTTGAGTTGAAGAGTAACGTATGCATCTCAGTAAGTTCACCAGTGTCAAAGCAGAAGAAGATGACCCAAAGTTTTCCCCAATCATTTAGAAAAAAGCAAAATGTGCGAGAAAATCAACTGATCTGGTTGGCTACCTAGAGAAAGCAGCATTAGTACAGAGAACCAACCAACACGCTACAACTTCCCCATCGATGAAGTCTGCAGAGAGTGGCTGTGCTGAGGTTGCTTCCAGGATTTCTATCCAGTAGAACGTGATTTGCAGTGTCCACCTTTCCGCAGCTCTGAGAACCAGGTCGTAGGCGCCGTGGGAGCGGGGTAACTTGACCGAAGCAATGTTGCTGCGCACAAAACTTCAACCAACTCTCCATCGTCAATGACTTTAAAAGACACCAAACACTCCTAGATACATGTGTTGCAGTCTCTCCAAAATGGGGGAAAGTCAAAGAATTGACAAAGAACATCACGGAAACGAGGATGACCAACTCATAACAGAGGACAGAGACTTGCGTTGCCCACGAGGGAACCATAGGGATCCTAGCCCAGCGAAATCCGGTGATGAGCCTTCCCGCTCTGGGGTCAATACGAAGGAAGAGAATACCAACCCAAACGCAGATGAAATCCAGGAGGACGACAACAGAGACTATGCTGCTGCAGACGACATCGAGGATTCCGGTCACAACACGGGTTCTGAAGAGGACCAACTGGGAAAATCACCAGAGGCTTTATCCCAGACTTTGGGTCAGATGGCGTCATGGCTATGCTCGAATTGCCGCGAGTTTTCGCGGCAACCATATACTTTGTCCATCCTTACCCTTGGGAATATCTTAACAGCGTGTTCCATCCTTCTTTGTTGTCGTTGAGGCAATCGGTTGATGCCGGGTGTTATCTCTGCGAGGAGATAGACAAGCGTTTGAAATGGGCCTGCAAAAAGTCCAGTCCCCCTATTACCTTACAGGACAACGACCTCTACTATGTCACTTTCAGATTAGCATCAGGAAGATCTGGGGAGGAGTGCGACACCAAAGTTCACTGGTTTTGGGTGCAGTTTTGCCTCCATCATACCAACGGCGACGAAATTGAATTTTCTTCGTCCGAAGAAAACCTTGGTATTGTCTTGGAATTTATCCCTGTCAGTGATTGGGACTGCGAGCTGGCATATTTGGGTGAGTACGCTCAAAAGCCGAAACTGTGCTGGTTGAAGCTAAATCTTGCCAGATCCGCACCCCAGAGTAAACACCGCCAAGTCTGCAACAAGTTTCGGTGTAATACGTGGTTGGTACGACAGATGCCTTCAACACACCACCTGTCGAAAATGGCAACAAGAATCTCGCACTCTCCCAACCCGACTTGTTCAAATCTGGAAGGAACAGGCCGCCGTGCCTGGAACTTGTGTATCAGCGAGAGTCTGCAATACCAAAGACTTGCCCGCAGCTACTGAATACCTCACACTCAGTCACTGTTGGGGTAAAAAGAAGTTTCTCAAGCTGGAACAAGGCAATCTAGATGCTTTCCACTGCTCGATACCAGTCAGTATACTTCTGAACACTTTCCAAGATGCAATGTACATTGCTATTAAACTTAGTTTCAGTTACATCTGGATTGATTCTCTTTGTATCATACAAGATTCAGAAGCGGATTAGATTAATGAAGCTAAGAAGATGGGAGATGTTTACCGTAACGCGGCATATAATATTGCAGCATCTGGCTATCACGATGGCACATTGGGATTGTTTGCCGAGAGAATGGCAATCCCTTACACGCTTACTCCCCTATATCTCAATCTCACTTTGTCAGAAAATTTTGCAGAGGACGAAAAGCACCGCTACGAATACTACGTTCGATCGGACGACAAATGGTTCAGCAACGCAGTTGAAGAGGGGCCACTTCTATCTCGTGCTTGGGTTGCTCAAGAGCGGGCTCTGTCCCCAAGCGTCATTCATTACACCCCAGAAAAGATTTGGTGGGAGTGTAGTGAGATGATTGCCAGCGAACCCCCCAATTCCGGCTATCCCAGTTCTTATATCGATCGCTATCCCAAGGGGAGGAGTTATGATTATCATTTAGGCAGAATCCGGTCACTTCAACAAAACGACCGAAAAAGAATTTACGGATTCTGGAGAGGGTTTATCGCTTCCTACGCCGCCACCGACATGACCAACGAAAAAGTCCGCTTTCCCGCAGCAACTGGCATAGCACAAACCATCGGCAAGCTTCTCAACGAGAATCTCTTCGCTGGCCATTGGGAGGGGGACCTTTGTCGTTCATTGACATGGGAATGCGTGGGCATGATCAAGAGTATTCCGTCTGCACAGCTGGCACCTTCATGGTCATGGGCATCGTTATGTGTAAAGATTGGCGGTCATGCGTGCTTGGCTAATGGCTATTATAACGCTCTGAACGGGTGCCGCTTCAGAGCGCTTTCTGACATTGCTGGCTTCAAGTCGGACCTCCATTCATCGTCGTTTGGGACATCGGATGTGCGAGGGCTGGAAGTTCGGGCACCGCTGAGACGGATTCCAACCGATTTTTCACGAGGTTGGGAGAAGGCGCCAATGAGTGCCAACCCAGCGTGGATATCCGTGAATTATGACAAGGAGCATCTGAGCGATACCCTTCGCCAGAACATCCCAGAAGGCCAGGCCTGGCGCTTGAATGCTGCAACACACATCGTGCCGCTTGTCAACGACGAAGACCGCTGTGCAAGTGGCCTCATCTTACAGCAGGTACCAGGAGCAGTCAACCCAAACACGTTTCGTAGATGCGGACTTTTCGAGTTTGAGTTTAGAGAATTAAGATTTGAAGAGTATCTAGGTCTCGTGGAGAATGAAGGGGAATACGTACCTAGCATCAAGTTCGAGGAATATGGATTTCAGACCTTCGTTCTCATGTAGGCGTACGTCATTATACCATATTTTTGAGTATTCCTTTGAACGCAGTCTTAGAGCTTTTGCACATCTATTAGGAAGATTGTTTAGCAATGCTTGAAGTTATTAAAAATGCTTAGCGGATACACCCACATCAATAGACTCTTCGGATCAGAGCCCTCGAGGTCAACGACGATAAGTGTTCTTCCGACTCATCGGCCTAGGAGAAGCCCACGACCACCTCGTAACCTCAGCCCGAAAACTTACAAGGGATTCCCTGATACCATGAATGATGCGCTGTTGGCAGATCTCAGCAGGTTATCATGCATTCAAGAGTCACCCAATTTCACAAGACGATACAGTCTGGAAGGAAGAACCCACCCTTCACATTCCAGATTGTTCTGTCTTGCGCCTCGATTCCCGATCCTCAGGCTGGGGCTGAATAGCGATGTGGGTGTCAAGTTATCCATGGCGTTCGCATGACAGAACGGGGTTTCGTGTTGTTCTAGCCATGAATACTCACGAGACAACAGTGAGGAAGGACCAAGAGCACACCCGACGAGAACTCTGAAGATCTCGAGCAAGCCATACGAAGTTACGTTCCTGACTTTGGCTGAAATGCATAGACACACGAGACTTGCTCTTGAGACCGCGGTGTGCTTCAACAAGGAGATGACAACTCGCGCGGGGGTTCCTCACGGTTGGCGTTGATGACACCGCAGCTCATAGCACCTGTCTTTTAATATCATAAGCAGTCTGGGTTATTTACGCATATAATAGAGCAGCTTTGAGGGGCGATGTATATGCTTAGAATAGAAAACGAGTGATGGTCGGGGGAAGCTTGATGAGAATATGGCGATATGACCAGTTCACCACCAACTCGATAAGAAAATCTCTTTTGCCGAACACCTCCTTGGCACAAGGCGAAAACGACTCATCCTTCTTCCCTTCCCCAGTCTCTCATCCAGGGTATATTCAAGCCAATACATACCGAAGAAGCCCAAAAAGCCGGCTAAGACTCGTATCTTCCACACAAGCATACTCCTCCCGTTGCTGATTTTCGCCAGACATTGTCACATTGCCTCCAGGCCTACCTCCTCACAATCAACCACCCCAGTTGTCTTGGCTATTTCCAACACGCGAAAGAGGCGGCACACCCTATTTTATACACACGAGACGCGCTTCTTGTCAGCAGTCATCTACGTGACATCACTCGAGCCACATCAGCGTTGGAGACGCGGCTACAACTAGACAAGAGTCTAGGAGAACAATTTCCATAATCTAGTTTCAATTGCAGCGGACATCGGCTTGACTAGGCGAAAGCGAGATCGCATCCCGTTCAAGAGCTGCGGCGTTGTCTTCCGGCATACTCGTCTAGCCTGGTCTTCTCTGCGCACTTAGACGACGATGGACCTCACATTCTCCGCATGACAGCACATACAGCTCAAGTGCATTCGATCCGCTCGAAATCCTCCTTCATCGTGACTTATCGTGACTTACGGCTTCAATTTCGGAAGCGGTGAACGGCACAAGTCGTCTGGATCACGAAAAAACTATCACAGCCCACACCGCTGTTTGAACGAGTTGAGGTGTTGTGGTGGGGGCTTCAGCTTCAGGTCACCGCCGAACCCATGACGTGTGGAGCAAGCGTACTTTGTCACGATACTTCAGAGGAACATCAGAAATTGGGACCAAACAGTCGAGAGTTCCATTCTTTGAGCTAGATCTAGCTGCCCAAGCCCAGAAAACCCCAATCCGCCGTTCACCAAAAAAAGGAGGTCTTTTTTTAATCCGTTTTTCGGGGTTTTATCCTCTGCTGTTCCTCATGCCCCAAAAGACACAGTGCTCCAAAGCCGATCAAAAAGTGACAATATCAGCGAGCCAAGCATCACCGGTTTTCTTCCTCCAACGCGTCCTGTCCTCCGCGAGAGTTGCCAGCGACCACTTTGGGTCCAACGTCTCCAGTCCGCAGACACAGCGTATGCATGTGTGCCTCGATGCCATGGTGACATGAGTAATCTTTTCGTCTTCTTCAAACCCCCGGGATATTAAACAGGTGATGAGAAGGATGTAATGTGATTGCTGACGAGGTGAAGCTCGTCTAGCATAGATGTGTTGAGTTCCCCACGATTGTTGAAGTAGGGGTATGCAGATGTAAAAGCAAACAAATAGGGTATGTGCAAAAGAGGTATACGCAGGAATGGGAGAGAAGCAAAGTGTGGGAGTGGTGTCAGGCCAGCCTTTTCCAACCTGTCATCGTAGCCACCCCGCCCGAATGTCTGTGTCGTGATAGTCGATTCGAAGACACCAGAGCCCGCAGATGCTTGCGTGCGTCTTTGCCGTCGAAGTACTGGCGACCCCCAACCAAGGCGGAGCGCGATGAACGCCCCAATGGCTAGTCAGCCAAGTGCGTAATCCGTCGAAAACCGACAGAAAGGTGTAAGGGTATCCTCCAATAGAGCCGTGATCATAATGCAAAGTGGTGCCCAATGCCACAATGACTGCCCTTCGCGCGAGGGCGTGGTTTGTCGTTCCGATGCCAAGACGCCGAACCCATAAAATGAAGAACCGCCGTGTCATAGAAGAGAGGTGAGGTGTGATGAAGGACGCGCCGGCCCGATCATCGTGATTTTGACACGGTATCCTTGGTCCGGCCAACCCAGCCAGCCAGTCCTAACCCAATCAAAAATAGGGGAAATGCTTCATCGTCTGTCCAAATGGACGACCGCACAGCGCATTCCCCATCCCCCAACGCCGTGCTATGCAAAATGGTATTATACAGAACCCAGTCGCAAGAGGGCCTCCACAGCCTCACGCTCTTGCGCGTCAGAAGTGGCCCCCAGCGCCGAGAAATCGAAGGGCAAAGGTTGAGGCGAGCGGGCCATGCCGGTCGAGACGGATCGCATTCCAGAGTTATATACACCGGTGGAGAGGAAGCTGCGTCCGGCGGAATGGGCAGCCGCGTTGTTGTAGGACTCGGCGCGGAGAGCAGCAGCTCCCACAGCGGCCCAGTCCTCGTCGTCGGTGGCGTCCTCAGGGTCATCGTTCATGGCGATGTCGTCGTCATCCGGTGCCTCGGAGCAAGAGGCGGACGCTGAGCCGTCCAGGGACATCTTGTCCGCTTCGTCCTCCATCATCATGGCGTCGCGATCATCGTGGGAAAAGACAATCGAGTCACCGTTGCTGGAAGAGCCAACGTTCAGGCGAGACCTGTCCACGCCGACCCCGCCGTTCTTGGAAATGGGGATGCCGGAGCGGTAGTCCGCAGGAGACGAGCTCCGCGCAGGCTGGCCGCGTCGTCGAGCGTCCCATCGTCCCCAACCGACCTTCTCGTACTCCACATCGCCGTCGACTCCACCGCCCTCGCCTCCGCGACCCTCCAAAGCTCCCACCACCAGGCGACGTGCCTTGGCCGGGGGGATTCCTGCGAAACCCGGCACCGACGTCGTCAGGTAGCCCATGATGTGGCGGATGGCCAGAGGGCCGTGGTTGAGGAGGATGTCGGGGAGGTGATGCTTGGCCAGCAGAGAGGTGCTGATAGCGCCAGTTGCGTCGTAGGAGGGCGACCGCGAGGCTTCTCGCCTAGCCTGCTCGTCGTGCAGGTCAAGATCCGAGTCAATAGGCTCGAGCCTGGCCTTCTGGAGCTGGGCCTTGAGACCGTGAGGCGGCAAGGAAGGAGATATGGAGTTTGGAGGGGTGGGAAGGGAGTGAGATCGTGTCACAGTCGTCGCAGGGACACTCCGAGCCGCTACAGCAGTTAAGTTGTCTCGGCTCATGTCGGAGGCCTGGTGGATATCGCGAGCAGCAGCTGCCATGGTCGCCATGATGTCGTTTAGACGTGTCTGAAGCTTCTAGACGTGTCTGGTACAAGTTAGTCAAAAGACCGGCGAACGGTAGGATGCGACGCGTGTGCGAAGAGGGCAGCCACAAGGGCAAAATGTGGTGATAATTATTTTGGTGGTGTCGAGTCACCAGGGGGATGACGGGTGGTAGGGTTAATGTTGACGTACTGCTAGAAGCGGAAGGGATGCGATGCAAGTGTGGAACTTTGCGGGTAGGCAAAGCGGTCGACGGATCGGCTAATGACAGAGGCAGATCAAGGCTGGCAGAGCTGTTGCGATTATCTTGACTGTGACAAGAGAATCTCGTCAGTATGGTTGTATGGTTCTCGATGGTGTTGATTTGTTGTTGAAGAAGAGGTAAGGGAAAGGAAAGGAAGGGGAGGGCGAAGGCAGGGCTAAAGTAAAAAGGAACGTCTAACGGGAGATGGGAGAGAACGAGTGACAGACTGACAATGAGCCATGAGTGACTCTCTCTTTCTCTGTGTGTTAGGTTGCCAAAGATACATTGGGAGAGACATGGTACTTGCGGTACATGAGGAGACCTGGGGCGCCTTCAGAGACCATGGCCGGGGAGGAGGTACCCACGGTACCGGACGGATGCAACCCAGCCAGAAGCCAGGATGGGGAGGTATCTGACGAGTACCTACATTTCGCCGTTGTTGCTTCTAGTCTCCAGAGTCCCGTCAGACAGAAGTCTCCGCTGGGAGGACCTGCTCAATAAGGGCGATACGTCAATCATGAAAGGTCGCTCTTGTATCCTGCGTCCTGTATCATGTACGGATACGCAAGTGTTGCTGCAGTGCAGCTTGGCCTGCGCTTCCTTGGTCCAGCCTGCAGAACCGCACCCAAACCACAGAGAAACAAAGGCCGCCCGACGAGGAGGAGGGAGGCGAGCAGCAGCCAGCAGCCAGCAGCCAGCAATCTCAGCGAAAGCCGAATAAAGAGCGCCAGCGACGACGACGCAGAGGGGGGCGTGGGGTGTGTGTGTGTGTGTGTGTGTCCAGGGCAGTGTGTGTGCGTCCAAGAGCTGGCCACGGGTGTCGAGGCTTTCCGTCGCCAGGTGGTGACAATCTGTGGCTGCGACCAAGACGTCTTATCCCTGCACCAACCACCAGAAGCAGGTGATTGTTAGAGCCACACCGTCTTAAACGTGCTTGGACTCCCCCCTTCCGAGTGACGAGTTCCAACTTGACCAAGGCCTACGGGGAATACTTAGCTGAGCAGCTGATGGCAGCAAGGGCCAGGCATCATGATTACGGCGCGTTGAGATGGTTGTGTGTGTATTGTTATTTTTTGCAAGGACACGTATATTTGTCTGTTGGAAAGGTATTGCACCGAATTTCTGACGATCCAGACTCATCGGCTTTTGTGTGTAAGTGTGTATTCATACGTATGTAGTGTAATGACATCCCCAAGCAACGCCAGAAAGGGGATGGAGAAATGACGATGGTGACCCCTTTCTGGTGTATTGTCTTAGACATTCGTCTGGAATCGTTCATGGAAAGGGGTAGACGGGGACGGACATGAAGAAACAAAAAAGAGAAGAGGCCTTCGTCGATTTGATTGACCACAGACGCTCTGCACGAAATTACAGTGCCGGACGGCCGGTTCGTTCAGATACCCCTGCCTCGCCTTGTCCGCTGTCAACATCCGTTGAATACTGGTGATAGCGGGCTCAGCTATCCGTACATTCTTATTTTGAGGCCATCATTGCCTTTTTTTCTTTTTCTTTCTTTTTTTGTTAAGTGCTCAGTCCCTCATTCCCCAGACATCAAGCGAAAGGGGGTTGAAGGAATTCCAATCTCGCCAAACAGGGCATCAATTTTCTCGTCTTGCGAAAATCTCGACCTCCCCGATGATCAAAGCACCGAATTGCGAATTTCAAAAATTTTCAACAAAATTGCGACGCCAGAAGAGAAAAAGGAGAGTGTGGTTTCGAGGTCGTTGATGCCCTTGTTGTTGACCAGGTCCCCGGTCAACCGGCCGGCCGGGCGCGGTACCGGTAAGCCGTGTGTCGTCCTCTCTCTCAGAAAACAGAGGTGTCGGCGATTGATGACGACACTGTCGCATTCTCCACGGCGCGCGCGGCGCAGAAGCAGCAAGCTTGAGCCATTGTGGTCCATCGTGGTGGGGAGCTGTGGGAGTGCGCAGTGAGGGAGAAACGCAGCAGCGACAAGCAGCGGCCCAGCAGCAGGCCGTCCTGCGCGCGCGTGGAAACTACTTTGTCACTGTCCGTATCGCCTGGAAAGCTGCGCTGCCGACCGCTCAACCTGTGGACCGGGCCCGTGGTCGCGTCTCTTGCTCCCAGCGGAAACCGCAGAGACAGACAGGGGTTGGAAAAGCAGACGGAAGACCAGGGGAGCCCCCAACCGGACGGGTCACGGGAAGACATGGGTTGGCCGACAAAGGAAGCGGATACGGGAACGTTGGGACAATGATCAATGGGTCCTCCGCGACGACGATGTCGCACTTCGTGGAACAAAACAAACTTGTGTGCGTTGTGGGAGAGTCAGATCGCGATTGGGGTTTTCCAACCCTACCTCACGACAGCCTCAAAGTCTCAATTGTCGAAATTCAAGGGGCTATCCGAGTTCATGAATCGGGTTTGTGTTATCGATGGTGGAGTCCAGGGGAAACTGGGCAAAGTCGAGAAAAGTCGGTCGCATCTCGCCGGCACGAAAGTTTCACGGCGTTCTTCTGCCTTGGCCCTCTCCGACAGATTGGTAAGCTTTTCGACAACCGCATGTGTGGCGGACGCTGTTGCCGATGGGTAAGTTTTATGCCCTTACGTTTCGATGACGGGGACATCGCGGGCAAAAGAAGGTTTTCTTGGAAGTAGAATATGCCGCGCAGTGCGTCAAATGACTAAACTTGCCAATGCCGAACGTAGGGACGAACGGTGGTGGTTGCGTGGTTGTGGTTTCGTCGAGACGATTGATTGCCCACAGGGAATCGCCAAAGCTGCTGCAAGTCTGTCACTGACAATCCGTCAACTCCGTCCTCACCCTTTCGCAAGGATGGTGCTTCCTTCTCGAAGTTCCCTCGCCCCTGCAACCAAACCCGCAGCGAGCCCGGCAGAGGTTGAATTGAATGACAAAGGCCTGGAAAAGCCCACCTCCTAGGCGAAAATCATGGTGTGGGTAAACCGCAATTCCGGAAGGCCACGGGTGATGTTCCTCCCCCGTTCCCAGAGCCAGCGACCCTATCGGCAGTCCGGGGAAAGGTGATGAGTGGGCACGTTTTCGTTTCAGCGACCCAGTCGGCATGGGAGACAACGCGACGTGGGCACATGGGCACATCGTGGGCTTTTCGACTTTGATGCCCACGATGGCCCCTCCAACGGGTAAGGTACTCTGAGACTACCTGCGGCGGTCAAGGTGTTCAATACCAACAGTCGGGATAGAAAACAACACCACGTTGGCGACTTGTTGACTGCCCACGATGAGCCCCTCCATGTGGTCATGGGTAAGGTACTTTGAGACTACCTGCGGCGGTCAAGGTGTTAAACCCAGAAGCTAAAAGGGTGTATCCGCCGCAAACTGGGGGCAGCCAGGCGGCGGTCAACTTGGAGAGCCCGCAACGACGGACATCCTCTGAGCTCCGCTATGTGGATTGTTTGGAGGACGTGGGTTCAAGGTGAGAGCTTGGAATCGTCGCCATGTGGGTTTATTAGATGTTGTCGCAACAAGCAAGCTTGCGGTTTTGGGTTTTGTTTTGTGTATCGTCGATATACCCTAATCAAAGGGCGATGCAATGCAACGAGACAGACACGTTTCTGAGAAGAAGACGAAAAAAGAAACATGTCAAAGACCAAAGTTCGACCAGGGGGAATTAAGGGGGTGACGAAAGTGAGTTGTTTTCCCCTTACCCATCGACAAGCGACAGGCGGAAAGACACCCAAAGATGCCTTGGGGTAACAGCAAACATCGGATAAAAAAAGTTGATGACTGATGACACATTGCGGCGAAAAGGTCTGCATAGCCATCGGACTCTCACTCATCGGCCATGAAGCCAAGATGATTCTCGGTCCGGGCAATGACTTAGACGTGGTGATGGCGCGCGTACAGTTTGGATTGCTCATTCACGATACACTGTATACATTGTCAGCTCTTGAGCAACATGATGTTAGATCCAAGTGGCTAAACACACCCCGGGCGGGTGATTTGAAGTCTGGGAAGCATGGGGCTGGAACTGACCCATCGTCTTATTGAGTTTGTGCTGTTGACAGGCACGTATCGTCGAGTACCTCCCAGCTCGCCCTGCCCTCGCACTCCACAGTGAAGATACACAAAAAACGAGCGGCACCATATCTCTATGTGCACACAGGCCTGTATTATCTTGCGGGAGGTACCTTGCCCCAAATAGACAAGCCACGCCCGTATCTCGACGCTTATCATTATCAGCCAACAAACCAAAGCCGGCTGAGGCGCTCACATGGCTGACGATGATCTGAAAGTGGTCATTCGAGGTCGCCCGATCCGCCGTGGCTCGTCAGCTAGAGTAATGAGGACCCTCGTTCGGCTTCCTTTTCGCGATGACCGACAGTTGACGACCTTCTTCAGCAATCGCCGCCCCTCCATCGAATCCGTCCGTCAACGGTGCCTTGAATCCTCTCACATCTCATCTGATCTGATTCCAGAAGGCATTCCACCCCCTCAATTGTCGCTACGGGCAACACCCCCTCTCGTTCTCATGCCGATGTGCTGATGGTTGATGTTGATGTGCATAGCATCGTGTCGTATCCGTGGCCGCTGGTACCTTGCTTCGACATGACCGACAGGTAATCATGTAGTGGAATCCAAATGGAGATCGTGGGTTGAACCAGCCACCCCGTGTGTGCCCGTGTTCCTGTCTGTACCTGTCTCGGTTTCCTCGAAATTGCTGGCTGCAGTAAGCTTGAGCCTGGAATTGCAGAGCATCCGACTCAGGTCTCCCCGGAATTCGCGCAACCCTCCTCGTCGCACGCCGTCGAGCGCAACCATCACGTTGCTTTCAGACTCGCCTCTGATTGGTTGTCCGCCCAACCGTGGGGGAGAAATGTCGCGCCCCAGATAACCTCGAGCCGCCAGCCGCCACAACCTCTCGAGCAGACGCGACTGACCAGGAGCAGAAAGTAAAGATGATGCCCGTTTCCAATGTCTCCTCGTACGGCGTTGTCCCCGTTTTTGCTGGTACCTCGTGTGTGTTGGTTTTGTCTTTGCGTGGACACTTGTTTCCGTTTCCTTTCGCTGCCTTCGACGAGGTCGTTACATCAAGGCAATCGTCGAATCATCGTACACCGTCAGAAGCCGTGTTCGTCACTCATCCACTTACGAAACCCCACGTTGTGACATGCTGCATCGTCGAGGCTTCGGGCTCCAAGCTCCTCCGGAGTCCAGACGCCCCTCTCCCGATGCTGCTCTCTGCGATTCCCCCTCGGGAGGCTGTGGGTCTTCACCCGCCGCCGCTCTCTCTCGCGTCTCTCGGCACCAGATCCCAGGGAAATCCTCCGCCTTTGGACCGAAATACATTCCGTATGCCCCCCTCATTGCGGCGGCGCCACTGCAGCTGCAGCAGCTGCATCGGTGCATTTCCAGTGCTCACCCCGCTTCTTGTCCAAGATATCGCGGCGGGGTTCATCACACCCTCATCACTGCGCCTTTCCGAGCTCTTCCGTGATTGCCCCCTAGTCCCGACCGACCGGTTGAACAAGGCCATGAGTTGTCGTCCGTAGCCGCCGACAGTCCGAACCTTGGTAGATGTCGCGCAGCTCGCTGAGCTGGTAGCGGCGCCGATCCTCGGAACATGAGGCTCACATTGTGCCAGTCGTCGCACCCACGTTTGGATTCCCGTGGACACGATTGATAACGAACTCTCGCACCGTGGTCCTTGTGTGTATGGAGCCTTACTGCGGCAACGACATCATTCAGGATCATCCCGCTTCGCCTCGACGCCTTGACCGTCGCGTACACCAGGGCTGAGCCCTTATCAACATCACGAAAGCTGATGCTGGTCTCAACGGAGAGCCATGTATTCGCGACACGCCTAGTGAAGTCAGCACGCGTGGTTGTTTTAGCGATGGGACCCTGACTTACAGCTTTAAGCACATTGAGCCGTTCTTGCGATTCGCGATATACTTGCCGGTACTGGCCAAGACTTTCGCGCAAGACGGCTTCCTTGGTCATGCGCCCGTCGCATATTGCCTTCATCTTGTTCTCCATCTCCTTTCGCAGAAAAGGCTTGCCCAGACTGGTTTCGAATTCCATGCGGTCAAATCCCGTGATAAGTGCCACGCCGAGTTGTGTCGGAACAAAGACCTTCAGAGCCCTCCGCCCCGCCGACGACCCGCCGCGTCCTCCTCTGCCTCCGCGTCCACCGCGACTGCCGCGCCCGCCTCTCCCCCCTCTCGCCGGCGGCGATGGAGGCGCATCCTGGCCATCATCGTCGTCACCATCTTGGCCGCGTTGAGCACCATCGACGACCTGGACATACTGACGAACTTGAATCTTGTCAATATGTTCAGCCATAGTTGCGTCTGTTCCGATTCCATTAGCGTCCATGAGTGCGATGAGGTCTGCTTCTGTGAGATATCCCGGCGGGCTCGTCTTGCCATCCGTCATCATAGCCTCTGTTGGAACAAACGTCTCGCCTTGTGTGTAATGCGGCAACTCTGCTGAGTCGTTCCATTTCTCGTAGACAAAGACGTCCAGGTAGTTTCGCTCCAGAACCCGTAGGCCTCGAGCGTGGAATGTCTCTTCTCCGTAGAGAATCTCGATGTCTGTCGCCATGCCTTTGGCATCTTCAGAACAGCAGGCCAAGAAACGTCGAACGACGTATTCATAGAGCTGCTTCTCGTTAGGATCAAGAACGCTAGGTGCCGCCATCGTGACCGGATGGATGGGGGGATGTGCCTTGTCGTCGTGTTTTCCTGCGCGCGGTTGTACAAAGTTCCCATCCAGGAGACTTTGGGCATAGTCGCCCCATCGGTCATGAGGAACTTGTTTCCTGACCAAAGCCTTCAGATCCATAGCTTTGTCGAATCGATCAGTTTCCGTTCTGGGGTAGCTGATAAACCCCTTGTTATACAGAGCCTCCGCCACCGTCATTGCCTGCTGACCACTCATGCGCAGTAGACGAGTAGCTGCTTTCTGCAGTTCGACGGTGGTCAACGGGAGCGGCTTCCACTTCCTCGTCGGTTTCTCCTGGACCTTGGTGACCTTTGCTTTCTTCGCCCTTATGCAGCGCTCGTAAAGGATGACGACAGACATGCGGTCGAAAAGTCTGTTGCGTGACCAAGAGAAATTCGCTTTCTTGCCTTCGCGATTGTGCATGACTTTGATGCTCCAAAATTGCTCGGGCACGAAGTTTTGGACCCGGAAATATCGATCAACCACGAAACCCAGAGTCGGAAACTGGCACGAACCTGTTCTAACAGTCAGAAGTAGTTCGTATGGGGGCCATTGAGCCTACCATAGCTGATGACCAAATCTTGCAGCGCGCCCCCTAGGGGTTGAAGGCTGATGGTCAGGAAACGAGTGAATGCGTATCCAATTCTAAGGTCCAGCTCTATTCTTGCATCCACGGCGTCAACTTGCTTCTGATCCAGCTCAGTGAGACGTCGCGCGGCGGATAGGATGTGTCTGATACTCGTCAGTTCAGAATTAGCCGTCAGAGTGCGGGCACATACGCTCTTTCAATGTTGTTGAAGTTGGCGCGCTTGACTTGGATGTTGGGCTTGCCCTTTCTAGCAGCGTTGACGATTTCCTTTCCGATGTGCTCGCCTTCACGATCACAATCCGTCCAGATGATGAGCAATTGGGAGTACCGGGCTTGCTGCTCGATGTTGTCGGCTATAGCTTTCTTCTCCTGCAGGAAGTCAGTGTCTGCAGCATGCGGGAAAGACCAGATTACGGACCCGATCTATCGTCGTCACTACGGGCGCGTTGAAAAGACTCTCGGGCGGAGGGTGCCTCCAGTTTTTGTTCTCTGCAGTGAACTCGAGTCCTGTAAGATGACCTAGGACAGCAGTCATGGTCACGTCGCAGCCGTTCCATGGCGGGCCGAAGTCGAAGTCAAAGGCGTAGTTCTTGATGTATTGTGCGCGTGTGTTATGCTGGAACAACGTCAGTGGATTCGGAGCGAACATGATGCTTCTGTGCACTCACGACTGTTGGGTTTCGTCCAGCCAAGTGGCCAGCGACGGCCTTGGAAATCGAGGGCTTCTCGGCAACGCAAAGCACCTTCATCTTCCTTTTTTGACAAGGTCGACGCAAAAGACCAAGGACTAGACGATATCCAAGAACGGGTTTTCCAGCATCTCCCGAGTGGAACAGACGTGAGATGATGTGGGCGAGATAGCAAGTGTTATTGCCGTGGAAGAAGTAGCATATTGCCGCGACTTTGTTTTAGGGGAAGTGCAGTCACGGGGCATGCGCGTCAAGCTCTCTCCTTCTGCCTACCACTGCCGTAGTAAGACTTGTTTTCACCGCCTGCTGACCTTCAGATAAGCCCATGAGAAGGCACTCAATGCTTTCTGACAGCCCACCAAGTTTCTGCCTGTTTTTCTCGGGAAAATCGCGTCGATTTGGTTATCAAAATTTCGACGTGTGAAGTCGAAGTGAAGTTTTGTTTAGGAGGTCCAGCTCTCCGCCTAGTGCAACCCCACAGCGGGGCGGCCGCGTCCACAGGAGCTCCCCCCCGGCACCGTGATCTCAGCTTCTGGGTTGGAGGGGTGGCCTGGCGTCCAACTGGCGATCCCGTCTACGGATACCTTCCATCTGCAGGGACGGAACTAACGTAAGAATTCTTTCTGCGTTCAACTCACTGCTACGCAACCTGAAATTCCATCTCACAGATCGACACTGAATGGTCCAGACCTGGTACGGTAATACGACATGTTGAGCTTGATACGTTTTATTAGTGACTACCTCAAGAAGCTTGGGTGCTACAAGCCCGGCCTCAACGAACGGGCCATCGGTGGTTAAAATGCCCGACGACCCCTACCTCGCCTGGAATGACAACAGTGGCAGAGCTCCCAAATTATGGATCTATGACGCTTTGTTTGCACACCACCCCACGACTAGTCAGTTCAACCACCAAAGAACTTGAGCAGAAACATCACGATCTCGCGCTACGCGTTGCATACTTGAACCACGTCTGCTGCCTTCTAAGAGGCGGATTCCCTGTTCGAAACCTACTCAAAAATTTGTGTTCTAGATCTGCTCGGATAACACACAATGGCGCTTCCCGCAATCAATTCCCTCGAAGACTGCTCCGACTGGGCCAAGGCCGCAGAGCCCTTCATCCCGCAGCTACTCGACCTGCCGCGCCGAATCGCCGCGAGCCCGCAGTCCCTGCCGCAGATCTACCTCGAGACGAACCCGCTCGTTTCCGGCTTCGCCTTCTCCCTCCTCATCGGGTTCGTCGCGTTGGGAGTGTCCGAGTACCACAGGAACTACTCCCAGATCGACCGGTTATGGAGTCTCTTGCCCAACTGGTACGTCCTGCACATGGCTGCCTGGGCGCACCTGAACGGGGTACCGTCACACCGATTGATGTTGGCTGGAGTCGCGACAACTCTCTGGAGCGTGAGTGAACCTCGGACTATTGAGATTCGGGGACAACGGAAGCTGACGCAGTTCATCTAGGCGCGACTGACCTTCAACTACTGGCGCAAGGGCGGATATGAACGTGGCAGCGAGGATTACCGATGGTACACCTGTCCAATTGTCCCATAACGGTCGCCCAGCTAACAAATTGCCAGGGAAATCGTCCGCAAATACGTCCCAGCATTCGTATTCTTCGTCTTCAACGTGACCTTCATCTCGTTCATCCAGTCCATTCTCCTCTTCGCCTTCTCTGCCGCCCCGGCCTACTCCCTCCTCCTCGCCAGTCGTATTGAGCCCGGGATCTCCGCCGCCGACTGGTCCTTCTTCTCTATCATCGTCGGCCTTGTCGTCAGCGAGTACATTTCCGACGGCCAGCAGTGGGACTACCAGACCGCGAAGCACGCCTACATGAAGGACTCTAAGGTGCCTCGTGGATGGGCGCAGGGAGACCTTGACCGCGGGTTCGTGACAAACGGCCTGTGGGCGTACAGCCGTCACCCCAACTTTTTCGCTGAGCAGATGATCTGGTTCGTGCTGTACCAGTGGAGCTGCTACGCGACCAAGGTGCTCTACAGCTACACCTTCGCCGGTTCTGCGTTCTTGATTATGCTGTTCCAGGGCTCGACTTGGCTCACGGAGCTGATTACTTCTGGCAAGTACGCCGAGTACAGCGAGTACCAGAAGCAGGTTGGCATGTTCATGCCCACGTCACTCTTTGGCTACCGCAAGCCGCAGCCCAAGGTTATCAGGACAAGCGAGTTGGCGAAGAAGCAGACAAAGAAGGAGAGGTAGAGTTGTTCAGCGTACACAGCTGGCAACAGAAAATTCCATAAATGAGACCGACAAGAGGTGCTACCGAGTCGCGTAGACTAGAGCCGACGCATCTGTGTATATTCTACGGTATCCTTCTACTTCTAGGTGTCTGTACGGGGTTCTAGGTGTTCGTACGAGGTTTCTAGCGTCTATCCGTCATGACATAGAACATAATTCACAATCCAATGACACGCTTATGCTTCGAGGTTCAAACTGGCGAGGCTGTCGACATAGTACGCCGGCACAGCTGCCGCGCCCTCCTTCTCCCAGTCTTCCTTGTTGTGCACGCCGGTCAACACGGCCAGCGTGCCGCCCAGCTTGCCCTCCTTACCGAACTTGATGTCGGTGTCGAGGCGGTCGCCGATCATGCACGTCCGCTCGCGGTTGAGCTGGAACTTGCCCTCGACGGCGTCCATCATGGCCTGCGACGGCTTGCCGAGCGCGATCGGCTGCTGCTGGCTCATGTTGATCAGCGGGATCGAGATGGAGCCGGCGCCGGGGAAGAAGGTGTGGGACATGGGCAGCGTGCTGTCCGTGTTGGTCGCCAGGAAGACGGCGCCGCGGCGGAGGTACTGGTAGCCGAGCGAGAGCTTCAGGTAGTTGATGTGGAAGTCGAGGCCGGCCAGGACGACGCCGACCTCGGGGTCTAGGAGGGAGCCGTCGGCGATGCCGGCGAAGTCCTCCGGGGAGATGTCGCGGCGGAGGGCGGGGTCGGTGCCGCCGATGAAGTCGACGCCCTCGGCGCGCAGCTCCGCCTCGATGCCCGCCTCGCCGATGACGAAGACCTTGCGCTTGTCGGCGGGCAGGTCGAGGATGCGGGAGATGTAGACGGCGGAGGAGTAGGCGGAGCCGAAGATATCCTCGACGTCGGAGGGGATGTCGAGGGCGGTGAGCTTCTTGCGGTAGTCGGGCCGGGACTTTGTCGAGTTGTTTGTCACGAAAACGGTTCTCTTGCCTGTTGTCCGGGGAAACGTGGAAACACAGAGGTTAGGGGACGTTTTCACGATTACGAGGGTGAGGTTACTAGGAGTTGTGAGAAATGTGGTGAGCAACCTTTTGAGCGCAGGAAGGCGAGGGTCTCGCGGATGCCGTCAAACAGATGGTCTCCGGACCAGAGAACGCCTGTGGTTGCGTTAGCCTTCCTTTGAAATTTGAGCCGGGGTGGTGGGATCGATCACCATCGCAATCAATGAGAAAGACCTGCGGCGCAAGAACGTCTCACAATCAGCTTCTCATCGAGGGGCATGTTTTGTACGGTTCGGGATGTAAAAATGACTCAACGGGTGGGGGGAAGGAGATGGCGCACGTCAAACTTGTCGAGGAATTCTTGGACCGCGGCGGGGTCGCCGGTGAGGTACTTTGGTTGAGACATCGTGAGTTTTTCGAGCGTGGTGTTTTCAACAGAAGTGGCAGAACGAATACGATGGGTGCTGGAGTGAGTTTTGGGCAAGGGTGGTTCAGGTATGGCGCGCAGACGGGATGACGATGAGTGGACGGCGGAGGTGAGAGTGAGGTCGGACGGCCATCGTCCGATTGGTCGGCTCGCACGCTGTGGCTGCCGAGATACGGGGCGGCGGGTGCGGCATGAGATTATCGAAACCTGGGGAGGAAGAGTGAGACAGAGCGGTCTCGGGGCAGACAAGAGCGAGAACATCGTTTGGGATGCGACGGGCTAGACCTCATGCTACTTCCACGGGTGGAAGAACGTAAAAAAACCTGGGGTATGAACTGAGGGCCTGTATTTGTTGGCGGTTAGAAACTTTGATGACGGGATAAGTAAGGTGGGCCTTCGATCTGGTGCTTGTTTCCCCAGGTTCAGTGAAGCCAAGACATCGTCGTGAGAAGGAGCCCCTCGTATGCATTCATCAGGCTCAGCTGCTGAGAATACGGTTGGCATTCACGGTATGCACCTCGCAGCTGCGAAACCGGCCGTCAAAATCTTGTCTGTGGCTTGCCTGCATTCCTTCCCGCGATGGAGTCCCCAGCTCTATGGCACCCGTTGTCCAAAACCACCTCAGTCAACAAACAAGCAAAACGCCTGATCCAGAACAGCTAAGGAATGCGATTTGACCCAATTTATCCTCTCGCTATTCTCAAAAGCGACAGAGAAATTGTATCTTGTCGCCGCACATTCAACAATCTTGTCTCCTTGTCAAATCTCAGCCAAGAATATCTTGGAACGGAATGCAACGCCATGCCACTCATCACATCCGCGGGGGTCACGGCCCCACGCCGGAAAAGAGATTAGAAGACCGAAGCGACAGCGGTCCGGCTGCGGAGTTTCCTCAATGATTGATCTCTTACACGCAGGCTCTCATTACCAAATCATTCGCCTAACGGATTTCCCTACTATGTTCCATGCATTGGTAATCCTGCTAATATGATCTAGTGTAGTCAACGCAGTAATTGAGAATTGACCAGACAAATGACGTCAGAAGGGACCAATGCATGAATCGTTAAGCCGCCCGGGTTGCCGGAGTGGCGCAAGGCGAATGAACGAATTTCCATATGCGTTCTCTTTTTTTGGGGATCCATCAACCGTAAATACGGTTGGCGGCAACTGACGTAAAGTTCCTTCAAGCATCATGTAGGGACCTAGCGCGATGCCGTAGAAGCCCCGAGGAATCCGGGCTGGGGGTTGTGGAAGAGCGCGTCGATCAGCGGCACATCGAAAGTAAGCTTAGCCCCGCGAGCGACCCTGAAAGAAAAAGGACCCTGAATTGGCAATATGGATCCCCCCTTTTCTTTTCTTCTTCGCCTTTCGGTGTCGCGGATCTCATTAGTTGGATTGGATTGCTCATCACTTGCGGCTCTGCCGTCCGCAACGTGACGACGTCGCATTAGCTCCGGCGGGCGGCGTCGTATTTTTCATCGGTAATCATAATTTGTCCATGGATCCTTGAGGAATTTCGACACCGGAGATAAGAATAGTGCCGGTCTGCTGAATAAGTTTGTCCCGTTGTCCCCTAACTGCGCGAGGCCGACCGCGGCCATCCATCCCCCTTCATGCCGTCCGTCCACGGGTCAGTCAACCTCGGCGGTGAAGAAGGTCAAGCTGTAGATGACCACCTCACCGCTCGCGCTGTGTTTCACCGACAAGCAGGCCCCCTGGTGGAATGGAGCGTGGGGGAGACATGCCAAACCTCTCAAGATGGAAAGGAGGATGTCAGGGACCCTTCCGGGGAAACAAGACACCATTGACAAAAGCACGGGGCACCAAGGTTGGAACGTTTTGTGGTCGAGGTGAAGAGTCTAGACATCTTGGATGGTACCTTCGAGAGGTAGACACCGCACCTGCCCGTTGTGTCGTGGCCGCTCTTTCCGAAAACACAAATCCGTCCTGACGGACTTTGGCCGGTGAATGGACTTTTTTTTTTTTCACTTCACCTTTTGAATTTTTCTTTTCTGCGGTACGGTGCGTTTGCTTCCACTGCTATTATAAATTAAATCGCCTTCTTCCCTTTTTCCATTCTTCCTTTCGCCACAACTCCGTCCCGTCTTTCACGATACGACGAAAGAAAAAGAAGAATCTCGCCATCCATCCTCGCGTCGGATACGATCAACCTTTCTGGGCGTCGACTATTTAATTCTTAATATCCCACCTTCATCACGTCACTTGCTCCCACACGAGGCACACGACCTTGACACACCACCGATTCGCAACAAAAATAACACTCGGCTTACCTGTCGGGTCTCGGTCCCCATACTTTCGTTCTACCTTGGTCCCTGCAACTCCCCCATCCCAACGAACCGGCCCTGACTCTTTTTGCCCACGCATCCCCACCGTCAAACACGATACCGGACCGTCTCATCAATATTGGGACCGAAAAAAGCCAAATACTCCACTCGCTCTTCCGTACATTAATCAACCATGGCCCCCATCACCCTCACTGAGGACCAGCTCCAAAGCTTGCGCTCTCTTCCTGCCAACGACTACACCATGGCCTCTTCCCAAGCTGCCGCGCCTAACAGCGCCGGCCAGACCCCTGTCACCGCTTCCACCGACGTTTCTCAGACCGATTACTTCGGCCCTTCCTCTCAGAGCTCCGCGACCAACTCCTCGCGCACCTCCGCCGAGATCCAGCGCCCTGCCGTCACCAGCGCTCCGGTGAAGCCCAAGGCCGCCAACCCTCTCCCGCCTCTGTCGCGCGACTTCCCCAAGCCCACCGAGGAAATCGACGTCGCCGAGGCCCTTTCTCGCAAGCCCGGCCGCTGGAGCATCCAGGGCACCATCACTGCCAAGAACGCCCGCGTCTTCCCGCCTGTCGACGAGGAGAAGGAGAAGGCCAAGCGCCAGCAGAATCTCGCCGATGTCAAGAAGAGCCTGTTTGCCGCCAAGGACTCCCTCAAGGACATCCCCATGCCTGCTCCCAAGAACAACTTCTAAACGACACCCGCGCCACCTCGACAAAGTCAAGCACACGGAAAACCCGAACAAACTTTTTTGCTGTTTTTGCTTTTGCACACTTCAACACCCGGCTGTCTTCGGCATGCGATCGGACGCACCTCGGGCGTTGAAGCACGATACCCACGGTTAGATCGGAGAGAAGGAAAAGGGGGGATGGGACGGGACGAAAGCGATTGATTCGGCGGGGCAGACGGCTACTGTCGCGACGCACAGTAGCGAACTGTCACGGCACCAAAAGGCGTTTCATTTGGGGAAAAAAGCTTCTAATCATTGTCCATTTGGTCAAAAAGCCGCGAGAGTTTTGAAGCCATTGCGAACTTTGCAATATTGTACATAGTGCATGCTGAGTATGACCCACTACTACATGGGTCGTCAGCCTAATAAGAACACGATTGACCTACACTACTTCTACAGAAACGTGCTTGCACTTAATCGAGACGTGATGCAAGGGAGAAGCTGTAAGCCACCATCGCGACAAACCCGGCGAGGTTGACGATTGTCGAGACACCGTGCAGCTTGCCGAAGGACTTGTTCAGAGCCAACATCTCCTGCGAGTGAGGCGGCTTGTCGTAGCTCTTCTTTCCATCCTTCTTCTCTGCGGGGAGCGTCAGCCATCATAATTGGGATAAAGCGGACCCGCCCGCATCATCGGACCAAAATACCTTGAGCGTATCTAGCTTTCATGACCTTCTGCGTCTTAGGCAGGATCACCACCAGGTTCGCCAAGCCGGTGACGAACATGGTGGCGATGGGCAGCAGCGCGCTGTACCGGTTCGACTCGTTCAGGAGACCGCCGATGCCGCCCTCCCGCGCGCCGAACGGGCTGCCGCTCCCGGGGAAGGTCAGGGCCATGACGGCGGGGAGGGCCGTCTGGATGGTGAAGTAGACGGGGAAGAGGGCGTTCTGCGCGGTCGAGAAGGCCGGGCGTTCGAGGACGCGGAACATGGTGATGCCATTCACAAAGGACTTTTGAAGCGGTTAGCTACACTCCCTTTGCGGGACGCCCTCCGTGGCGACGACATACGTGGAAGAAGGTCGTTCCCAGAAGGGTGCCGTATCTAGGTGCAGCCAAGCAACGTTAGGTATCGATGACGAATGGTCTGATGAGACGCCGCACGTCTCGACGGGACTGGTGTTCTTACGAGATGATGTGGTACGGCGCCGGGGAGAAGGCGATGGAGTCAGGCATGTTGGGCGAGATTGGCAGCTTCCACGGTCAGTTAGATGTGCGGGTTGGTGATACAGGCAACTGATGAGTTGAGGTTGAAAGTTGAAGCACATGCGGCGACTTGCAGGATGGAGAGGTGCCATCTGGAACACTGAGGAGACAGGGGTTTGAATGGATGAGGTCACCTCGGCAGTGGACTCCAGTGGTGCAGAGCTAAGGTATTAGAGCTCCAATCCCAGCACACCGTTTACTCATAAACCTTGCCTCACGGCTTTTGGGAACTCCCTGAGAATTTACTCGACGATGTTGAAGCCGCGAAGCTCAAATGATTGACTTAGCGAATCGTTGACGGCAGTGAACAGATCTACAGCTGCGATGACACTGAACGACGCTGACAGCTAACAGCAGCAGGCGCTGTAAGCTGTGGCCGCCAGAACTCACCGTCGTGTTCTTATCGTTATCACCACGTGATCGCGTGCCTAACACCTGCGACCAAACGCGCTCGGGTCGCGCAGCAGCCTGGAGCTCAGGATGGACCTCATCTGCCTAAAGTGAACCGGGGTTTCCAGAACCAACACCACGGCCGTCATTTATACCCAATTCCCATTACTTTGCATTTCTAGTTTTCGCACTTCTAATTTCTTGCTTCTGATGTTTAATTCTTGAAAACAAAAAGGTCTACCCGCTCATCAGAATCACAATGGCCGACAAGGAGGCGTCAGTCTACATCGTCGACCTCGGCGCAAACATGGCCGACTGCCACAACGGCCGCGCCGAGTCGGATCTCGACTGGAGCATGCGCTACGTCTGGGACAAGATCTCCACCACCGTCGCCGCCTCGCGTAAGACCTGGACCGTCGGTGTCGTGGGTCTGAAGACGGACGAGACACGCAGCGCCATGCAAGATGACGAAGGTTACGAGAACATATCTGTCCTGCAGGAATTGGGCCCCATGACCATGTCCTCTCTCAGGGAACTCAAGGAGGAGATCAAGACGAGCGACACAGACAACGGCGACGCGATGTCGGCGGTGGTGGTCGCCATCGACATGATTCAGACCTTTACCAAGAAGCTCAAGTATAAGCGCCGGGTGTACCTCATCACGGATGGGCTCGCTCCGATTGATGAGGACGATATCGATGCCATTGCGAAGAAGATGAACGGCGACGGTATTGAGTTGATTGTGCTGTGGGTCCCATCACTTACCACCATAAGGAGGTGCTTACACTAACAAATCCAGGGGCGTTGACTTTGACGATGCAGAGTATGGCTTTAAGGAGGAGGACAAACCTTCTGTCAAGGTATATCCTCTCTCTCAAGACAAATGACAAATGGCTAATAAATTGTTAGAGGAAAAACGAGGAAATCCTCAAAGACCTCGTCTCAAAATGCGACAATGGCCAATTCGCGACAATTGCTGAAGCCATCGACGAGCTCGACACCCCACGCCTCAAGGCTACCCGTCCGTACAAGTGCTACGACGGGCCCCTGACCCTCGGCCACGCCGATCCGCCGCCTGAGCTCAAGATCCCTCCGACCCCAGTCATCATCAATGTCGAGCGCTACTTCAAGACCAAGCTCGCGCGGGCGCCCACCGCCAGCACGGTTGTCGTTTCGGCCGACCCCTCGTCGCAATCGCAGTCGACGCACACCATGGAACCCGAGCCCATGGAGGGCGTCGAGTCGGCAGCGGGCTTCGCGGCTGTGAGGTCCGCGAGGACGTATAAGGTCAACGACCCCTCCGCGCCTGGCGGGAAGAAGGACGTTGAGTTTGATGCTCTTGCTAAGGGCTACGAGTACGGTCGCACGGCGGTGGCTATCAGTGAGTCGGAGTGGAACGTGACCAAGCTCGAGACGGTGAAGACTTTCACCATCATCGGATTCATACCATGCGAAAAGGTACGAACCCATAACTTCCGCCGCCATCGGTGTACTGACCATTGCGCAGTATGAACCATTCCTCAACATGGGCGAGACCTGCGTAACAGTAGGCCGCAAGTGGGACGAAAAGTCACAACTCGCCCTCTCGTCCCTGATTCACGCCCTTTACGAACTCGAGTCCTACGCAGTCGCCCGTATCGTCCTGAAAGAGAAGAAGGATCCTCTGCTCGTCCTCCTCGCACCACGTATCGAGCCCGACATGGAGTGCCTCTACGACGTGCCTCTCCCTTTCGCCGAGGACGTCCGGGGTTACCAGTTCCCGCCCCTCGACCGCGTCATCACCGTCAGCGGTCAAAAGATCACCACAAACCACCGTCTTCTCCCCAGCGACGAGCTTACGGACGCCATGAGCGATTACGTCGATGCAATGGACCTTGGTACCTTTGGCAACGATGACGAGGGGTAAAATCTCTCCTCCAACTTTCGTACACCCGTGACTGACCCAGACACAGAAACCCCGCCGAATACGCAGCGATCGAGGACACCTACAACCCAATCATCCACAGACTCAACCAGGCAGTTCGCCAACGCGCCGTGAACCCCGAGGGCCAAATCGACCCGGTACCGCCCATCCTCGTCCGCTACGCAGCGCCCCCCGAAGCCCTCGCCCAGAAATCCGCCTCCGAGATTGAAGCCCTCATCTCGGCGGCGGACGTCAAGAAGGTGCCCCCCAAGGCGAAGGGCAAGCGCAACCGCGAGACGATGAAGCCCCTCTCGGGCCTCGACGTCGACGCCCTCCTCGGGACAGCGCCCAAGCGCGCCAAGATCTCCCCCGAGAACGCCGTCCCCGAGTTCAAGCGCGCCCTCGCCACCGCCGAGGAGGTCGCTGAGATCAAGGACGCTGCGTCGCAGATGGGCGCTATCGTGCGCTCGCTCGTCACGGACAGCTTCGGGGACGCGAACTACGCGCGCGCCGCGGAAAACCTGGGCGTCGTGCGCGAGGGGCTCGTCGACCTAGAGGAGCCCGGTATCTACAACGACTTCGTGAGGGATCTGAAGAAGAAGATGCTCTCTGGGGAACTGGGCGGAGACCGGAGGGAGATGTGGTGGAAGATACGGACGGCGAGGCTGGGCTTGATCGACCAAGCCACTTCAGAGGTGTCGAGCGTCACTGCCGAAGAAGCAGATGAGTTTTTAAAGTCAAAACAATGAGCGAGCGGGCGTTGTATTTTCAATGATTGCATTGATTCTGTAGAATCCAAACGGATACGTACTTCTACGGCCTCGTACTACTCGTTCGCCGCGTCAATTCCAGGCTATCCACCAGCTAAAGTCCAGCAGCGTTCCGCTTCATCCAAGCCTCCACTGATCGTCAAACCACAAATTCCACGCGGCTAGACCGTCACTCAAGAAGCAATCACTTTGTTCTCAGCACTGCCCTCCTGCTCATCCATCTTAGCGCGGACAGCAAGACCGAGTAGGGCACGCATGGTGTACGCGGCGTCGTTGCCCGCGTTGTGTAGGTTCTTGGACGGAATCTCGAGATCCTGCAGCACGAAGCCGAGGCCGCGACCCTGCTCACCCTTGCGCCAGGCCTGGTGCATGTCCTTGGTGTCGAGGCAGCGCATCATGCCGCCGACGGTCCAGGGGTGCACGTCCATGCCGGCCATGTAGGTGAGGTCGGAGTTGATGTCGTGGCCGACGAGGACGATGTTGCGGAAGCCCTTCTCCTTATCAGCGACACCAGATTCGGAAAGCTCGTCGAAGGCGGCTAGAATGTTCGCTCGGAGCTCAGTGACCGGGGGATACTCGCTCTCACTGCCAACTTGTTAGTAAATTTACTCTGATGGTGGTTTGGTATGAGTATGAATCTTTCTCACCCAAAGTCGAAGAGCTCGGGGCAGCCCTTGATGTACTTCTTGTTCCGCATGTACTTGTAGTCGTTCGTGATGAGGTGGCGGCTCTTGATGTAAGGGAACCAGTTGCGACCAGTCTCACCAGGCGCAATTCCGGCAATGTCTCTGGTGTTAAGGGTGGACATGCCGACCTCCAAGATGGTGCCATGATGCTCTTCAGCGACTTCGATGTCGATGCACATGAAAATGACGTCCTTGTTGAGCGCATGGGGAACCGGTTCCTCAAGCACAACCTTCTTGTCCTTTTCCTCAACGACGCTAGCCAGCGGGCGAAGGCCAAGGTACAGCTGGGCATCATAGACCGACTCGTCGCGATTCTGCACCTTCTCTTGCTTTCTCTTCTTGTTCTTGCTCTTGACCTGGTCGTCCTTGCTGTGAGCGCTGAGGTTGGCCAGGAGGAATTCCATGCCGTGAACGGTCGCATCCCCGCAAGAGTCCTCTTCGGTGGGAGGAGGAATCGCGTCTTGGAGTGCCTTATACTCGTTGTGAGTGGAAGAACGGCCAACGTACTTGGGACGGATGGTGCAGGTGGAGCCGAAGACGAGGTTGAATTTCTCGCTGGGCTTGCCAGGAGGAACGGTCAGCTTTGTCTGGACGGAGGCGTTGATGATGTCGAGGAAGTGCTCGAGCTGCTCGGTGGGGACGAAGATGAACGGGGCCTGATCGAGGGCCTTGGGATGGTAGACGTAGAAGCTGGGAAGAGTCAGTTCATGGGCAAGCGGAAGGATCATTCGGGGTCCTCACAAGTCCCAGGTGAACTCGTCGGTCATGTTCTTGAAGAACGGCATGCACTACTGCGCATCAGTAAACTACTTCACTGCGACGTGAGGGCAACACACCTTGGGCCGGTTGGTCTTTCCAATGTAGTTCATGGGGTACCGCTTGATCAGGTCCCAAGCCACGAACTTTTCGTTCTCTCCGGACCAGTCGCCCGCCTTCATCGTCTCGTACTTCGGGAAGGTCTTCATGATGAGGTTGTTGTACTCGTCGGTTGACAGCTTCGCAGATTGAGAAGGAACATAGACCGGGCGCGAATGGTCGGTCTTGCCAGATGAAGCCGCCGCTCTAGGGTCCTTGCCCTGTTTGGCTGCCTTGATAGCTGCGTTCTGGCGATCGAGTGCGAGGGGATCGAGGGTGATGCGATCGATAACGCCGTTAATAACCTCAGCGTCAGTGGGGTAGACAGGTTTCTCGAAGCGGAATCCCTCGCCCAGAATCTCCTTCATAAGATCGATCAGCTGGTCTGAGGTCAAGTCGAGATCCCGGAGGGGCTCGTTGGTGATAAATTCGCTGTTCATCTTGGGGTCAGTTGTGGTTGCGAAGTTGGAGGAGAGGTAAATTGTTGTGAGATGAAGTTGAAGTGAAAGATGAATTGCAATCAAGTTGGATGGATCTTACAAAGAATAGTTGAATAGGCACGATCAAAATATTGTCTCGGATACTTGCAGTGGCGAGAAGTTGGGGGAGGGTCGAAGCCTGAAAGGAGCCCGCCTATATAGGCAGGATGAAGTTGACGATCGACTCGATCAGTAAAGAAGGAACGAGATCTGGCAGTTCCTTCCTAAGCCTTCAAGACTTCAGACCTACGGCTGCATCAGATTTTATGCAGAAGATGCAGGCGCTGGCGACAACAAAGATGACACTGCCTTAAAGAAGATGGGCACATGCACATTAAGTCGGCCAGAAAGCCGAAGCAGAAAGAACATCAGCTGCGAGGTCGCGTGTATACACCGGACCTCAGCCATGCAGGCCAATGGCAGCTGTCTTCGTCTAAGAATCGTCCCGTCTAAAATTGATCATTACCCTCGGCGTTTGTCTTCTTGTAGACGACATTGCGTAAGTAAGTTCGTCAAAAAAGGTGTCGAGAAGAGCTCAAAATGGCTTCGCGAGCTGGAAGACGTCCAAAATCAAGGCCAAAAAATCAAAACCGAGTGGCAAAAGGCACAATCGAACCTTTGAGCTACAACGAGAGAGTAAACATGGCCAGGGTTTGGGAGGCCTGGAAGCCGAACCTGTTCAACTACACCACTTTCCCCTCTCGCTGATGGCAATAAAGAGACGCAAACCTCTACATAGGTAGATCCTACTCTCAGGAGAGGGGTGGGGGCACGCATGCCCACAGGCGCTAAGCAGGCGCACTACGACATCGAAAGAACTGAAGACACTGACAAAACGGAGCCGTCTGTAAGCATGTTGCGAAAGGGTATACACTAATAGAACAACAGGACCATGGCACACATCCTTGATCCTTCCACGACGCCATACCGAGTCCAAGTGATTGTATCGTATTCATCTTCATTCATCCTACGCCTTGACACCCCTGGCGTTTACTTCGCCCTTCTCCCCAATGTTCAGTCGCACCCGGCAGTCGGGGCAGTACCATTTCGTCGTACGCGCAGGGACCTTTTCCATGCCGACGCACTGTAGATGGAACCATTCCTTTTCGCAGGTCTGCTTCTTCGGTCAGTAACAAGTAAGTTGCAGTCGCCAGATAGGGATGACTTACATCGTTGTCACACGCGATCATGTTCCCATAGCTCACTCCGTTGCAATCGCAATACCGTGGCTCGTTCGGGTCTATGGGGTTTCCCTCGTCGTCCTCCTCCAGCTCCACCTCAATCGGCTGGCCCTTCTCCTTCTTCTGAGCCCGCTTCTTTTTGGGCGCGGCTTTACGCTTGGAAGCGGCACTACTGCCTCCAGCGTTCGTCTTGCTGACAATACCGGGCGCGGGCTTCCTAGTCCTCTTACTCGGCTGTCGAAACTCCGGCGCAGGTGTGTTCCGAGCGGTACTAGTGCGTCGGGGTCGGTCGCTGGCCAGCGAGGGCTGTGGTTCTTGACTACTAGCTTTACCTCGCGAGCTGGGACGACGACCTCCTTCCGGAACGGGTGTGGTACCCGGAGTAGCTGCTCTGGATGACGATTGCTTGATTGAGGGAGCAGCTGACGACGAGCGAGTTTGAGGTGCCTGTGGCGGCGGTACAGGCAAAGAAGATTCGACTGATTGCTGGGTTTTCTTAGCCTCACCCCTTGTCTCTCTTCTCGTTGCGGGTTCGCGGACGGGAGGAATGATGGGAGTATTAGACTTCTTCGGAGACAAGACGGGTGGAGGAATAGCGGTCTCGGAAGGTGGCTTGGTTACAATATTTGCGGGGATCGGGGCGGGAGGGGACCCGGCTGGACCGGTTGGACCGGCGGGACCGACTGAACCGGTCGGTGATGAGGCCGGTGCACTTGTGTTCGCTGGCTTTGGCGCGGCAGGAGTAGCGGCAGGATTTTCCAGTCCTGGTACAGGAATCGGCACAGGTGTTGTCGTCTTAGGGGTTGCGGCAGAGCCTCCTGGTGTAAGGACTGGAGGAGGTATGGGAGTCTCGGTCAACGGCTGCGAGGTGAGATTCGCTCTGAGGTTGGGTAGCGGGACTGGAGTCTCCATCTTGCTGCGCTTTGGTGCCGGACGGGCAGCTGGTGTCTGGGCCACTTCGGGCTTCTCAGCTTCTGCCTCCGGAACTGAACCTCTCTTTCGCTTTCCATTTGGCTTTGCGCGTGACCTCGTATTTGACTTCGGGGTGGCCTTTGATTGATCATTGTTTACGACCGGTGGTACCGGCGCCTTCTCGCGGGACATCAACAGACGTGCCGCTTCTCTGAATTGCCTGGCGGATTCCTCGGCCTCCTCTGCTGCTTGCTTCGCTAGAGATTCTCGCTTCAGTTTCTTAGCCTCGTTGAGCTTCATTCCTCTGTTGCTCAACTGAATGTCGTCCGAAGCCAGGGCAGCAGCACTTATAGCACCCTCAGGAATCGGCTTGTTCTCAGATCCAGCGTCAGGGGCCAGAGCTGGAGGGACCTGGTCAAAGGTTCTGCCCTCATCCTCGGCCTTCTTTTTCGCCTCCTTGTAGGCATCAATGCCACGGCCAAGCGTCTTAAGCTCTCTCAGTATCATTGTGTCGCTAGGGTTCCAAGTAGCATTCTTTTTCATGCGCTTCCTCAGCCGAGCCAGCTCCCAAGGCGTCAGCTGCAGCCAAGGAGCGTCCGTACTTCCTATGACGGCGTTCTCCGGCGGAGGCTGCAGCGGGACAGAGGGCGTAGCTGCTGTCGCGGGCGTTGCAGCTGCTTTGGGTGGTCTCGCTGAGGAGGACGGCTTGGGTGTCTTTGGGGGTCTCGCTGAAGCCTTCGGCGTCTTGACAACTTTGATCCTCGGCGCCGGCGTTCCGGTGCGGCCAGGCGTCCGTCCGGGAAGAGACTCGTCATCATCCTCTTCGGAGCTCTCATCGCTGTCGTCCGAGTATGCAATGAACTGATCAAATGGAGGGAGCACCTCGCCAGGAACGGTAATCCTGGGTATACGCGGCCGTCGCACCTTTTCTCCGTCGCCGTTCCTCGGCATCTTTGGCGCCCTGACGAGCTGCGGGGATTTGGATGTCGCGACGGGGCTCTTTTGTTCTTCCGTAGGATAGTTATCCATCATCGTCTTCAGCTTCGCCAGTATCGTCTTTGCGCGATTATAGTGTCGGTTGACGTTCTCGGACATGCGCACCGCCTCAGCATGCGAGTAGACCCTGGAGCCAACCGCATGATTAAGACTGTTGGAAATGTCGGCGCGAAGCTGCACGGGAGAAGGGCGCTCCTCGGCAGGGATGCTGGGAAGCTTGCCCCAGGTGGAAGTGAGGTTGTGGACGTTGAGAGACGCTTGGCCGTAGGTCTGGTCGAGCTTGCCGATCAAGGTCAGCGATCGCATCATGTCGGAAGGGAGGTATTCGGTGAAGTCGAGGAAGTCGGTGACGGTCGCTTGAGCATCGGGGTCGGCGCGCATCTCGAGGGATTCGACGGAGTTGCTGATGGAGCCCAGCGACTGGTGGATGTCCTGCTCGACGGTGGTTTTGTTTTTGGGCGACACATCGACGTCCATGGCGTCTTCCGCGCGCTCGTCGGTGGTGGCCATCTTTGTTGCTGCAAAAAGCCTTCGGCGGCCAGAAGTTCGACGCGATTTCCACTATGAATGCATTGAAAATGCGACGGTACGTGGAGGTTGTTGGTTGAGCGGCAAAACAAGTTTGCGCAAGCTTTGGGATGAGGTCGGCTGGCGCGTTTACGAGGGGAGTCGCGACCTGTGTGGTCGGGTTTAGCTTGAGAAGCTCCCTGGCGCTAGTAGGAAATAGCGGGGCCCCTGACATCCACTGACAGATCCTTGTTGCGATGGAGATTGGCCCGTGCCTTATCGCGGAATATTCCATCTCCGTATCCGACTTGACTCCACTGTTGTCGGTCCGAGCCCCACCCAATGCCCCCGGGTCGTGGTGGGCCTTAACGCCGAGGACTCAACCAGGACATCTTCGAACTTGCTCTGTCAGGCAAAGCTCAGTTGTCATAAGATCGAAGGCCTTCGCTGTCAGAACTGCTCACGGCGAGAGTTACACTCCACGGGAACTCATTCAGTTCAATCAAACAGTTCATAACATCGCAAACGAAGTCCAACTCCATGCATTCTATTAATAGCCATCAACCCCCAAACGAACGCCATCCCACCAGCACACCAACGCCGAATGCCATGAACGATCCAGCCGCAAAACGCGCCCATCCCGGAAACCCATGTCCATCTTCCCAGTTCCCTCATCTGACGCCACCGCAGCCGCAAGCGCCAATGACCAGCAAGAAAACAAAGCCTGCCGAGCCCGTCTCCCTGGAACCCGGTGTCCTCCAACGCATGCATGTCTCAGTTCCGACGTCCACTCACTCCTTCACCTCCTCACCAATCCAAGTCTTCATCCCGGCTGATAATCGCACCCCAGATCTTCTCCTCCTCCTCGACCTGGTACCCGGAATTCGGTCCTATGATCGTAAGGGAGCCGTACAGCGTCATCTTTTTGCATTTCCTGCCTCCGTCGTCAGCATTACGAGAAGAGTCTCCTTCGTGCGTGTCCGTGTGTGTAAGTGTTACACGGAATCAACTTACAGGAAGCCATTTATCGTCGTATTCCCATATATCTCAAGTTCTTTAGCCTCACACGTCCCCGTGACCTTCAATTTGCCAAATCCCTTCACCTTGTCCCTGGGTAGTATAGTCTGATCAGCAAAGTTGCTTTCCCCAAATAAAGCAAAACCCACCTAGGTCGTCGAACACGGCTTGACTTACCCGACAGACATGTATCCAACCACATGAATGTTCCCGTACGCCTTCATCTTGCCCCTATCAACCGGCGCAAGTCCGTCAGCTCTGCTCCCAATCAAGATGTGACACCAAACCTCTCCCGAAGCAATGCAAAACCTACTGGCACGCCAAGCTCCCATTCACCTCAATAGTCCCATACGCCTCGATGTTGTCCCTGACATGAAAGTCCCCGTTGAAAGCGGCGTTGCCCCCGGACCTCACGGAGCCCGCGACCTCGATCGGTCCCTGGAGCGTGATCTCGCCCTCGCTCCTGATCGACTTGGATTTGAGGACCGTCTGTTCTGGGGGAGTGGTCCCGGACTCGGCGGTCGTCGGTGCCGTTGTGGAGGATGAAGCATAGTAGCTCCCCGTACCTTCCGGGGATCCGTCGTAAACCTCCTCGTGGTGGCCGTGAGAAACCGGTTCCTTGCCTTTTCTTGAAGATTTCCTAGATCGAGAAGACATTTGGCGTGATAAGATGAAGCCCTAGAAAGAGAAGAAGGGAAATGGTGACTTGTTGATGAAGGCAAAGCCGTTGAAAAGCCATCCATCCAAAGCTCGAGGTAAGGAAACTCCAAAGCTATATATGGAAATCAAGTCTCGACCAACAACACTCCTCTCAACCCTCTCAAATACCATCATCATAATCTATCAGCGATTTCCCATCGATAAAACAAAAAACGCCCCAGCCGTCCACCGAAAAATCCCCTTTCCCAATTCAGAACCGAAGCTGAACAGATCTCAACCTCGTCAAGGTTGCATTTCAGGCACACGACGTTCCTTAACACGGCCCAGGAACGCCTTGACCCTCCACATCCTCACTTACACCACATACCACACAGAAAGCAACCTATCTACCAAACAAAAGAAAAGGTCCAGATACCATCCTCACGAATACCGGGGACGGGGGGAGAAGATCTGCGTCGCTTCTCCGCGCAAAACTGACAGGTCGGTAAGACATGTAGCAACCCACAGCAGAAAATCATCCCGCCCTGCGTCGGGCAAAATCCCTGCCTCCCCAAGCGCTGCAGCCGCCGACTGTCGTATTGTGGTAGCAGCAGCAGCAGCAGCAGCAGCGACATCGCCAAGTTTCCCGGTTAGTCTCAGTTCATCACCAATAACCCGGGTAAGACTGCGCGAACCCCCTCCCCTCCCCGCAAAAAGAAAAGAAAGCCTAGTCAAGAAGACTTTCGGTATCCAAAACCCTTGCGCAAATCGTCTCCGATACGGTGTTCGTCGGTCAACGGGATGGGGATGGAGGGGCGGGAGGCGCAGCCTCACAAACCACCACACCTCTGCCATCTACCTCATCTGACTTGAATATGCCTCCCCCTCCCCCCTGGTTCCTCAGAGACCATGTAAGTCCGCCTCATTGAACGACAAATTAAACAACTATCCCCGGCCTCGAGGACAATCAGCCGCGCATGATGCGCGAGATATGCTATCAAATCTGCGAAACGGGTCGCCGAGATTCTTGGTCATGTTCGGTCACTCATACGAAGTTCAATGCCCCCCCACCTTTTCAGCCCTACGTCGGCTCGCCGACCACTCAACTTTGGAGGGAGAGAAAGCGCCAGAGACATTTTCCCGCTAGCGCGCTGCACCGAGCCGATCGATTCGGACTAGTCCACCCAGCTTTATTGTCCAGGCGAGGCTGACTCGGGATATCATGACCGTCATGATGTCCCCCGAAACGGCAAGATCGTAGCGACAAGCAAATCCCCCCGGCAAGCCCATCGCGGAGCGGACTTCTTGCGCGTAAAACAGGTTTCCGGGGCCAGTGACACACCGAGAGACAGGCGGGTCAGCTTTTGAACAGGTATTGAGTTGTGCATTACTCGAGACACATAAAAACAGAGAAAAGAAACAAAATGGTATACAGAAAGCTTGGGAATCGACATGGCAAGGTAGCAACACCCTTGCTTTGCACCTTGCAGTCCCCTAGTTTCAAGAAAACAGCCAGCTTCCTCTGCCCTGTACAAAGCTGCAAAAAGCAGCTCGCAGTAAACCCGCCCATGGCTGTCAAGTTGCCCATCGAACTCCTCTGAGAATCCATGAGCAGTCCCCAAGTCTGCCCCGCCAAGATGACCGTCGCCCTAGTTTACAACGCAAAGTGAGGCAAGCTCTCCCCACTCTCATGCCTGCTCACCACCTCATGCGTCTCCTCCGCCGACAAATCCGAGACCGACACCGGTAAGGAATGCAGCAACAACCCAGACACCGGAGTACGCAGCCGCGCCGTAGGATTGGACAGCGTTGATGGTCATGAACGTCTGGAGGTAGGTGTTTACACCGGTCAGGATCATAGCCACGGTGGTGCGGAAAATGACGACCTTCGCCCGCGTGGTGTAGCCCCACAGATTCCAGGCCAGCGTCTCGCCCAGCGTGGCCGTGACGGGATCAAACTCCTCCAGCTTGCCATCCTCGGCGGTCTTGCCTGTCGCAACAAACGGAGTGAAGATGAAGGTCTTTGCTGCGATACCGAAGGCGATCGTCACAGGCAGGATAGTGAAGAAAGTGGCATTGTAGGCAGGCGTAATAGTGGGCAGGCCCTGGAAGTAGACCACGAGCGTCTCAGGCAGGTACGTCTTGTACGCGACGAACAGGGAGGCACTGTATGTAATAGCCGCCATCAGAATGGTAAAGATGCTGAGCGGGATGTCGGTGAGAAGTTCGCGGTTGGCGACGTTCTTAGCGCCGGCATGCGCATCTGACAATGACCTCAGGAGACGGAAGGGCACAAAGGTAGACAGCATCTCGATGCCCAGGGCGGAGACGGCGGTCGCGGGGCTGATCTCGTAGAAGGTGGCAATAAGGTAGACCTACACAACCTCGTGTTAGCAAGCAATGCTCTTGACTCGGGCATGGGCGGAGAATCAGACATACCGGTGGGCCATGCGCGAGCAGGTTGAGCGCAGCCAGATCGTAGCTATCAAAGTTACCGAACCAACCCAGCGCAAGCTCAAATCTGTCAGAGGCCACCAAGGTCAGCAAATGCACATTCCCCAGTATCGCAAGAGAGAAACTCACATGCGCCATCCCGCCAAAGTCGCGACCTCTCCCCAGGTATCCAGGCTCTTTGAGATGCCCGCCAGCTCTCCGCGGCTCCATTCGCTCAGGAAGCTGTAGCACAAACTCGAAATGCTGAAGCTCAGCACCGTGACGAGCGGGAACTGCAGGGCAGTGGGCAGATGTGAGCGCTGTCGTCTCGGGTGCTGATGGTCGCGATCCCTCTCGCTGATCTGTTCTGTGATGTCTTCCTTTGTGATCACCTCCGTCGCGTCATTGACGACACCGAGCGCCTCGACTTTTCCATCGGGCGCCGTGGCTAGGGTCTCGAGGTTGCTTGCGACGGGCTCGACGGCGCGCGACGTGGTCTCGTCAACGTCAATGTCGATATCCTCGACGCGGCGCGGGGCTTCGGCTCTTCTTCGTAGAGTCGGCATTGTTGTTGTTATTGTTGTGATGAGAGAGCGTTTGCTGCGAGAGCTGATTAAAAGGAGTACACTTGGCGATGCGCCCGGTAAGAGGAGTCGAGGAAAAGAACAAGTCGGGCGATAGGACGATAAGAAAAGACGTCAGCCGTTTGCGACTTGCGACAAGAAGAGCTCAAAAGGTTAGAGGGGAAAAAACTGAGACCTTCCCTTCCCACCAATACGGGCTATCGTGGCCTATGATGTTGCCGAGTGGAGAATGAAAGCTGTGCCGGCGGGTAAAGGTGACGTCGCTGGGGAAACAGCAGCTAGAGGAAGGTGGTGAGAGCGACGACACTGGAATGGCCCCGCCTGGGCTGGATTACCTAAGACGTCCAGTGGGCAGACAGACGGTGCTCTCCACACCGCCGGCTCCCGAACAACCGCCGGGCTTTCTTCCAAGCTCCCCACTGTGAGCGGGTGCTCGCAAGGATCGAATTTTACTGCTCCGTTTATTCGATCCGTATTTTGCAGATTTTTTCTTCTTCGTGTTTTCTTCCTCCTGCAATATTTCATCATACCTATCGTCGACCTAGAAACATATAATACTCAGTTGCCCCCTCCAGTCTTGGGGCGACATTTCCTCCATACCGCTCACTCTCCCAGCCTCCTGCGTGCTTGCTTGGGTGCCTGCCTGTGTGATCTTCAAAGCTTGATGAGCTCACATGCAAATCTTCGCCTCCTGGAGCGAAGCTCCGGGTTTGCGTCTGCCCAGCTCAAGGTTGCTGCTGGCTTTCAGCCTGCCTACCTGCATCAGCCAACGGTTGTGGTGGAAAACAACCGCCATCGCCTTACAATCAGTCATCGTTGCCAAACATCTCCGTCATCGAGGCCACCAAGGTCACAAATTGCACATGCCAATTTTTGATCATTTTTTTTTCTCTTTATTTCATGTGCTGGCGTCAAACCGAACAAAAGAGCTGGCGGCCGTTCTTGAGGACATCGCTCGCACTCGTTTGTTTCGTAAGATGCATCCATCAGTGTGAATAGCTTTGGGTGTTCGCTCGACGCTCTCTCCGTCTCTCACTTTAACCTCGTGGAGATGCAATCTCGATCTCCTCTCCCCCACCTTCCACCGCCTTGCCTCGCGTCGCATGGCCAGACCATGATGATGCAAGATCGGGCCCTCCACTCCTTGGTGCTGAGAGATCGGTGGCGGAGCAAGAACCACCTCATTTACAGGGTTTAGTATATGGTGGTACAAAAGAAAACAGTCTCCCCTTCTCCCTCCCTTGTGGTGTCATGTACTCATATCCTCAGATATCGTCGGCATCAACGGTCGAACGCAGGAACGCTACTCTTCCATCCGCCCGAACACGCCATCGTCATCTTCGTCGCTTCGAGATCGAGATCGACGGTCAAAATCGTCGTCATCCATAACGCTGTCGCTGTCTTCCATCTTGACATCGGCGTTACGGACTTCGCCTCGGGTGAAGCTCTCGGGCTGTCTGCTAGGGAAGCTGTTGAGAAACCCGGCACTGAACCCGCCGCTGAATCCGCCGCTGAAGCCCGCGCTAGAGAACGACGCCGCTTGGTCGAGATATTGAGCGGGCACGGGAGGTACGGGAGGAGCATCGGAGGGTAGTGTGACCTTGCGCCCGTTGTTGCTGTTGAAACTGCAACTAAGGAGCTCGACAGCAGCGGCAAGATCCCGGTCTTCTTGACCGGTAGCATTTCTTCCCGACGACGGCGGACGCTGGTCTTGGCTGTTCTGGCGGAAGTGGGAAGAGAAGCCAGACTCGCGGGGCATGCTGCCCGTTACGAGAGGGTTGGTGGAGGGTGCCGACTGATATGACCGACCGAAACCGCTTGCAGAACCGTAGCTTTTCGCAAACGATCGATCCGACGAACCGAATCCTTCCAACTGAGGCGGAGGAGTGGTATCAGCAGAGCTGTGTCTCTCGTCTGAATATCCGGATGCTGCCGGGGAGGCAGATTCTTGGTCACTTGGGAAGTCTTTGGCAGAATCCGGCGGGGTGGCAGCGTCGGCCTCGTCTTTGCCAGTGTTCATTGCCAGCAGAACAGAGGCAGCCTCGAGGAGCTGAACCTGCTGGTGCTTGGAGATAAGCAGCTTGGAGGTCAGAGACCACTCGGGAGTGTGTTCCCACCTGGCCAGAAATGAGTCAACAAATCGCTCGATTACCGTGTCATGTTGATCGAGACGGGTCCAGCAATCGTATCGAAAGCTCATGCCAGGAACTGTAGGTTGGGGATGCGGGGGCTGGGGAAGGGAACGAACAAATGCTTGGTCAGGCAACTGCTGTGCTTGTATCCCTTTCCGCACGTCTCGCACTTGAGCTCGATGCGATTGAACTTCCTGCTGCCCTCCTTGACAAGGGGCTGCCCGTCACTGGCGCGACGGATGCGAGCCTTTTGCGAATTGTTGTCGCCCTCGTCGCCGGACGCGTTGTTCGGTTCGTCTTCGATGGCGCTCTCGTGGACGTCCATCTTGCCGTCCAAGTGGAACTTTTGCATTGGCAAGCTCGCAGGAGGAGACGGTAGACTCCCGACGATGGCGGCGCGGGCAGCAGCGCTCTTGGACGCCGTGTTCCGACGTGAGCTCACGGCAATGGGCACAACCTTATCTCCTCCAGCTTCTTGAATGGCCGCTGCCAAGGCCGCCGTGTTCGCCGCGGTATTTGTCATGGATTTCCGGCGGGTGACACGATGGTTGGCATTGAGAGCGCCGCTCAAGAAGGAGTGCGAGTTGTTACGGGAGTGGGATTGTCGTGTGGTAAGTCCAGTAGAAGAGGCAGACGAGAGGGACGGACGGTGTTGGTTCAATGGCCTCGTAGTCTGCTGCATTTCCTGAAGATAGACGAGGAGTGATCAGCACGAGTGACTGGGTTGCGGATGCGTGATGAGAGCGAGCTAGGCAGGGCAGGGCATGGGTTTGAATCCCGAGGTCGGGCATACTTTTGAGGAAGCCATTGCCAACTACCGATGCTGGTCAGGTTCGACGCTTACGGTCGAACACTTTTGTTACTCGCAAGATGTCGTAGAAGCGTAGTCGTTGGGTGAAGGCGGGTGTATCTTCGTGGTGTTGTTGGACGGTGGTAAAGGAGTAGGCAGGTGATGAGTGAGTCGCAAAGACAAGCCTCCGGGCGCAAGAAATAATATTATTTTGGGGAGGAGCAGCAATTCGGGCAGGGGTGTGTCTGTGGGTGGGTGTGCCTAGTAGGTAGGTGTAGGTGAGCTGGGCCAGCCGACAGCATGTGGTGGGAGAACTGGGTAGCGGTGGTACTGGTCGTGGTCGTAGTGGTGGTATTGAACGGTTCAGGGTGTCTTGTGTCTTGGGGTTAGTCGACCGATGATCAACTGGGCTGTCGAGGTCCAGGCCGGCTTCAACTTTTTTTTGCTCCTGTGCTGATATTCCGAGTTGCTTTGTTTTGTATGGACGGGAGCTGAGTTAGAAGAAAAGTTGTGGGCTCGAGACGGAGGACGTTTAGAAGAGGGACCCAAAAAGTCCAACGATGGGCGAAACGGACCAGACAGCCCTTTCCAAGTTGCCAGAATGAAAGAGAAGCGCTGGTCGGGGACGAGCATCTGTCTTCATTGGCTGTTATCCCAAATACGCCGCTAGGATGAAGGTGCCAGAAGGAGGGATGGATGGGAGGGGCTCTCTCTCTCTCTCTTCCTGCCGTCTGTCTGTTGCTCACGACACTCCCTCCCACCTGTATTCCTCGCCTTCCGTCGCCGTACTGTGCTCTGTACCGCCGCCAGACAGCGAAAGAGGAGAGAGGGTGGATGGTCGTGGTGGTGGACTGGGGCCGGGGGTGGGCCATGTAAAGGGGGGGTAGGAAGTGTCGACTGGCTGGCCTGGCCCGTGGTGAAGGTACATGTCTTTGCGGCAAGAGGGTGAGGAAGGGCGTGTATTCCACAGTGTGGTGAAGTAAGGTAACCTGGAAGGTACTGAAGTACAAGAAGCCAGGCCTGGACAGCTAGCACCACGCACTCGTTCCGGTGGTGGGTAGTGGACGACGACGCTGTGGACAGTGGACGGGCGCCAGGAACAAGGAGCATGGGGCATGGCCCGTAGTCTGTCCTTGTCCCTCCCCGGCCTCTCTTTTTGCCCTGGCACCTGGTCGAGCGATGGTCGGCCTCCCGAGCGATACTGCGTGTCCGTAAGGCGCCGGTGCGGCGGGGAAAGGTCACTCGGGGAGGGGTGAGTCGAGGAATTCTGATGAAGCCAGTCCTCATTCAGCGCCAGTCCAGTCGTCCCTGTCCTGTCCCCGGTTCAGTCCAGCCAGATCCATCAACCAATCCTGGGTGGTTTAGCGTGTCTGAGTTGGACGTCGTAAATAGCAATTTTATGTCCGGCAGATTGAACTGCTCATGTTTCTCGATGCTTTGCTGAAGAAGGCATCGTAAAAGTAGAGCGTCTTGAGAGAACTCGCGGATGTCGGCGGTAAGAGGAACAGACCTGACTGAACTGGTTGGATGTTGTTGTACTATGTAGAGACCAAACCACAGAGCCACGGCCAGCGCAAAGCCAAAGGTAATGAAGTATCCCAGCAAAGGACCGGCGTTCTTTGTTGGTATGGTGCCTCGTTCGTCTCACACCAAAGGTGGTGGACTCGTGCCTTGGTCTCGCCGGACGAGGGTGGCTTAATTTGGCTCGGGTGCCTTTTGCTGGTCCCCCGTCGTCTCGTCGTCTGAAGTGAGAAATGTCGGATTCTCGATAGCCTTGTCCAGAAGTACTCGTCTGCTTTTCTTCACCTCTCTTCTGTGGTGTTCACCAGGGGACGAAGTGGAATGATTGGAACAATGGGCTCAGGAAATGCCATGTCTCGCTCGAAGCGAGAGTGTCGACTGAGTGGCATGTTTCGGCGACCGCCAGATGGTTAGCTGGGTTGCACCCCACGAGAGTTTCTTTCCCCTGGCGTGACAGCTCCATCGGGTACCCGTACGTGTTTCCGTCTCGAGCTCAACCGGAAGTCCATCCTCTGCTCCCGGGCGTGGCAACTGGAGCATTGGAGCACTGGTCGCCTCGCCTCCGTTTGTTAATTAAATGGAGAAGTGGCTCCTTCTTGGGACAGGAACGAGAGAGAGTTAGAGGTCGCGGGGAGGAACGCAGTAGCTTTGCTGTGTTTTGGTTTCGATGCTTTGCCATCATGCCATGCCATGCCATGCCATGTCCTGGCTATGCGTCTTGTGCTGTGCGAGCTTCAAGGTTGTGAGCTGTGTGAGCTGTGCGCAATGCGCTGTGTTGTGCTGTGCCATGGGCGAATGAGGGGTTGATGTCGGCACGCCAGACAGGAAGCTTGGGGAAGGTGAAAAAAGAAAGTGCTGCGTGTCTGCAAAGTATTGAAACTCGGGGTAGATGATGTGCAGAAGTGCTTCTTCAATTGCCGTGTGCCTTGACTTCCCTAATGAAGTTGATATTTCCTGCTGTCGTCAACCACTAGCAATTGCAGTCGCTCCTGCAACCTGTTGCATATCAGTCAATCGAGTGACCAGATGGGAGAATAAATTTCTCACAGCCGCAGAGAACAAAAAAAGAAACGATAAAGAAGACAAAATTCCCCGACGGTTCTGTTGATCGTTGATCACACGGGAGCCAAGCTGGAGATGGTTCTTCGACGGTACTGTTGGGCTGAAAAGTAGGTAGGCAAGGTAGGTTGGATTGAAGTTCCTCGCACTAAAAGTTATGCTGCTGGAGAAGCAGGAACCAGCTCTTGCACAGTGCAGCTCCATTACCTACCTAGTTCAAATGCAGGAAGGTACCTTCTCAGAGAGACCACATGCCCTCTGGCAGTTACGTACACGCCCTCAGACATGGCACAGTATACATCCTGAGCTGGACCATTGGACACTGTGTGGCGGTTGCGGGCAGTGCTGTGACGAAGACACAGTGAAGAACAGTGTACGGATACCTGGGGAAAGTCCGTCCGTATTCAGAGGCAGTGACGTAGGTAGTTGCTTGGGCTGGGCCAACACGGACCAGGTCATTGACTCCATTCTTGTTGGATCAGGGGGAAGAAGGAACATTTCAGATCCATCTTGAACCCAAGCACGGTGAAGAAGAAAAAAAAATGCCTCGAAAAAAAGTTCAGACAAAAAAAAATATTTGGTATACAGTCAATTCATTTGGAGAGTGCGAGAGCAATTGCAACGATGGAGACGGCCACTATCCAATTGGTACGGTATCACAGATTACTGACTAGTATTCGCCGTCACACACCCCCTCCTCTCCAATTCTGTTCCCCTCCTTCCTTGTCACTTGTCTCCCACCTACGCAGTAACTCCAATGCCAATGCCAATGCCAGGCCAGTGTCTCTCGCTCGTCGTTCCCCTTCTTAGGTGGCCAGCGCGGCAGCGTCTTAGGTAAGGCCAACTTATTACCGCGGTCCTCTATCCAAACACCCGGCGAAGCGACAATTCAAGCCAATCGTCTCTCCAACTGAGCGGACATGGCGGCCATTCCGCCTGGGGATTCCAGTCTCCCACACCCAAACTCACCACCACCACGTTCTGGCCCAATGCAGGCCCCTCCCGGTGACCACAAATCACAGGACTCGCCCGCTGGGACGGTCTGCCTGAAGTTATCCAGCCTGTTGGTTGAGGCGGCCAAGGAGCGAATCCGACCAAACTGATGCCCGAGCCGAGCTTTTGACCCTCCAGTGCTGACGGCGCGTCAGTCAGCAGCACCGTTGCCATCCATACTATGTACGCGCACTTTTTGATGCATACGATGCGAAAGCATGGCATGGCATGGCCGGTCCTCAGTTGCCTGTCAACCTCAACAAGCTCCTCAGACGTCAATCGCCTCAGTCGCGCTCCCTCCCGCTGGCTGGGAATACGCTAGAAACTCGACGAGGACGAGGCTCGCCGCCTTCGTCTCTGCACGGAAACCCGTCCTCCCGGCCAAACAACCTCTGGGGGCCGTCTCGCTCCCGTCTCGCCATTTCCGTGCTAGAGGGCCGCCAGTGCCATTCGGGACGGTCAGCTGTTCCCTCCTCTCCTCCATCGGGCGGACGACATGCGGTCCTCTGCTCTGGGCAAGTCGGGTGGGTTCTTGTGCCTCTGGCGGGACGCCGCTCTTCCCGTCGCCGCACATTGTGTGTTCTCCGATGCAGACCGTCTTTCAAGTTGTCTCTTCCGCCTCCTCACCGGTCAGAAGGGGCCATTTTCGCCACTTGACGCCATTCAACATATGTTCACGCTTCTCAGGAGTGGTGGAATGTCTGGGCAGCGGGCAGGAACTTCAGAGGGCGACTAAAAAGATCGTCAGCATGCAACTCTTTCCAACACCAACATCGACTGGCCCACCAGCATACTATGGCCGGACATGGACAAGCCACAACGCACGCAACTGACTGAAGGCACGCTCTGCCCGAAATCTCGGAGGTCTTCGCCTTCGCAACATACCCAACATGCAACCAGTGCGTCACTGGGCGCTTTCATCCAACTCCAGTTCCGGTTGATCAGAGTTTCAGTTGCCAAAACTGACGCTTTGAACTCTGCAAGATTACCCAAACTACTGTCGCCGTGGCGAGCCTTCGACATCTGCAGTATTTTCTCGGCTCGCAATGAATGTCTACGGACCTGTAGCAACTTGATGCGAGGGAGCACTTGCAACGTCAGCACGCCTCAGATCCAACCACTCATCTCTTTACCACCGCCAACCGTCTCTGTCAACCCCTTGGTTTCCCTCTGCCACACTAACGCCAAGTACATCGCCATCTAGGGCCCCAACTACAAACTACAAAGTTCAGAGGAAACAATGGTAGCAACTAGCGTCCCAAGCGAGTTGAGGAGAAACCCGCTCCGATTTTAGTAGCCAAACCTTTGTCTACTAACCTTACGCCGTTTTACCGTCAACGGAAGTGTTCTGCTGAGCCGCGGCAAACTTCAGTTTCGAGATTGGCCTTGAGACTGAAGCTGAGAAAAACAGCATGATGCAAATTGCCACTTTTCTGTCAACGCATACTCGAAAGCAAGTGATAAAAAACAGAACCGCCCGACTTGCCCGAATGTAGATTCGATAAAAAACAGTTCATTTCTCACCTTCGCAGCATCTGTCCTTCGTCAACAGCGTAGAGGACAGCTGTTCAATGCACGTCGCATATTCAAGTCAACATCACCAACGTCTGATCCACGCCAGAGCCGGATCAACAGCTGCCACAATATACACGTTGTCATCCATGCTCATGATCGACACTGGTGCCGACGAGTTGAACAGGCATTTTTCAACCCCTTAACTTTCAACAAATCAAGGCACGTATTCTCATCGGTTTACACTCCGACAACCTGTCCAAAACTTTTGACAGAACGGTGGCCTGGGCAGAAGAAAACCACACTAAGGGCAACGCCCCAAGTTCCCAACATTCGCATACTCCACAACCAGATGGCCAACTCGATGTCGATCGTTCAACTCTATCCCCCTTCGCCGGCGTCGCAAAACAGGGTGGTCCTAGTTCGCCGCGCGGATGAAGAAGCAGCCATGGGCCGAATCGACGATGGCTCTCAAAACTTCAGCAATGTGGTTCTGTAGGGCAGTTGAGACACGAGCGCCAGGGACATGCCCTGTTATCTCACAGCTGCACCCCTCACTCTCTGAACAGTGCCATGCCATCCCGAAGCTGGATTCCCCACGCATGTCCTATCAAGGCAAGGAAACCCGCCGATCTTCGGCTGCAGCATAACTGCACAAAACGATTGTGCCGGCACAGTTTCCAGAGGTCAACCCTGCCTGCAAGGAGATAAGGTTTTCCCGCTCAAGTGACAGCTTCACGGCCGACCGCGCATCTAACAGGAAACGAGACATGGTTTAGGAAAATGCCTGTTTAATCGCCGTCATGGGATCGGGCACGAGGCAGGGTTGGCTGCGCCTCGTCTTACGTGATTATGGGATTCACTCTTTTCCCTCAGCTTCCACCGGCATCGGGGTTGCTGTTTGCGAGTCTCTGATAATCATCCCGGTTCGGCCGTGTTATCATGGCGCTGATATCCCCGCGTTACAATGACGAGAACAGAAGACGGCGGAGATACACGCGGGAGACATTTCGAAAATTGGCTAGGGCGATCAGCACATTTGGCCAGCCCCTCTCTCGGGGCAGCTGCACATCACCCCTCCGGTCTCCATAAGATGCGTGTCGCTATCAAGAGCCCTGTCCCTTTGAGTGGAGCCATGTCAGGTACCCAACCGTACCTTGAGGTACTGAGGTGTCTGACTGTGCTCTCGTTGTCATGTCATTGCGAAACCCGTCGTCGACTTCAATATTGTGGCTCAGAACTGCTGCCTCTGTCAGCTTTCTCTCGGCGTACCTGCGTCAGCTGAGGGACTCCACGTGGAATCACGCTCTGCTTCCTGGGTTTTGGAGCGGCCTGCTTCTGCGCAGGAGCACGCACCGAATTGTGCGGAAGGTTCACGGGGAACGAGAAAAAGGTTTCTGCTGTTGTCGCTCCCGTGCGTTCCGCTCCCCCTTCACCGCGAAACTGGTGGAGGGGGTTGGACCCTTGGATTATTTCTGGATCATAGCTATCGTGAGGAGCTGCGGTGAGAGAGAAAGTTTCCCCCTGACAGCCATTTCGGCGCGGGACGGGTACCTGAGTTTCTTCGGTCGTTTCTGCCTCGACCCGAACCACGAAATATTTTGTACGACGGCACGCTGAGAGCACGCTGGGACATGCCGTCTGTCTTCATGGGAATAAAGGGCATTCGTAGGTGTACCTGTCGATCGCCCTTCAAATATCCCCGAAAACGAGCACAAATCGAAACTCCCGGCAGAGGGATGTCCAGGACGAGGGATGAATGTTTGAACGCAGCGATCGACAGGCGAGTGCTGCATCACTTTAACCTCGTCCAATGAGCCACCGCATGCGTTCGAGAAGAGGAAGGACGGATTTCTGAAAAGCACCGTTCCTTCATCTGAGAAGCCTCGGGCCCGGCGCGCGGCGCGATGGAATCCGGTCTTCGTCAACGAAGGAATGTTTCTGTACAAAAAATAGAACCGGCTGCGGACACCGATAACGTGGTCGGGGCGCTCCCATCCATCCCGAGTCTTTGATTAACCCCGCGGCGCCACACCTGCCAAGAAGTGAACCCGCTAATGACTTTCATTTACAACAAAACCGAACGTCACTCCCTCACTGCAGCCCTTATCGGAGACATTGCGTGGCTGTCCACTCACTTTCATATCAACATCCGCCGCCCGACGTATTTCTTTTGATTTGATTGATTATTTCTTCCTTCATTCAGCGAGCTGTTAGACGTTTAGACTCGTTTGTCTGATTGAAAGTAAGATACCCACTGACCATCGTCATGTCTGACGTATTTCGCAAAGTTGGCCGAGGCGGGGCAGGCAACTTTTACTCGAAAAAGGACGTGGAGGAGGCCGAGAAAGCCAAGCCCGAGGTACGCAAGGCTTCATATCATTTATTTAAGCTTGCCATCACTTTTTCTTGCTCTGTGGACTTGGAAAGTGCCTGCCTGACTTACGAATCGCCGTGGATAGGACATCGAGGCACAGAAGAATGCCGCCGCAGCGACCAGTCCGACATCGCCCACCAACGGATCGGCCTATGCACGCGCCGGCCGCGGCGGGGCGGGCAACTTCCACGATCAATCCTCCCTCCCAGATGCCAAGCAGCAGGAAGAGGCGGTCGGCAAGACCCGGGCAGCGGTGAACGCCAGCCTGGCTAGATCGGCACGAGGGGCATCGGGGCGCGGCGGCGCGGGCAACTACGGCGACTCTACGGTTCCAGGGAGCGAGGCGACGGACGAGGAGGTCAGACGCAAGGAGGCGTTGGAGAAGAAGATTATCGAGGACGTCGAGGCTGGTCTTCCCATGCCGCCCAAGACGTATTATCATCATTCTACAAAGGAGGGCAAGGAGGTTGCCTGAGCATCATGTCACGAACGGAGCGGCCGTTATTCTCTTGCACCGCAGATGGGGGGGGGGGGGGGTTCGGAGTTCATTTGGGGAAAAGTTTGTAACAACACTTGAAGTATTGATACCCGCGACGCTCGCTTGGGCGGTTCACTTCGATCTTTGCGACCTGACATGGTTTTGACGGTATTTGTGTTGATTTCGCAGTTGGATATCTATGCCTCCTCGAACATTGGAAAGGCCTTCGTGCCGTGCACCGTCTGCCACACCTCGGGCTGAGTCGGACGTCGTCGCTCGTCAGCCCTGGGCAAAACTCGAAATAATTCAACTGACGACCGCATCCGCAGAGGCCGCGGGATCTCGGCGTCAGAGGGGCGGGAAAGCAAAGGCGGCGACTGAGAATGATGGACCGTTCAGACCCGGATAACTTTTCCTCTTTTTGGTATTACTCAGAGCCACCAACGCCGTCGATGCTATACCGCCATGTATGCCTGAACGCCAGAAACCCAAAAAGCTGCCCCTTTTCTTCCCCTTCAAATGAAAGAAGAGGAGCAGTCTTCGATTAGCATTTTGTCTCGCCTCGTCTCGTCTCTTTCCCGTTCTTCTTTTTCGTCTTTTCCGTCTCCCGCAGATCCGCGCCGGAGCCTCTTCAGTCCTCCATCTCGACGTCATCGTTGTCGTCGTCGCCCTCCTCGTCATCCCACTCCTCGTCGCCCTCCTGCACGACGCCCTCCCTCTCCTCGACGACGTCGCCATCGACGGTGACGCGCTGCCTGACCTTCTCCTTGCCGAACACCTTGCCGGCCTTGGACTTTGACAGGCGGGCGCCCTCGGCCTCGATGGCGGCGATCTCGTCCTCGGTGGCGCCCTCGGCGGCCAGGCGCTTCTTCTCGGAGCCGCGCAGGCGCGGGAGCAGGTGGCCCTGCTCGGCGACGAGCTTGCGGGCGGCGGCGAGCTCGCGCTCGCGCTTGCCGGCCATGCGCTTCTTGTAGAAGACGCGCTCGCGGCGGGCGCGGATCTCGGACACGCGCTCCATGGCCGTGAGCGTCTTGGCGACGAGGTCGCGGTCGTAGCGGACCGGCACGTTGCGCCGCGCGCCGAACTGCAGCGTGCTGTCGACCGTCATCTCCTTGTGCGCCGACGCGCGGTACGCCTTGGTCCACTTGAGCTTGCGGGGGTTGCGCTTCATCTTGAACTGTTTTCCGGGTTGGTCGAGTCAGTACGGTCTGTCTCCAACTTTTCGGGTTTCCTCGACCTCGGTGGTCTTTCTTGACATCGCGATGGTGACGAGAGTTATTGGGAGTTTCGGAGACGTACGTTCTTGTGGCACTTGCTGCGGCAGAAACGGAAGACCTTGGCATCGTTGCGGACAAAGGTGATGCCCTTGCTGGGGTAAGCAGGGCGACTGCAGAAGTAACAAGTCTCGATTCTGCATCCATTGTTAGAAACCTCCACTTCGTGATGCACCACCACCTCTCTGCCACCCTTCAGGGAGCAACAAAGAATGAATGCCATACCTCATTGTGACGGCGTTGATACCTGTACGGGTATCACGGGGTGTTCAGGTCACAGGAATATCGTTCGTTTGGCGGATTGGGGGGGTGGGATAGTGACGCTTCCTCTCGTTCAGCGGAAGGCGGTGGTCCAAAAGCCTTGTCTCCAACGACCTCTGGTAAGTTTTAGAATTTTTTTTCTCTGCAAGGCCTTATCGATACGCCATCTGGTGGGGCGAACTTTCCGATAAGGATTGGTGGGACTCAGGGACCTCCAGATCTGCTCTGGCTCTGCCCGGCTGACATGATCGGAATAACAGAGATACCGATAAAAGACTGATGCACGGTCCACCACCATGGCATCACGGCTTTGGACGGCGAACTCATGCAAAGGCGAAAAAAAAAGCTGCTCCGTCAAGTCCAGCACCTTCTTCCGCAATCCACTCTGGACCGCACCCGCAACCCCGGTATCGCAAAACCGCAAACTCAACGACCATGACTTCTGTTCTCGCTGTTGGAGCCGGCGCTGCCGTCGCAGCTTTCCTGGTAAGCCGGATCGCATTAGAAAGAGGGGAAAAGTAACTGACGATGGATGCGACGACAGGGCCGAGCCGGACTGGTCGCATGGCGCCGATCTCGCGGCGGAGTGGGCGCGATGGGCAAGGCTTTCTACAAGGGCGGTTTTGAGCCCAAGATGAACAAGCGCGAGGCGTGCCTCATCCTCTCCATGTCGTAAGTTTTGTGTCACTGTTCTGCGGAAACGACTTTTTGGATGTTAACCGCGCGTTCGCAGTGAGAGCGGCGTCACCCGCGACAAGATCCGCAAGCAGCACCGAACGCTCATGCTCCTCAACCACCCCGATCGCGGCGGAAGCCCGTACCTGGCCACCAAGGTCAACGAGGCGAAGGAGCTGCTCGAGAAAACCACATCCTGATGAGAGAGAGAGAGCGGTAACCCGTTTCTCTGGAAGATGGACGGGGTTTTCCTGCTTGTGTATAACACCAAATCGATAAACGAACGAACGAAGGAAGGATTCATGTGAGGGTTGCTGAAGGTCTCTGTACAACAGACTAGTCGTTCTTCATAGCGGCGGCGTTTAAAGGGTGGACATACGGACCCTCCCCATGGGTTTATTGCGAAAAAGGAGCCGGGCTTTCGGCTGGTCTATGCGGATTAGAGGGGGAAATAGTGTTTGGATAGGTATTTAATGGCACGAGGCCGCAACGTCTCTCTTCTCTCTTACTTGGGTTCCGTCTGTTGTGAGTTGCCTCTTCCGCCGTTTCTACATCATGTGGGAGATTGGGTACATTTCAACGTCGTCACTTCAAGTCACAACGTCCGATGAAACTACTAATTTCATTTCGATCCTCCCCAAATCTAGGCCTTGCCATTGGCATTGTGGTCTTCGCAAGATGTGCTGTTGACGTAGATGCCTTCAGCTCAACGGTGCGGCTGCCTTCATTCAACGACTGAAAGCGTCCTCCGAAGCAATGATAGACATGAGTACTTCTCAACAGACTTGGTTGCTGAATCGGTTTCTGTTCAGAGAGTTCGTACTGCTATTCATTCATATTTCCCAAGTTTTTAGCATACAACCGCTTTTGGCAAATCAGCATGAGCAACGATGCATGCGGCTTGTGTCAAGAGCCTCTGTTTTGATTTCGGTCTCACAGAGCGTGGATGTGATCAGAATGTAAGTAGAAGGTTTGGCTTGGACCAGCTCGTTCGGTGGGTTCTCACGGGCCGCTGTTCTTACTTCGACCGAGGCCGAGTCGCATGCATTCTTCATACTGCTTGCCATACTGGAGTGATTTTTTTTTGCCTCGGATACTTGTGGATCTAGATCGTTCTTGTAAATGGACACTGATTGATAAGACAAGTCAGCTTCAACTTCAACTTCACCAAAAGGTTCCAGTCTTCGCATCACCCCCGCATTAACACCCACGCCTTCCTCCCATAGCCTCCTGAACTTTTTCTTCGTCGGACATCGGAGCAACTAGAAGAATAGGATGGAAAATCACTGAACCGCCATTGGATCCCAATATTGCTCTTGCTCATGCATCCTTTAATCAACAACACGGAAACGACTCCATAGGTTCGATCATCTGCAGCCAACGGGAGCGATCCGAGTCGAGTGGGGCTGATGCGATCGAATGAAAGCACGCTTTGCATCCTTGAATGAGACTTCGTTCGGAGGCAACGGTCTAAACAAGCTCTTCAACAACCCTAGTTTCCCACGTTGCCAAGACTATAACGGGCCTCCGCAGCGGAAGACGGCAATTGAACGGGAAGGAGTTGAAGTAATCTTCATGGACGCCAGTAAGGCCTGCTTGATCTGGGCTAGGGTGCCGATCTCCTGGACCCTTGCTGCGTACGAATTCATGTTGACCTCGGACTTGATGCTCAAAATGGTGTACGCGGAAGAGAGAATTCGAACTACCGTGGCAAAAGGGATATAAGGCAACGGCGTGTAAGGGTCTGCTGGCTTCTCTGTTCCCTTCACCCATTTACCTCTTCTCTCTCGTTTCTTCTCTCCGAGGTCACCAAAGATGCGGTCGTCACTCCTTTACACCATCCTGGGTCTCGCCACAGGCACAACCCTCGCCCGCCATGTTCACCAAATGCGAGCAGACTTCAACATCGCAGACCTCCCACAACCCCATTCAGCCCGCGGGCTTCCCGCGGCAGATGGAAAGAAGGGTGTCCTCCTGATGAACCGCATCGGCCCTTCTACCTCGGAACTGTACATCGCCAACGCGGACGGTACGAATGAGCGCAAACTGCTTGGCAGCAGCTCATCTTTCGAATACCATGCCTCCTTCTCTCAGGATGGACAATGGGTCACCTTCACAACAGAGCGTAATGGCGACGGAAACTCGGACCTGTATCGCTGCCGCCTGTCTGCTTCAGCGAACGGCACTTGCTCGGATTTGGAAAAGCTCATCGCAACCCCCGCGGTAGAAGATGCCGGCGTTCTGTCTCCCGACGGCACCAAGCTCGCCTTCGTCTCCACGGAGAACGGCTACAAGACCAACATCTGGGTCCAAGATCTGGCAACGGGTGAGAGGCGCAACCTCACGAACACGGCCGAGATTGCCGGCAACCCTCTTGTGCCAGATGGTTACTTTCGTCCCAGTTGGTCGCCTGATGGCGAATGGATCGCCTTCGCGTCGGACCGAAACACACAATGGCGTGGTCATGGCAATGGAACGGGCTGGGAACACACACAGGAGCTCTCGGTTTATGTCATCCGCCCCGACGGCACTGGATTTCGCAACCTGGCCACTAAGTCCGGATACTGCCTTGGCTCACCCAAGTGGTCTCCGGATGGCAAGCGTGTGGTATACTATGAGATCACGGTCGAGGACACATGGAACGCACACCGTCCCGAGTCTGTTGCCAGCGTCAGCTCTGCGATTGTCTCCGTTGACTTCGAGACGGGGACGGATCGTGTCGAGCATGCTTCGGGTTCCGGTCTCAAGATGTTCCCGCAGTGGCTGTCGAGCAGCTCTAACACAACCGACAACATTGGATATCTCATCAAGGGCAACGACAACGAGGGATACAACTATACCTCTGGTTCTACTCCAGCTGTCAAGGCCGCCATCCGTTCCCCTGCATGGTCTCCTGATGGAAAGTTTGTTGTGTATGAGAAGGTCGGATTCACAGCCCGTCCGATGGAAAAGCCCCTTTACAGCTGGGACGAAGACTGGGAATACCGCCACACTGACGTCTTCCCCCAGCTCTCCCTCCAAGGCCGCCTCGTCATTACGCAGAAGCAGCTTGGTAACTCTTCCATTGTCTCCATGAACCCCGACGGAACCGACCTCAAGCTCGTCTTCGATTCCTACTCTACCGGAGAACTCGACTCCGCTCTTGTCGCCAAGGGTCTTGCCGGTGCATTCCAACCATCTTGGTCCGCTGATGGCGAATGGGTCACCTTTGGTCTTGGATCCTGGTTCCAGTCCCGCGCAACGGGCAAAGCCAGAGTCTACCGCACGACTTCCAACGGAACTTTCTACGAGGCTTTGACCGACGGCACTGTTCACTCTGGGTTTCCTAGTTACTCACCTGATGGTAGCTCCATCGTCTTCCGCGAGTGGGGTGTCCGTTACGGCCTGCGCATTATCGACTTGAACACCCGCGAAGTGCGCTACTTGACGAACGCGACAGACAATCTCCCTTTCTGGTCCCCCGATGGCGAGCGCATTGTCTTCACACGCAAGACCAGCTCGACCAACTTCGACGTTTGCACCATCCGACCTGACGGCACTGGCCTTCAGACTTTGACATCAAGCGGTGCCAATGACGCCCACGCTGTCTGGACCGCCGACGGACGAATCATATATTCGAGCGGGATGTACGGTTTCCGCGACGAGGCTGCTATCTATGACCAGACCTTCCAGCCATACGGTCAAATCATGGTTATGGATGCGGATGGGTCAAACAAGCGCATGTTGACGGACAGTTTGTGGGAGGATTCGATGCCGCTTTACGTCCCGAACGAGTTCTTGGTATAGGAAGTCTAGGTAGAGGTTGCATAGGTGCGACCACACCGGCTGCGCTAGGTTCACCGGTATGAGCAGACTGAGCTGTACATCTGGATTGGGAAGCTGGGAAGCAAAGACGTAAATGATTGGAACTCGGTTCGCGCGAGGCACCGCGAGAAGAGGGTCTGGATCGGCCTTGAGACTATCGAAGAGTCACATACGTTTCAATGCATGACGAGAACTGCTTTTCCCACAAATAAGATGCAGCGGAGTAATTTTCGGCCTGATAAGACGGGTTTCTGAAAGTGATGTTGCGATATTAGTGGCCCACGATTATCTTCCACCGCAGCCTGCTTCATGTTACACGAAGCAGCGGCATCACATTCACAAGTATATAATGGAACAAGTTTTTCATATAACGAGTGCGATTGACCTTCCAAACATATCTTTCCACTCTCAGACCATTCCACTGAACACCTGACCACTAAGCGTCAACGGCCACACTACTTTTGAGTCTTCACCAATCACAAACGCACCGACATAATGGCCAAGTGCGGGAGATGCGGCAAGGACCACATCCAATGTTCTAAGAATTGCGGACAGTGCCCCGGTTTGCTCTGCAACATGTGTGGTGCATGCGAGGGCAGTTGCTGTAGGAACAACGAGTGCATCAAATAAAGGTAAATGGCATCTTACTCATCCTGTCTGGGTCCATGGATACATAGCTAATCTGGCGACCTTTAGACATAGCCTATTAGGAGTCGCTGTAGACTCACAAGAAGACGATGATGGGCATGTTCAACTTGATCATTATTGTTCATGCTTGTGATCACACGTTCTTCTTGAAAAGACAAAGTGCGATGGGTCCTGAGCAAATACGCGATGTTCAGGCAGTCACGTATCCTGGACTGTATGCGAGTTAGAGTATGAAGGGTAGATCGGACGTCTACATAGGGCATATATCAATATATCCTAACAACAAGTTGTTCATGATAGGGCCTATGCTATTGAGCGCAGCTTAGCTCCTGAAAACGGACCTCAAGTTAGATGACGGGTGTTCCATTCCCAACAAGCTTCAAGGCGGGATCGCCGGCCGCACAGCCGCAGTAACGTATCCAACTTGAGGACATATTAGTATCATACTAACGGCACATCGTTCTTTATGAGTTTTTCAGGCAAGTTAATTATACTAGCTCGAGAGAAATGAGCGACTAAAGATTGCTGGAGCTTTTCATATGAGTAAAGTATCGTTATTTCCTCTGCTGAATCCAGCTTGCGTATCATCACCTAATGTCTTTTGTTAGTTCTCGCAACTAGGAGAGCAAGCTCTGTGACTTATAAGTTATGATAGTAAGAAACTTCCAACTATCATGTTCTCTTTCTTAAAAGGATCATATCCATAATAGGATCAGGCGCGACAGCCGTCCTGAAAGACGGCCAGTTTGAGTAGTAAATAGTATCCATTGAGTCTGAGAAAACCGATTTCAAGTTAATCTTCGGCCAGACATAATCCCGCTGCAACGAAAGACATAATCCCGCGCTCTCCAATGCCCTCTCATTCCACATTCTCAGGCGCAAGAAAACGTGGTGGTACATCCGTCCGACTTCTTGAGGCCGCCACAGGCCTTCTCATTGGCACTGGTGTTGAAGATGACTTTTTGGCCCGGTTTGCAGAGGCCGTCGGTGCTCCCTGGTATGGTGCAGAAAAGCTTGTTGCCCTGCTGGCATGTGCCTTGGAGGGTCTCGGCCGAGGCTGCGGCTGCGATGCTAGCAATGATGGCAAAGGTAGGGAAACGCATCTCGGAAGAATTGGCGCGAAGCGTTCGGAAAGATGAATAACGTGGGACTTGACTAGGGGCACACACTGTCGTGCGAATGAACTTCGAGTTTGTGATGAAGTGAGGTCTTGTGTTGACCCTGTGCGTGAAGTTGATTGCGATATCGAAGGCCTGTCTTGAATGATTTTGGGAACTTTTTTACGGTGGCTTTATACACCAGCACCTAATACGAGAAGGTAGCCTGAATCGCGCGTAGTGCTGTTCATGTCCCACGGGGTCTGTTGAGAAGCCGAAGGAGTTTGATACTAATACGAGGGTCTCAATAACAGCAGCAAATACGCGTAAGTCTCATGCGTCTCGTGTAAATTGAATTGTCATTCTGTTTCCGTCTTTAACACAGGTCACGGCACAGTTTTGAATTATATGACCAACACATCTTCTACCGCGCGGCTGTGCAAGGTTTTGTAAGAACCTCCTCGACTTGATTTCAGACACTCTGTTAAAGCCCACCCCAGGCTATAATAGCCTCAAACTGACTTGAATTGGACCCTCAAGTTTCCCCCAGCGCTGAAAATGACCATGATGCAAGTGTTCTGCAGCCTACACACACGGGTTACGGGCTGCCAAGGGCTTGAAGTCCAGCCGAGTTGAGTTCGGATAGTCTTTGCCAGAAGACTACTTCAAGGATTGATGACTTCCCAAAAGATGGTTTTCCTAGTGGCGCAAGCTTAAATATATCGATCTGGTAGTTGAACTGCGCACTTGAACTTGATCTGTCTGGGCCGTGAAGATGTAGAACGCTGATTCTCATTTGGAAGCATACCCAGTCACAAAGATGGGCATCGTAGAAATCGGGTGGCAATAGTCTCCCTCTGAACTGCAAGGTAGTTGTCCTTACGGCCCCGAACTAACAGTTGAGGCTCACATAATCCAATCTCTTCTCTGATTCTTACGAGTTTCGAGAAAATCCATCATAATAGCCAATGATTGCTGCTGAGTTATTATAGTCTTTTTGTCCATTTGGACAGAAATGTTATAAAGTAAGGTAGCTGTACGTGTGGTATGATATCCCAAGCCATCTTGCAATGATCTCTGTTTCTGCGGGAAAGCTTGAAGTCCACACCTTGTTGGTTGATTCCTGGCGCAGTTGAAGGCCTGGCCCAAATGGTTCGATTTAGAATACCTTGGTGAGCCCGCGTGATCATATATACGGCCTAAAAATCACCAGACATCTTGGAAAGAATGCTGACCAGGCCTTCCTCACACAATCTAGTCCTCACATGAGTCACCTTCGTAGCCCGAACCCTCATCTTCGTTTCAATATCTCTACCGAGACTGTCATCCCAAGCTCATTCTTTATTAAAGAGCTCTTCTTTCAGTCGTCCGAGTCCACTTCTTTTTGAACTTGGCTGTCAACCATGAATCCATCTAGTCAAACGTGCTCAGTTGTCACATATCGACCCAAAGGTGACATATCCAAAGTATGGGCTATCTACACTGGGTACAGCCCAAGCCCTGAGCACAGCCAGCACATCACACAATCGTCTATCTTGTATCGCCTTTCGTGGGAGATTCTACTCCAGATAATGCAAATTCTACCTCCAACCGATTTATTCTTTTTCCGACAATCTTCGAGACGCTTTATCCAGGCCTTCTCTGACAACGCCTTTTCTAAGTACCACAAACAGCCGGATACGAAAGATTCCGTGAAGGCTCCAAGATATATCCAGGCCATCTTCTCGACCTGTCTGCGAACAATCGGACTAGATTTCGGTCCCCAGGACGTCTCAACTCGAGAAAGACCATTTGCACTTGATTGGGAGCGCATCTCGGTTGGAGAACAGTTGGAGATCAAGAAACGCTTCAGAAAATGCGTCCTATGCGAAGACTACAGTGAGCTGAAACCAGTCAACGATCTCCGTCAGAGTTCGTCCTTCTGCATCCGTTGTGGAACTCGTCACAGGAACTCTTGGTTTTCAGATGGACGATCAGCCCGGGAGGACCAAATATGCATACCACGAGAGGGAACATTGACGCTTTGTCAACACCGTCAATTATCGCTGTCATCACTGATGGTGCCACCCTTTCAAATATATACCACGAAAAGATTTATGAAGATACTCGAATGCAAGACCTGCGCCCATACGATCAAGGCTACTGACGGAATGGCCCCAGGCATCTGGTACTCTGGGAAGTCACATTCCATCATGGCTCGATGGAAGATACCCGTGTGCGCGATCGAGCGAAGACAAATCGTCACCAAAGACCTCTTACGCAAAGCCCTACGAAGGCTTGAGGAAGAAGCCTTCGACGGCTTTCTATGTCCTCACGTATCATTCGAGGACGGCTTGCTCATGAGGCCTTTCGAATGGGGGTACTGCGTCTGCTTCCAGGACCCGTCTGACGAGGGGAGAAGCTGGCACCATCACCGGCCATATCCCAAAGCACTTCAAGAAAACGCTTGCTTGTGCTGCGCGTGCCGAAATCGTTCTAATACAAAGGTCATGGGCAGGTTCATGGCTCGTGGCAGTTCTTGTCGACACGCCGTCAGGTGCCCCAAGTGTCCGACGACGTACACTTGGACTCTGGAGCGTCGTCGGGTCTTTTTACGCAAAGAACAGGACATTCTAGACGTGGATTTTCGGCGTAATAAGAGGAATCGTGTTATGGCTCAACCGAGTATGTGTGACAGGAGCTTGAGTCTGTGGGCTAGTTGTCTAGATCCTGGTACGTTTTCCGGCAACGACGCTACTCGGGCAGAGCTATTTTGCTGCGAGAAAAGGTGCGCAAATTCACTGCCTACTTCTCTTACGTGGTGTGATCCGCTTCATGGAAAAAGGAAAGGGAGGGTTGTCTTGCATGGGACAATAGGCTCGGCCGCAAGGTCAAGTAAAATAGGCATGTATACTGCTGTAATGAGATAACCTACAGCAAACCCAATTTAATCATCGCACAAAAACACTTGATATGATTCCTTAGAGGCAGCATGCTGGGAACCTTTGACCCAGAACCAGATGCGGTAATGCAATCCCTTCCAATCATGTTCTCGGATCCGTTCAGGAGAGGTCAGTAAAGCTGTATCTTCTTCTCGGCACAGTCTCATGCTCGCTTGCAGACCTTATGAAGTATGAGATGTTGTCTTCCGTACTTCATGAAATCCGAGAGAAAGAATGGAACGATTCCTCAAATCGTGTTTGCAACAACCCGGATGAACGTCGCGACCTTGGTCCGTCATATTGAATAGGACCAAAG